TTTTCTTCCGAATTCTCTTCTTCATCCTCCTCAAAGAGAAGATCTGGTATCTCCTCTGCAGGTTGGGGCTCTGAAGTAAATCAAAGAACAATCAATAAAATCGAATACGAAGAGATGAGTAATCTCAAAGATCATTAGAAACCATTTAACATTACATTCTATTGATGCCTGAGAAAGAAGTTTTTCACATACCTTCAGAAGTCAGTTCTGTCTCAAAGTGAACGAGTGATGGGGTGACTTGTTCAACTTCAGGCAATGGCTGGTTGGATGATGGGGTTTCAAAGTCAGCCACAACCAACGAGATTTCTTGTTCATCGATGATCTTTTCTTCCGAATTCTCTTCTTCATCCTCCTCGAAGAGAAGATCTGGTATCTCCTCTGCAGGTTGGGGCTCTGAAGTAAATCAAAGAACAATCAATAAAATCGAATACGAAGAGATGAGTAATCTCAAAGATCATTAGAAACCATTTAACATTACATTCTATTGATGCCTGAGAAAGAAGTTTCTCACATACCTTCAGAAGTCAGTTCTGTCTCAAAGTGAACGAGTGATGGGGTGACTTGCTCAACTTCAGGCAATGGCTGGTTGGATGTTGGGCTTTCAAAGTCAGCCACAACCAACGAGATTTCTTGTTCATCGATGATCTTTTCTTCCGAATTTTCTTCTTCATCCTCCTCAAAGAGAAGATCTGGTATCTCCTCTGCAGGTTGGGGCTCTGAAGTAAATCAAAGAACAATCAATAAAATCGAAGAAGAAGAGATGAGTAATCTCAAAGATCATTAGAAACCGTTTAACATTACATTCTATTGATGCCTGAGAAAGAAGTTTCTCACATACCTTCAGAAGTCAGTTCTGTCTCAAAGTGAACGAGTGATGGGGTGACTTGTTCAACTTCAGGCAATGGCTGGTTGATGATGGGGTTTCCAAAGTCAGCCACAACCAACGAGATTTCTTGGTCATTCGATATCTTTTCTTCGAAATCTCTTCTTCGAACCTCCTCAAGAAAGATCTGGTATCTCCTCCTGCAAGTTGCGCTTCTGAAGTAAATCAAGACAATTCAATAAAACCAATACTAAGAGATGAGTAATCCTCAAGATCATTAGAAACCTCATGTTAACATTACATTCTATTGATGTCGTGAGAAGATGAAGATTTCACATACCTTCAGAAGCAGTTCGTCTCCAAAGTGAACGATGTGATGGGGTGAATGCAACTTCAGGGCATGGCGGTTGGATGATTGGGTTTCAAAGTCAGCCACAACCAACGAGATTTCTTGTTCATCGATGATCTTTTCTTCCGAATTCTCTTCTTCATCCTCCTCAAAGAGAAGATCTGGTATCTCCTCTGCAGGTTGGGGCTCTGAAGTAAATCAAAGAACAATCAATAAAATCGAATACGAAGAGATGAGTAATCTCAAAGATCATTAGAAACCATTTAACATTACATTCTATTGATGCCTGAGAAAGAAGTTTTTCACATACCTTCAGAAGTCAGTTCTGTCTCAAAGTGAACGAGTGATGGGGTGACTTGTTCAACTTCAGGCAATGGCTGGTTGGATGATGGGGTTTCAAAGTCAGCCACAACCAACGAGATTTCTTGTTCATCGATGATCTTTTCTTCCGAATTCTCTTCTTCATCCTCCTCGAAGAGAAGATCTGGTATCTCCTCTGCAGGTTGGGGCTCTGAAGTAAATCAAAGAACAATCAATAAAATCGAATACGAAGAGATGAGTAATCTCAAAGATCATTAGAAACCATTTAACATTACATTCTATTGATGCCTGAGAAAGAAGTTTCTCACATACCTTCAGAAGTCAGTTCTGTCTCAAAGTGAACGAGTGATGGGATGACTTGTTCAACTTCAGGCAATGGCTGGTTGGATGATGGGGTTTCAAAGTCAGCCACAACCAACGAGATTTCTTGTTCATCGATGATCTTTTCTTCCGAATTCTCTTCTTCATCCTCCTCAAAGAGAAGATCTGGTATCTCCTCTGCAGGTTGGGGCTCTGAAATGAATGGATTGAGAAATACTGGTGATTTATTTTGAACTTGGAATAATGAATTCTTCAGTCTTAGTATGTTGTGTTAAAATAGGTACCTTGTTTTTTAATGAAATATGATTTTATTTCTGCCATTGTAAGCATTCTTTTGAAAAAGAGTGATTGCCTTAACCAAGGAAGTAAATGATTGTAAACAATCTTTAGATACCTAAGAACTGACAGAATACATAAAAGAAGGAAAGAGAAGAGTTATAACTTACCAATGTTAATGCACATTTCGATGACTTCCTGAGATTCTAAGCTTACAGAGTTGTCAAGTTGGTTACATCTGTTAATTCGCCTGCTTGATGACCTTAATTCTAGACCAGAATCATGCGAATTCTCGTGAAATGCAACGACTTCGTGATCTTCTTCGTGCATAGCTGCATTTGCATTTTTTGCTACACTTCCATCTTCATTTGTCATCAATGACGACTTGATGTTCAAGAGATTTGGATCTGAAAGATATTTTTCAATCTTAAAGACGTAACTTATTTTATAACCAATTCACTGAGGCTATGCGAGTATGGTGTTTGAAATTCTAATTATTTTAGGCAAGGTTTATGTCTTTGGCTACTGCAGAAAGGTACCCAACCTTTGCTTCAGGAAATATGTGACCGCCGCGAAGGTTAAGCGTTTATTTTGAAGGTGTTAGTTACATTTTTCTAATTTTTTCTTAAATCCTTCATTTTTTTAATGCTTGTAGATTCTTCAAGCTTTAATCCTTAATTTATTCTTTTATTCTCAAACGTTTTGCTTCTCTGCGAGTATTACTTGTTGCTCCCTGGAGTTCCCAGTTCGTGACTTCAAATCAGACTTTTCAGTCCGGTATTTTGAATCCACTTTACCAAGCTTGAACAGTTGTGCACCTTCGGCCATAAAGAAAATATGGGACGTAGCTCCACAAGGTTTTCTAGAGATGGGGTTTTCACATGTGGGACGTAGCTCCACAAGGTTTTCTAGAGATGGGGTTTTCACATGTGGGACGTAGCTCCACAAGGTTTTCTAGAGATGGGGTTTTCACATGTGGGACGTAGCTCCACAAGGTTTTCTAGAGATGGGGTTTTCACATGTGGGACGTAGCTCCACAAGGTTTTCTAGAGATGGGTTTGTCACTTGTGGGACGTGACTCCACCGTTGGCACTGCCGTTGTTTACAGGTCCCTGATATATCAACTCTACCGTTTTGACCAGCAACCCTTCAATCGAAATCATTTACCCATTTTGAAAGCAAGACCTCTTATTGTACCCCGACGAATCTTTTTCATTACACATTTTTAAATATATTCTTCAAATTAGGCAAGAATACATTACAGATATATGGAATAGCTTTTAACAAACCTCCGATGACCCAACGAATCTTTTTCATTACACATTTTTAAATATATTCTTCAAATTAGGCAAGAATACATTACAGATATATGGAATAGCTTTTAACAAACCTACCGATGAATTCAATTCTCCTCTCGTGCTTTGATCTATAAGTCTGGAGCATTTCATATATCCTAGAAAAATGATTGAGATTGTATTAGTGTGGGATAGCTGTGCTCTTCCAAAACGATTTTATGGAAAGCGGCTAAATTTTACATTGGTTGCGTTCACTATGAAATTGTCATAAAGGCTTTGAGAGTTTGTTTTTTACTACAACTAACAATTCACTCCTCATTAGAACCTTAAACTTAAGATTCTTAATGCTAAAACAAGTATAGCTTTGTTGTTTTACTACCTCAGATTTCTGATGAAATTTTCAATTGTATTGCTATACCTTTTCTGGCGAAATTGAAGAGCCTTGTCCTCTGCGAGGCTGCTGTATCTTGTACGGTAGATCTCTGCACCATAGCGTAAGAGGATCTCAACACATTCTTCTTCTCCTTTGACGATCGCCAGCAACAAGGGGGTCCTGTGTTGAAAAAGCAAAATATCAAGTATTTACATTTCGTTACATATAACTTTTATATGCTTTCTTAATATTGGATCATTAGCAACACCAATTGAAATAATTAGATAAGAACCTTTTTTAGATTGGCTAAATAACGAGGAGCAATAAATCTATATATTGAGGCCTTGTGCAATGTTAACAAAGTCAGTTGAAGTATGCTATTTTAACGAACAACTACAAAATTCATTTCCATAAAGCCTTTAAAAATTGATTCAAACCATACTTACTTTCCGATTATCTCTCTGATTTCTGTTTCTGCTCCATTTTTCACTAGCAATAAAACCACATTTGGCAACCCAGCAAGGACTGCTTCGTGCAGTGGCGTAGATATATGCTGTGAAAATTCAAGTTTTATGAGTGGGAATTCTTAGGTATTTATGAATGCATGCTTGCTTTACACCAATCAATATATTAATGCTACATTTTAATGATTTTTAGACTTAGAGCATAAAAGATTCAGCATAGGTTAATGAGTAAGAGAGGCTCGTAAATCATCATCTGTATTTATAGATATCTTGCGCTGTTTCTAGTTGTAGCCTTGTTTTTTCTGATTACCCTATGGTGTTGATCATAGAGTTCTACTTTTACAAGGCATTACCAAACAAGAAACCATTCCGGAATCGTTACGATATCGTGGATTGTGTTGACTTGCTCTGAAATCTTAATCAAGATAGTTTGTGATGAAGCAGTGTCTCATTCTTGATACTTGTTGTGGAAACTAGTTTCATCAATAATGCAAGAAAGAGCTTTTTCTAGTTATGTTGAAGATCTTTTAATAACAGAGAAGAGGCTTTCAATTATCACACTTTCTATTTCGGTTGTCTTTGTTCAGGTGTACTTTTAACCAGCGTACAAGAATAAACTAATAGCAAGGTGACTTACCATATCTCTTGCATTCACATTCACATGCACTTGTTTTACCAGATATTCTGCAATCTCCATTTTCTTTCTGAAAATGGCGTAATGCAGTGGTGTGGTCCCTGCGTGGTCAGGTCGGTTGAAGTCAAACTCTATTCCGTAGAATACTTTGACTATATCCAAATGTCCGTTTTTGATTGCCTGTTCAAAAAGAATCGTCATCAGCATTGCTGACAGATTACTACACAAGGTAAGAGATCAAGTTCAGCCACCTTCCTCTCTACTTTAAAAATGTTGGTTTAAAAAAGAAAATGATCTATAAAGTTGCCTGAAATTGTTACCTTAAATTTCAACTATGTTTAATAGCAGTGAGGGGTGCCAACGTGAAAGGGAAGGTAGGTCGCAAAAATTGATACTAATGATCAGAACCATATTTAAAGAGAGATATAACTTACCATAAAAACAGGACTCCTCCCAAATCTGTCAATAGTGATTTTGCCATCAGCATCCAAAATGAGCCGTACCACTTGAATTCTGCCGGCGAGGCATCCATAATGCAGTGCCGTTCTGCAAAATTGCAATAGAATTTATGCAACCTTTATCTTTAGATAACTGAGGAGACTAACGTTTTTCACGAAGAAAGCAAAAACTCAAATTGCTACATAGAAAATTAAAGTATCAAAGAAAATAATAATTCTAAGTTTGTAGACCCCTTTGAAAGGCCAAAAATATCACAGATTTCTTTCCAGGAAAGATAAAAATTTAAGGGAGGGGGATAAACATTTATAGGCACTGTAAAGACACAACAAATGACACAAGACACAAATAAAATGTACATTAGTGGTGAGATATAACGCAAGAACAGAATAAAGATAATGTAATGTGTAATGACTTTATTGATTTTAGATAGCACGAATACAAATGATTTGAATTCGTTTAAAAGGTTAAAATATATATAAAACAGATAAGGACTATTAACAAAATCTGTTAAAGAATAGAAATCAAATTTATTTAAATAGGAATTGTCAGAATATCTTGAAAACATTTCAAACTAATATGTTCTGCTTTTTTATTATTTGATTTATCATAAAGAAAATAGATTAAAACGAGGAATAAATAAAGCTGATTGCCAGATAAAGTTGAATTAAAATGTCTTCTTTAATTAGTTAGTTCTCTAAATATTAAGACATCCTATTGTTAAAAACTTTTAAGAAGAACATACCGTCCTTCGACATCCTTCTTGTTGATATCAACTCGTCTTTTCTTTAAAAGACTTTGCAATTTCTGAATCTTGTTCTTGTACGCGGCTCGGTGTAACCTTGGAAGATCCCAAAGGTTTAAGCCGTCTTCATTCGTACTCGCTGTTGAGCGGTGAAAAAACTTCGACAACATTGTCAATCCTTCTCAACCGACGTTCACAACTCAACTGATTAAAAATGTTAACCAAAGATGATAAGTTACAGATTGTTCGTAATTTGACGTCATATCAATGAAGGATTATCCATCGTCATAGTTGATTTGGAAGCGAAAAGCCTGGTACCTAATTTGCGTCTTTACAAAAAGCGTTTCCAAAGCAGAATTTGGTAGAAGGGCGAATTAAAAGAAAAGAAGGACAAGTCTTACTGCTAAGATGATCAAAAAACCTTTTAATAATGGTTGTTCATTGATAGACTGTGTATTTATAAGCATCGGGTTGTTAAAGCAGACAGTTTTCAGATCTTACGTCACTTTTACCGCTTGAATACGAGGTTACTCTTGGTCCCTTTTGCGGAAGCAATGTTAGTGTTTTTGAGCACAGCAGGAGAATTGGGATGCCTCCTTGGAGGCACAAAGAAAGAAAATAGATAATGAAAGGCCACAGAGCAAGATCTGAAGATCCCCACAATAATAGCTAACATCATTGGGTCTTTGGGAATCTGCAAAACAGACGTAGTAATAGTACCATTAGATAGCTTTTGCCGAAGACAATAAAGAGAAGTAGGGAGAAAATGCCCATTAATTTATTAAACAGTTTTATTCCCATTAATTTTCTGGAAGAAGGGCAACTAAAACGAATCCAATGAATACCGTTTGAAACCTAAGTTTTATCCAGGAAAATTGTTCGACCACCAGAAGAATCGCTTACTTTTCGATTTTACACAAACAAAATGTTTTCTTGTAAACCTCAGAGTACGGGAAGGATTTGCATTTTCAATTCTGATAAGATAAAACCTTATCTTGTCGATAATTCATACAAGTTCATTTTTAACAACTTAGAATTACTATTCAAAACAAATATCTACCATAAAATGTTCACTGCGAAATCTCAGAAGCCATTTCGTTTCTAAACTCATGGGGGAGGAGACAATTAAGAAATAATAGTGAACTTGAGATTCTGTTGGTTATTGTTTAAGGAAAACCAGAAACAGTAAGGGATACATATTGCATATAGAAAATGCATAGAAAACGAATGTTGATCCAGACATTTGAGGTTTACTTTCAAGTTAGGGGTCTGGGACACAGGCTACATTGTTAATGATGCCCATTGTTAATAAATTAATAATGATGCCCATTCGTCTTAATTTGTACCCTTTAAATCCAAGTAAATAAAGAAAAGACTAATTTAAATGTGGCCAAATTCTGTCCCGTCTCTGAAAGGCTGGAAGGGCCTCACAATGAGCGCTCATATGTTATATTCAGGGACGCAACTATTGGGGGGGGTTTGGGGGGATGTTTCACCCCCCAATCCTGAAAAACAGCATTTCGCAGGGCAAAGCAGAATGAACTAGTAGTTCTCGCAGGGCAAAAGAGATCAGAAATGAAGTTTCATAAAATATCTTAATTTATTTTACTTTCTTATCAAATCCAAAACATATGTTAGTTTTTCCGATTTGTTGTGGTATTGTAAAGTGAGTTTCTTATTTCCGTGCCCCTCGTGAAGAAAAAGTGACACTGCTTGGATAAACGGTATCGCATCATGGCATGAAATGAAAAGTGTTGGAACTGGGAAAAAAGGCAAACTTGCTCAGCATTTTTCTTCTGAAGCACACCAAGCAGCACTGGCTGATTTTGCTAGGTTTTCAGTCGAACAAGGACATATTGACATTCAAATGAATAGGCATCTGAAGGACATCATCATTCAGGAGAAGGATGACGAAGAAAAATGCAAATCGATAATGAAGATTTTGTTTGATATTGCTAGAACATTGGCAAGGCAAGGAATTGCTTTCAGAGGCACCGCAGGAGACCTGAACGGCAATTTTGTCCAGTTTGTGAATCTTCTGTCCAGGCACTGTCTACAGATGAAAGAATGGCTTGATAGCAAACGATTGAAGCCTTTCAGTACGAAATACATGATTCTAGTTCACAAAATGAACTTTTAGAGATCTTGGGGGAGAATGTTGGAGAAAGAATAAAAGATGAGATTAAGTGTGCTAAAATGTTGTCGGTTTCGGCCGATACAACACCCGATGTTAGCAACAAGGATCAAATGGTTGTGGCTGCAAGATATATTGGTGAAAGGAATTGCGCGCGAGAGAGTCGTGGAAATGAAAGAGTGCAATGACAAACATGGAGATAAGACAGCAGAATGTATTCTCACGTGTCTGGAAGCAAATGAAATTAATGTGAATTATCTCTGCTTCCAAACATACTGTTTTGCAAATAATATGTCTGGGAGAATTGCAGGGGCACAGGGGGTTCTACAAGATATTCTTGAAAGACCAGTCCCGTACATTCCATGTCAAGGGCATCGATCTAATACTTTCAACGAGCATTTTGCAAAACAAAGTGCCATAATTACGTCGATATACGATAATCTTCAAGATATATATATGTTTTCTTCAGTGCCAGCTCCAAACGAAACAAAATTTACAATAAAGAAGTTCAAGAAGTTGATGAGTACTCCTTGAAACTCCGCAACATGTCTAAAACGATATGGGTCTACTCTTCAGAGTCGATAGAAGCAGTGTGGCGAAGTTTACAAAGCATACCCAAAGCAATTGACAAAGTTGTCAGTGACGACAGCACAGAAATGAAGGGTAAAGTGAAGGGTAAAGACATAAAGAAAAAGTGTCAGTCATTTGACTTTCTTTTTGCATTGATTTTCATGAGATTAATTATGGAGAAAACAAAAATTTTGATGATGCAACTCCAAGCAGAAGAGCTTAACATCCTAGATGCGATGAAGTTAATTGAAGCAACATTAGAAAATCTTAAGAAGATTCGCATTGATAACAAGGCTATGGATGCAGAGTTGGATGCTAAAAATGAGTGCGCTAAACAGCATGGAATAGATTCAGCGGCTGAGTTTAGTAGAAAACATTGACTCAGGTTGCTGCCAAGAAAGATTGACAACGGTCCAGAAACATCAGCGGAATTTAAATTTAATTCCTTCTACAGAACAGAAATGTGTGTTGTTCTCGATTCTCTGATAGCAGAGTATGGTGAAAATGTCAATGCATGCTTAAAAAAATTGAACCATTGGCAATGGCGTTGCAGCCACCACTCAAAACGATAAACCCAGAAACAGTCCACGATCTTTGCAAGCTTTTCCCACCGGGCTTTCATATTGAAGCAGGAGTTATATTATGTGCGCTAGATGTTTTCAGGTCAATGATTGAACAGCAACAGATCCAGCCAACTTCCGTCAAAGAGGCTGCCAAATCTTTATTTGAAAATAGACGACTTTTCCCAACGGTTTACAAATGCTACAGCCTTCTTCTTACAGCACCTGTGTCTGTGGCTAAAGACGAGCGAACCTTTAGCAAACTTAAGATTGTTAAAAATTTGCTGCGATCAAGGATGAAAGATGAACGATTGAATGATCTCATTCTACTTGCTTGTGAGAAAGACCTAACAGACACTATCCCACTTGATAAAGTATTAAAAGTATGGCATGAAAAAAAAATGAGAAGAATTTCAATTAAGAAGATTAGTGTGAAAGTAGACTAATTATTGACTTTTTTTATTGCAATTGTTAGTTTGTGTTGCTTTTTGAAAATTTTATATGTACTTATGTAATATATGCACAGTACTTACATAAGTACAGTACTTCTATATTTGTTTTACAGGAAAAAATTTGCAGGGCAATAGTGTTTACACCCCCCCCCAATAAATTAGTGAAGTGACGTCCCTGGTTATATTCAGCGAATTTGTTTGTCTCCCTCAAAATTACCAAAGTTTTTGCCTCAATTTAAACCTAATAATAGTAAAAATATGATCCAAATTTTTTCTACCGAAAATTAATTCAACAAAATTTTTAGATCTAACGAGGGCTTTTTGAGTCTGTCCTTTTCAGGCAGAGCTACTGAGAAGGCGGGTTGTCGAGGAGAACTCTCCCTCACGTTGCTACGGGGAAGTGAGGCTGGTGAAGCCAGTTCAGCAAGAACAGATCGAAAGAGCACGCTGGAAAGATCACATTTTCACACTAGCGAAATATTTACGCTGTCATTGTGACATATTCAAGGCATCTTTGGTCATTGAGAGTAAACAACACACCCTTTCTGTTTAGAAGTGGATTTGAAGGGCCTATCACTTCACATTATGGCTGAAGCAAAAGTTCTTGTTCTCGGTGGATGTGGTTTTATTGGGCGCAATTTGGTTGCATATTTGATAGAGAACAACCTGGCCAGCATAGTTCGTGTAGCAGACAAAATGCCACCCCAAACAGCATGGCTCAATAGCCACCATAAGAAAATCTTCGAAGACGATCGAGTTCAATTTCGTCAGGCCAATCTTCTCAATCCAAGTCACATCGAGCGGGCGTTCGTGCTTGAAGAAGGTGTTTTTGACTATGTTGTTAATTGTGGCGTAGGTATTAAATATGGCCAAGCTGAAGAGGTTTACAAGGAAGGCGTGTTACAGCTGGAAGTTAATTGTGCAAAGAAGGCTGCAGAATTGAAGGTAAAGAAATATATAGAGATTTCGTCAGGGCAGGTGTACTCAAGTGACAAGAAGGCAAGTGCCGAAAACTCCAAAGTGTCGCCATGGACCCTTGTTGCTAAATACAAATACAAGGTTGAGGAAGAGCTGAAAAAAATCGAAGGACTAAATTATATTATCCTAAGACCTTCTATTATCTATGGGATAGGTGATGTCGATGGATTGACGCCTAGGCTAATCGTTGGTGCTGTGTATAAACAGCTAGGTGAAAAAATGAAGCTCCTTTGGTCAAAGGACCTCCAAATGAACACTGTACACGTGAAAGATGTAGCTCGTGCAATCTGGTTCCTCTTCGAAAAAGGAGGAAGTGGTGAGATTTACAACCTTTCTGACAAAAGTGAATCCACACAGGGCTCAATAAGTGATTTGGTGTGCCAAATTTTCAACATCTCTTATGACTTTTTTGGTTCAGTGATCTCAAATATGGCAAAGCTTAATATGTCTGGTATGGTAGAAGATTCTAACGAAAAACACTTGGCTCCATGGTCTGAGGCATGCACTAGGGACAAGATTGCCAATACACCTCTAAGCCCATACTTGGATCAAGAGCTGCTCTACAATAACAATCTCCACATTGAAGGATCAAAAATAGAGTCACTTGGCTTCAAATATGAGTACCCCAATGTTAAAGTGGAGTATTTACGAGAAATTGTAGATGACTATGTTGAATTAGGGGTATTTCCTCCATCCCTTTCCCATGAAAAATGAACATTGATGAATCAATACAAGTTTGTACACTCAATGACACCAGATTCAGTAGGTTCATAGTTTTTTATCACTAATTTGAATTTTGCTCATGATGAATTAGAATCTGCTGTTTTTAGGTCCTAGTTTCAATGTTGATTGTATTTGAGATACCTTCTTGAGGATTAGAGAACAATTTATTTAAAAAAATAGGTAGAAGGAGGAAGTTAAGAAAAAGTTGAGCGGTTAGACAAATCTTCTAGAATATATTAGTTTGTATCCATCCTTGGCCATTTTGAAGCTGAAAAAAGTACATTCAATGAACTGAACTGAACTAAACTGCTGTAATGTTGAGTTTAGAACAAATGGAAATAAACTTGGGATGGATAGTCATTTCACACTTTGGAAAAGTATTAATCATATATTTAATTTTCAACGCCATTTTTATTATTTAAATTATTTTTTGTTTTTTGTCAAAGTTGAGTTGCTAATTTAGATTATAAAGTTCCACAGATAATAAAGTTTTGTGAAATGTTTTTTGATGGAGAAAATCTTGAATTGCAAATGTTGATTCTTGTCCACAATATTAATCTTTGGAATTATTTTGTCTTTTTGAATTCTTGCAATAAACATCTTGTGTCAAACAAACCAAAGAAGGAAGGTAGTAATTAGGAATTCTATCAGAAGGAAGTTGTTTAATCTGGATGGAGCAAGAAAAATCTCAATTGGGCAGTTAACATCCAGTGGTTTCCCGGAGCAAACCTCAAAGGCTCATTTAATGGGTTCCAGGAGCAAGAGCAGTGGGTTCTAGTAGCGAAGCTCGGACAGCTCACATTTTTTCAAGTCTATTTGTGGTGAAAATGTCCTATTGATTTCTTGACTTTTGAAATGAATGCCTCTGATTCACCTAGGTTTAACCAAAGGGGCAACTTGAGTTAAAAGAGGCCTTGTTGCCATTGGCCTCAGCAACCAAGTTGTTAATATGCTCTCTTATCTGGTTATCCACATCTTGTCATTTGACTTGACAAAATTTTGATCATCTCAGACATTCAGGATTTTAATTAATGATTTTAAAGTGTTTTTCAAAGAAAACATGGATCTTTTTGAATTTTTGGAAACTGTTTACAATAATGAAACTATAGAAATAGTTCATCAAGCAAGAATACTGGCCATAAATATGGGCTCTGACGCAGGTTGGAAAGTGAAGGAGAGGGGGGGGGGAGGAAAGGAGATTCTTTGCAAATTTGCTCTATTGTTCTGCAAAAAATTTGGGGGCATGCTCCCCTGAGCCCTCCTTTGTCTGAGGCCTTGATAAAATACTTTCCTTTTTGATTTTGATAGCATGACATGCGTCTTTGATGTCATGTACCATAAACCCTCGAATTAGCCCCCTGGGGGCTTATTTATTTTCGATATTTTTGAATGGGGGCTTATTCAGGGGGGCTTATCCGGGGGGGGCTAATAAAATTACTGTAGACTTTAAGAAAACATTATTAAAAGACCTCGTTTATTTTAGCATATATTTTTACGAGCATTTAATTAAGTACTATCAAAAGTATGAATTTGTTGTGGTGACTCAATAAAACGCCATAGGCAACCTCAGATGGCAAAAATCATCAAATTGAGGGGTCCAATTTGAGAATTTATTGTAGCAGTAGGGGGCTTATTCGAAGGGGGAGGCTTATTGACAGTTTTTAGTTCTAGGTAGGGGGGGCAATTCGAGGATTTACGGTATATGTGAGAACAAGGATCTTTGATATATCTTCAGGAAGTAGAAAGTGCAAAGAGAAACTTGAATTCGTTTTTGTAAAGGAATTTTTGTCAAGTGGGTTTTTCATCGCAAACGCCTGCCATGGCAACGACCTTAAACCAATTTTGCTATATTTTACTGTAAGGGAAAAAGCTAATCGTGAAAGGGTTGTATAGCATTAATGTGATTAATGTGGTTAGAAAAAATTGAAAACGTTGCATGAAAAAGAAACCTGAAAAGAACCCAGTCTATTTTAGCCAAAAAGCTCTTGTTTACTTCTATGTTTGTCTCAACTCTAGCTTTGATATTAAAAGCAAAATAAATTAAATCGCTGGCCGACAGACTTTTCTCGAGGCCGAAATTCTTAAAATATTTTGTCTCGCACCCCAACCAAGAAGGCCGCATACCAGAAGCACCCATAGTCTTGCCTCATTCATGTCGTCACTCTTTTCAAGATGGCGGGTAAGTGTACCGTTTCGCGTCTTGATAAAATACGCCTTTCCGGTCGGTTGTTGTCTACTTTGACATTCTGTAGTAAATCTGTTGTTCGCTTTGAATATTTTTCAATCTACATGTGAACAAATATGTCCTTCTTGTGCAGATATAAGCTCTATATTGCCAGTTTATCGGAGTGAAGATGACGACGACCAAGGAGACTACGACAGTAACGGTAAGCTCGAATTTTTAAAACGTAGTTACGGTTTTCTTTTGTGTTAGATCTTGTTGAGCTTTCTAGAACCTCAATTAAACTCTATTGGAACAATATCGTGCTGTTTTGTATTTATATACGAAGCACGGTGTACTTTAGTTGTTTTAATGCCTCTCACTTGTGGCCTAGCGGCGATCGTTATCACGATGTCTCCACTTCCAAAAAATTGAATGCTTCAGCTATAAAGAAGTTATTGTTTGCTTCCCTTCCAACATGGAAGGATTCCGCGGAAATTAAGTTTGATTACAGTTTTTATACTTGGGGAAGCGAAACTACATGATCAAACACGTTGTAGCCGATTTGTAATAATTTTACGGGACCACCCCCTCTGGAGTAAGGCTATAGCCGGGCAGTTTACCTCCAGTGTAACTCCAGTTCCAAATCTAGTCAGGTTTTAAAAAATGATGCAAGTAAGGTGTATTAATCTCATCTGCGCAGCTTTTCATTTGGCAAATTTTAATTAACAAGATTTGGATAACATTTGGAAATAAGACAGGATTCTTATGATTAAGTAGTTCTGGTTAGTAGAATCGTAATTGGATTTTCCGTTGCGATTTAAAAGTTTTTAAGTTGAAATTCTATAAAGATTGGACCAGTTTCAATTTCTCTTTTCTGCCAAGGTAAATTTTTGTTGCATTTAATGTTTTAATAGAGCTCTTGCTATATTGCACCTGTGTTTTCCATTTGCAGTTATCCATTTGACTTTCCAGTTCATTTCCACCTCATTATTCTTTCAAACAAATAAAAACAAAGTGATATTTTTGTTCTTCTTAATATTCAAACTGAAATATATTGCCTCTTTTCCTGCTGAAATCTTATACACTTGTGTCATATTACCTTGTTAAAATCATGTGGTATCAAAGAAATATATTTGGGAGGGGGAGGTTGGATGTTTTGAAGATTTCAATTTTTCAATAAATTTGGGCAAGAATGATTTATTTAAGGGTTAAGGTATGTTTGGAAATTATTGGCAGGCTGAAGCCCCAAACTCTTGAAAAGAAACAAGAAGATATAGTTAAGCCCCTTTTGTATAGTAAAGATGTAAGTTTAGTAAAGATATTCTTGGTTTAAAATAAAGGTATTTCAAAGCCTCTTGTGATGAAATGAATTTATTGCTAAAATGTCTTTGAAGTTTCCACTGTAAATGTTTTAGTATTTGCAACAGAGTTGGTGCTATCACTAAGCCAAGCACAAGTTTAATCTCAATTGTGCATGTTGCAAAACTTGCTTATCTGGTTGCTAAATCCTATGATTTTTATTAAGATTTTTTATGTCTTTTCAAAAAGCCTTTTAAACCACATTGACATTTTGTGTTGTAAAGCTGTTAGGCTGTTTGGGAAGTTTAGGAGATTTTCTTTTTAGATCATTGAAATTTTTAATGCAATCATTTCAGAGAATTGAAGATTGAGCTATCAATTATATACTTAATGATTTTAAAAATAAGCATTTGTCAGTAGTCTTTTCATGCAAATATTGACAGGGCTATGAGTTTCTTCAAGAGTTCCAGACATAAAATTTGTGCCTGTAATCAGTGGTCCAAATGGTAAAGAATTCCTGACCTATAGAAAACTGACATACTGACGAAATTAACTAATTTCTTTCATCAACATGTCACAATTTAAGTCCTCTGAGAGCTGTCCTTGTTCAAAGAGATTTATAAGTAATCTGTTCTGTTCTTTTTGCTTGATGGGAATCAATGTGCCTATCATATGCATATAAATTCATATGTATTAATGTTTCATTTCTATGTTTGCAATTCTAGTAAGCAAGAATCATAGCCATTTATAATTCACATATTAATGTTGCTGATTATAAGAATCTTGAAATAAATAAGACAGATATGACCTAGTTTGAATATTTTATTCATAAAGTTAACCACCTCATTAAGGTGAATTTTGTAAACAATTGATAAATACTCACTTACTGCAGGTTGCAGGTTGCACAAGTGATATTTTCATTGAGGAGCATTCTGGCATATGTTTTATCAACCTGTCGACTATTCACATTAATAATTTCTGCAAAATGGCTTGTTTAATGCAAAGGATATTAAAGACCTGTCTTACCAGCTGATTTCTTAGCCAAAGAGCCCTGCATAACTTTAATAAATATCATTAAGCAATCCATTTGTTGATGCATACTGGGACCCAAAAGGCTCACATACTGTGACATATTTGCAAGTTGAGTTACAAGCAGTATGTTACATTGCTTGCACCTTCAAAGCTCTATTTTAATTTCAAATTAATGAATGTTACTCTGTCTCTATTTTTAACCAACTCTTCTTTTTGTGTGTTAGATAATGCCCTTTCTTCTTATGTATGTGGGAAATTCCAGTTCCACTCTTATTGAGCAGGATGTAGACAGGGCTGTCAAAAAGAGGGCAAATTGCCCCAGGGCCTCAAGGTCTTTGGGGCAACATAAAGTAATTAATTCTATTTTGAGAATGAAATTAATCAAACATAGCAAAAGTATGCCTAAAAATAGTAAAATACTTTAAAAGATTGCACAAAATGACTGCAGGTAATATTCTGAAATAATGCCTTTTAAGCTAATCTGAAGAGTGTGGTTGCAAAAATTTTCTGCGCTGTCCTGCTTCTGCTCGCAGGGGACCTCATCTTCTGGTTTTGTCCCAGGGTCTCCTGCCTTGGTGGCCCTGGATGTAAAAAAGATGCCCTACCTTGAATATTTGCAAGTACTGTTTTAGCAGGTTTATTGTGCCTGTTTTATTAGAACATTTTGGTGAACCATGACAAGTGCTGTTCCAAAAGGTGTTGCCCCCTTTTCATAGGAACTTCCTTTAAACCTGCCATATAGACCTTGTGACTTACCATGTGGGAATTGAGTTATTTTTCCAGATGTTGATTTATTATAAGTCTGACTAAAAAAAGCTTACTTTGATATGGTTTCAAATTTGTTTTGAAATGATCTGTTTTAATGTTTCAAATTAGTTTGTTTGTCTTATTAAATGATTCTCCCATTGCTTTGCTGTTTCATTCTTTCTATTGCATACCCAAAACATATTCAACAGTTATTTCAATGAAAAAAGAAGGGAGGTATTTCTATTTGAATTGCTTATAACTCTCAGAAATATTTAAACTTGGAAAATCCACACATTGGTTCTAAACAAACATTGTTCTTCCAGAATTGAAAATGCCTCGCAGTAAGATATAGATATGCCAGAAGGATGTCAATTAGTGACTAACATCTGACAGCCCAATTCAGAGCTGACTTGACAGGGCAATACTGAGCTGACTTAAATACATTGACCAATTACTGCTGATAAATGTCAGGGTTATTGTTTGACTTAATAAACTATTTTTGAATGATATGTAGTGTTGCTGTTTCTTTCCTGGAAGTGTAAAAGTCTTCAGTTTAGATTTACTTACTTCAGGTTCATGGAAGTGGAACAAATAACAATGCCAGCAAAATATTCGCATGATATAATTGATAGTATCATGCGTTTCTTGCATAAGGATGATCATATGATCATTATTGATCATACAAAATAACATGTGAACTATCTGCCTCAAAATATATGAAGAAACTCAATATTCTTCTAAATATATGCAAATTTAGAAGAAGATAAATGCTTTGTAAAACGAATCCAAGCAATCTTAGAAAGAAGAAGGATAATTTTAAACATCAAAGGTGCTATGTTAAAATAAAAGTGCACTTTTATACAACAATCTCCTTTACCAAGTTCACAACATTATGAATAACCAACATGTCAGTGAAATTGGAAAAGCAGACAGCATTTGTTGATAATGTGATGTACTGCATAATGCTTTATTTTGACAATTAAGTTTCCACTTAATTAAAGCTTCTCTTATCTTAAACCTTCTCTGTCTTCCTTTTTTAGATATCCTTTATACCCAAAAATAGTTTTGAATAAGACAATCTCTGGATATGTCAAACACCTTGACAAACAGACCTATCAATCAGATTTCTAACTCCCTGAACAAATAGGTCCGCTTACTTGAATCAGTTAAGCCAGCTTGGGGGTAAAGCTCCTAATAATTGCCAATCTGTGCTCTATTTCCTAAATAACCAAATAGTACTAAGTATTAATTGAAATGGGCAACTCTCCAATATGAATATTGTTCCTAGAAGTAAATTATTGCTACCTTTCTTGTCCGGATATATACTTTATGGTATTTGGGAGCAAATTTTAATTTTCGGGTGTAAACCTTGGTAAGTCAAAACCTCTTTAATCCAAACAAATTCATATTTCCCTTGAGAGTTCCCCTTCTCATTGTTAAGCTGCATTATTGTTTATATTTGGAACCTGTCACTTCATTCACGTTTTCATATTTAAATGGGGTGCCACACATAATAAAGAGGACCATTCAAGATACTTATCATGTTGGATGCAGAAACAGTTGTTCATTGCTTGCGTTGCTATATTTCAATCTAACATTATTTCTATCTATCAATTACTCCCAATTTACATTAGTTGCTTAAAAAAACGTACACAAAGTTTAAAGAATTTGTCACACTACAAAAGTATTTTTTGTGATTGAAATAACAGGCTTCTTCTTTCATTTCTCAATTTTATTCATGTTTGTATCATCTCAGTTTGCATACTTGCCAAATTTTAATGCTTATCTGATCATTAACATCTCTTTTGAAGCTGTCCTAATTTTTCCAGTTATTCATTTTATTAGACTATGGTGGGTACTATGAGCCTTCAATACTTGACCAAGTCAATCCAGACGACCTACTAAGCCCTGTTGAGAAGATGAAAAAATACTGCATAAGTGAGAACATCTTCACAAGGTTTGTTATTTTACTCATTTTTTTATATTCAGATAAAGAGTTTATCTTAGTTTTGATTTTCAATATTTTGATTCATGGGTACCAGCAAGCATTGCTCTTTGTCTCTAGGTCTTAGAGCTGTTGTAAGGTTAACTTGTAGGGGGAAAGGGGGGCACTTAGACCATGTGCCAGTCACAAAGACCGAGATACAACGTTTTGTTTGGTGGGGGGGGGCAGCCCTGATCAATAAGTGTAAAAACAGCCATATTTTACAAAATAAAAACATTTTCTTTATACCAGTTAAGATTTTGGGGGGGCCAAGGCCCTCCCCCTGCCCCCCGATATCTCGGTCCTTGGCCAGTCACTTGAGTCAGGGTTACTAGGGGATTTTTGGGTCATCCAAATATGTTTAGAAACAGCCACAGTGCAACACTAGGTAAACTAACTTTTAACTACCTGCTGACTTGAGTCAATCAGTCGACCGTAATGCTCAACTTTCACTAGCTAAAATGCCTGTGTTTTTCTTGAACTCTGTTTATCTCTAAACAAAGATATTTTGATTGGAGCTATGATGAATGTTTGGCCATTTTTAAGTTCGGAACTTTTGATTGTTAATTGTTTTTCTTGTGGGAAAGTGCAGCTTGAAAAATTCTTAACCCAGTCGGAGAAGCTAATATTCATTAAGTCACAGTTATTCTTCAACTGAGGATTAATGCATTTGAATCAGAATTCCAAGTTCTTCCCACAGTGGCAAAAATTGGAAGTCGTCGTTCAGGTTTTTAAATGTAGAGATGATGACAAGGTTTCTCTGTTAAGAACTCTGATATTTCCATTGCCCATCTTACAAAGGTGTCTCAAGGTAGAAAAATGTACCCTTTTGTCAGTTGTGTAGTGCTGCCAAAGTAGTAAGGTGGGCTCTTAAACAAAATGTTGTGAAAAACAATAGCAAAAGTAGAAATTTGCCAATTTTTGGAGCTCAGCCCTCCTGAGTGCCCCTAGCTCTACACCCTTGCCTTTTGTCTCCAAGAGCTTTCATAAACGAATAAAAAACGTACCTTCGTTTGATATGTCCTTGAGTAATGCTTAATTCGTGCAAATCATCATAGGCGCGTGTATTATCTGCTCACTTAACTTCTACTAAAGTCTTTCGCAAGTGAGATATTTTGAAACGAAACTCTTTACTTTGCATTCTTTTTGTCGCTCTTTGCCCTTTCTTGAAATGCATCTTGCAAAAAACACAAGTTCAAAGATGATCTGGAAAATGTCTGCAAAAACGAAAAGCGCAGGCTCTGCTTAATTGCTGTATATGTATAAGCAGAAGTTGTTTCTCTCTGTCTCTGTTGCGCAACGCTTCGCATATTCCACCAGGTAACTCTTGCTGGTAAGTAAGGTATACGAGCTTTTTATTTCGCCGCGACAACCAATTCAATCATGCTCTTTTCAGTGTTTCAGTATGTTGGTTCTCCTATCACCGTTGTTGTCCTTAATTTATTAATGTTTTAAATTGTTCGATTAAAAGGAAAAGAAGCTGGTTCCGCGCTTTGCGCCTGTGACCTGCTGCAGATGTTCTGGATCTTGAGAATATCGCCATATATTCGTGCTGCAGTTGGTCATTACATGACTAGTCTGTCTGGTTTGTACATAAGACTTTGAACTGAAACCTGTTTTTTCTAGAGTTTGAAGCTACTGTAGGAAAACGCGTCCTGGTCGATGTTATTGCAAAGCGCCTACCGGGAATGGCACCTGTCGTAAGACCCTTTGCCAAAGAAACCGAAACACCCACACTCTCCCATTGAACATTGCGGGGTATAGCAGGTTGAGTTTCTCAAACAGCACAGTTCAGAGTAGGCGTCGTTTTCTCATTGGTTTTTTCGCATGCGTCTTCTCTCATGTTTGAATCTCGTCGCCTTAATTGGATCCAGTTCTTTGTAGACTAGTGTCACCAAACAAGTCGACGTTAGCTACGGAGAACCATGAAAAGGGCTCTTAAATTTCCACACCACTGCAATTGTGTAGACAAAAGGAATCCGTTTTCACCCTATGTCTTAATTGGCATTATTTTCAATAAGAAAGTGGTACTGACTGGGCAACCAGGGGCGAAACTACTGGGGGGGTATGGGGGGGTGCTGCACCCCCCCAATCTTCAAAAAAGCAGATTTTGTCGGGCAAATTTATGGCTGCTAGTGTATCTGTCGGGCAAATCTGGAAATTTTCTTTAGGTCGCACTTTTATTGCTACTTTTTGCCCTAGGTTGGTTTTTTAATTCATGGTCTTTTCCCCCATCTTTTTTTCAATTTCCTCCCAGTTGGGAAAACAGAAACGAGGCAAGGAACAGCAACATATATACATTTCTGTCTTTCGTCCGTCCACTGATCAGCGCTTTCGTCTGGAGCTCAACGCGCACATGTTTATCTTCGCCTCGAGATGAAGTCTGAAGTATTGATCGACAGCAAAAGTATAGATGGAAAGTAAAGTTTGTTTGATGCGAGAAGGAAATGAACACTGTGTATACCCCTCCTCCCTCCTTTTTGCAAAACAAGTGAGCTTTTTTCAAAATCTTTTGTTGTGATTTCTAAATTTTCTCTTGAAAAGCCCCCCCCTTCAACGTTCCATCCTGCCTCGGAGCCCATAGAACACTGACAGTTTTAGAAGCATCATGAATCAAAGCATGAAGGATATACCATCTCGGAATACGTTGTTGAGAAAATCAATCAATATTTTCTTTTCCTAATGTATGAAACTTTCATTCATGAAATCAAACATGTTTTAGAGATTTAGGTCAGGACATTTGAAGAAGACATCATTTGGGTTTTTAAAAACTTCATAACATCAACAGGAACATAATAAAACTATTTACAATAAACATGATCAAACGTGAACACCTTTTCATTACAACGTGGCGTGAACAACTGATTAATGCAACTTCGAGGTCTAGGAACGAGTGAAGGATTAACCGCGTGCTGCTCCTTCACAACAACACATCCATAAGGAGTTATGCCCCAAAATTATCTTAAGGTTTTACACTTACGGTTCGAAAGTATTGCACCCTTCGCTAGAAAATGGTCATACAGACGCCAAAGTTTTTTAACTAAAAAAATTTGAATTACCATAACAAGTAACAGAAAGTTTTAATCAGTTCAAGCGGGAAGTAATATAAAATTTATCAAGAATTTGTAGTTAAGATATGAATTGCAAAAAATCTTTCGAGTTTATTCTACTTCTGAACAATATCCATGATTACGAAAACATGAAAATTGAGCTTTGATGATAGGTATACCTGTAAAATACCTCCAATAAAAAACTTTTCTTTGCTTGAGGGATTTTGTTATGGTGAATTTAGATATACGTACTTTGTGCTTGGGTGTCTAAAAATATTGAAATTGCTTCCGGAGCAACCGAAAATTGAAAATGAAACTCAGAGAATGCAACTGAAGCTCTTTTTTGTTGGAACATTGTAATCTGCGTAGCTGTTTCTAAATTCCGAAATTTCCAAGCTGTGTTTTGGTGTTCCACTTTGATAAAATTGAGACCCTACTTCAATCTCTTTTTTGAATTGCTCTCTTAATAGCTAGGTGATTTAGAAAGTGAAGACTTTTTTTTATAGGAAAGACAGACCTTACAAATGCTTGCTTTTCGGAAACAAATGTTTATAGCCAACACCAGAAAAACTAGAGGCATATTTTTTGACTTAAAACAAACAGCCTGAGTCTAAAGACCCTCTCTCGGGCTTCCCGATGATTTCAGCCCTTGAGGCGATGTGCTCTAAAAATGAAGTTCATGTAGGACACGCCCTTTCATCAAGCATGCCACGCCCTTTCATCGGGCAACTAAGCTTCATACCCCCCTAATGAAAATAGTGAAGTTTCGCCCCTGTGGGCAACATTGAAAGTCATATGCTCGCCCATTTCCTGATTGGCCTATTACGATCCACAGCTGGTTATATACAGTTCCTAGCTTAGCCATGACCTTTTTCTAAAGAATAAAGCTTTCAATTAAAGTTTTCACTCGGAAAACCAGTTTTCACTGACGCGTTCGAATCGACAAAAATCGATTAACGTCGATTACCTTCGCACATGCGTCAAATTTGGTCAAGAGCGATTAGCGGATGTAGAGTACAATAGCACGTGATTCATTTTCTTGGATGGCCCTTTTGAATGGAAAGGCCTATAGCTTATGCTCATTCTATTCCCTGCCTTGGTTTCTATGGAGTGAAGAACTCTGTTCGTATAGCATTTATTACCACAAGCATCATCGTAACATAAGCTTTATTATGATGAAATTACGCATTGAATTTTAATATTCTTATCCGAATAAATGCTTAAAGCAAAATACAGCCATAAAATACAATTTCCCAGTCAATAAATAATGTCCTCTCTTTGCTTCCCTTTGCTCCAATCTTTTCTATGACCGCAAAATGATGCCTTGCCAAACATATGGGCAGTAACAATCAATTGCGTTTAACCATTCAACATTCGAAAGCGGTCGAAAGGCAAGTGAAGCCTATCGATCGATTCAACTGCTTTCGTTTAAGTAGAAGCAAGGTTAAGCAACAATGTTTTTTGGATTTCTGGTTAGAGTGCGCGAACAAGGTATTCCATTTTATTTGATTCTTAGCTTCTTTTGTAAGTTGTCGTTTTCAGATCACTTCCTTGAGGTATCTTTAATGATGCCTTTCCGCGAGGTATCTTCTATGATGCCCTTTCGTGAGGTATCTTCTATGATGCCCTTTCGTGGGGGTATCTTATATGATGCCTTGTCAGAAATATTTTCAATTTCTGCTATAAAGACTAAATAGACCAAGTAAGGGAGTTTTCTTAACCCTTTCTTTGGTAGTTGTTTGTTTGGATCGATCATGGTTTTGGGTAGTTTTCATGGCATTATAACTAATGTTATAGATCACAAAGTATACACAAAATGCCAAAGAATTTCAATGAGGGTCTTCAGAGTTTTGTTTTAAAGCTTGTCAACTTAATTAAAATTTATAATGGCTACTATTTACATGCATTTCTTCGATACCGTGCGAACAAAATACAGTATTCTATGGTTATAATTGCGTTTTTACTATTTCCGCTTAATATACTTTTGCTCCAGATCTGTCTCTACTCTCGGGCTCCTATGCCTGTCCATCAAGCCAAATATGTGCCCATCTCGGATCTGAGTCAATTTTGCCCCTGTCATTTATTTATCCGGGCTCTTTAAAAACTGACATATATTTAGCACTGTCATCAAACCTGCGAAACTATTGCTACATGTAGCAGTGGAACGAGTGAAATAACTATGTTTCTTTTTTGCCTGTCCGTTGATACTTCAAAAATGGATGTTTTTAGCATATTTTATTTATGGCAGCATCTCAAAATGTGCGCAGTTGTTTTTGCAGGGCAAAGTCTCTGTTTTGTGCGTGAATTTAGCACTTTGGCGGTATCAGAATTGATCAGATGAACCTTTCCGTGTCTACGAAAACTAACTGGGTCGGGTCGGGAATATTACTTTCACTAGCAGATGCCTCTTTGAAAGAGCTCATTAATATTCATTGCGAAACCAAAACGCTTGTTGATATCAGGTCTGTATTTTGCTTACGTCGCGTAAATAAAATGTATTCGCTGATAGTTTTACAAACCGTAAGCATGGACTGTGCCGTACAGAGGTCCAGCTCTACAATGGTTGCTAGTAAGAATCCACGAGTATGCATCGTCTTCACCAAACAACAAAGGTAGCTTCGTTATCATATGGGTTTTTACTTTTTGCAACCAGGAACTCTGGTAACGCTTTTTTTACTGAATCAGTGTTTGTCGTGTTCGCATGATTCTCTTCCTTCACTTTTTTTTATGTTAGCAGTAATTGAAGTTTCTGTTTAAAGACATGTTTACTGCCTTGTTGAATTTCGCATTTTGACATTTAGATCAATATTTTCTCATTGATTATTTTTTTTGTGGTTTTTTACCGGGGTGATGTATTTCTTCAATTTCGAATTTGCCTTGCGATGTGGGTAATGCTACAAATAAATTGATTTTTTTTATGTTCGACGAAGTAAAATTTCCATTAGATCGTAGAATACTCCTTTGCAAAAACCCTTTTCAAGGGATTTGATTAATAGAAATAATCACAAAAACATTTGTTCACGAGTGTGTTGTTTCCAGGGTTTCACATTTATGCTAAGCTGGTTGTTAAATTTTTTTATTTTTTTGTTGCTTCTCGATCGTCGGAATAACATGTTATCATAAAAAAGATTTGGTTTCTGAATATTTAACCTCGACATGCCTGTTCCAACTCGTAAATGATTTTCTGTTAGCAACCTCTTGAATGTTTCGACTTGTTCCTGTTTATTAATAAATTCTACCTGTATTTTTAAACTTCCAGCTTGATCGTTAGTTCCTTACAGCATCGCTATTTATTATTTACTTGCGAGGTCAAGTTGTAGGTTTGATCCGCGCGAAATTGCACAGTCCATAATCGTATGTAATAATTAACGACCATTTATCCTTGCTGTATTGTTTGATTATTATCTATCTTGTTTTGTTCTTTTTCCCAACTGGCAAAAACTATCAATGTTCACGGTGTCACCCACAAAGGAATATTCAAGTTTATTCTGTACTTTGTAGCTGAAAGTCTGTTTTGTCGACCGGATTTTTAAAGAGCTTATTCTAATGGAATTGATAGCATGCTAGCAACGCTTATGGTTTCGACATGTAGCTTTCCCAAACCGAATTATAAGGTTAACTGTATGTAAAGATTTTGTATTTCAACCACTTTTTATTTATTGCGGCCCTTAATTGCACTTTTACAGTAGACAAAATTCCTTTCACTTTCCCTTATCGTAACCAGTACGCTGTCCCTAACTACATTAAATTCACTTTCAGACAAATGGTGGCCAGAAATGTCGTGGAAACGATGCAAACGGTTACGACAGAAAAAGACTGCCATACTGTTTTACAAATAATTCACCATCTATCTGAAGACATAGGTTTGTGATTCAATGTTTTTATTTGTTTATTCGATATTTTTTAAAGTCACCAGTACGTAATGTGGCAGCTGGTTAAATGTAGGTACCTTAAAATGCCCTCAATCTCTTCCAAAAATTATTTTTTCTTCTGGTCCCGAGCCGACTTTCTCCTTTCTCATCAGTGTCTTCTCTCTGTGAAGTCACTACTAGTTAATTTGATCTTCCAAGCCTTTCTCCTGCTGCAGTGAGACTGTAATTGAGTGTCTTGGGCAGCCAATGTTCCCGGAAATATTTTTTTAAAAGAGCTCAACGCGTTAGATGAGTTCTTTGACCAGTTGCTGAAAAAATGACAGAAACAAAGCAAGAAAAATGGGAAGTCCATTTGAGTCCAATGAATTAGGTTTCGATCCAATGATATTATAAAGCATGTTTTTATTTATGACGATATGAAGTTTAGCTATTAAAAGGATTCGACCACAAAAGACCTTTCGGGTAAACTTTTCAACCTCCTTCGCGTAGAGGGTCATATCCCTTACGAAATTGCGAATTTTATGTCTTCATGAATTCAATATTCGAGCAATAAAGCCATGAAATGAAATAAAGTCAAATATGAAGTCAAGATATTATACATAATATATAAATTTAAATACTTTTAGCGACAGGTAGTAAGTAAGATTGGTGCATCGTAGCTTTATCATAATCAGCTCGCGAACTTTTTTTGTCGTAAGCAACTTCTTCCCTGTACCATATTTTCAATATACCCCTTTTATTCATTCCAGAGCCGTCAGTCAGGACAGAACTAGTCGAGCAGCTGCCGTCTGTCTGCATTGTCTTATCTGAGTTACAGCTAAGCATGGATACGGTCCCCAAATATATTTTGCCAATCGTTGTTCGATTTCTCACCGATCAGCATAACCAGGTATTAATGATGTTTCTTACTCTTTAGACTTGATCGCCCTCCAATTAGTACCCACTAATATATCTTCATATACGTTGTCTGATTCATTCTAAAGCCATCTTGATTTTCATTAAATGTCGTTTTTTCGGTGCCGTTTGCTGTATAAGCTGCAGTTTCGCTCTCTTTGGTAATAATGGCTTTGAGGTAGACTACAATCACTGCCAAAAGTCTTGGAACACTAACGTAGGTTTTCAAAGGCAAATTCAGCCATCCCCCTCTCCTCCTAGGAACAATGTTGATTTACTATAGAAAAAAGAAAGGGGCTATGGAGTACGCTTTTTCTTGTGGATTGTTTGATATTTTTCTATACTCTCAACACTGTTTTGGGGGGAAAAGGGGGCGGAAGTGGTAGTATTCAAGAAAACAAATGAAAAATAGAAAAGCACAGCCCAAAGTGTTAGGTGTGCCAAGTAATTTTGGCAGTGATTGTAGGTGCGCGTAACAGTACTCATGGATGTAGAAAGGGGGAAAATCCTCGTATCTGGTGGATATTTTTCTTGCATAATACATAGTTAAAGAAGGAAGAATGCAATTGGAAAGACTAGTGCACCAAGCGGCAGGGAATTTACAAGAACCTTGTTTTTGCAATAGCAAAGAAATAATAAATGCAGCCTTCAATCTGCTAGGAGCCTGTCCGCGACACTTTCCTGTTTGGGATTGCTAAAGTTAAATTCTCGCTAGTTATAGCTTTTGTAGGCTTTGATACAGAATACCACAGTCGGCTATGTAGTGTTGGAGCGCAAATGATTTAGTCTATTTTTGCTAATATTACTTTTTCTTTAGCTGTCTTCTAACTAGCATCTAGATGACTACATGACATTCTGTTGATTCATCATAATCTTCATTTCCCAGCCTGCTTTGACTATTATTTTTCAAGGTCCGTAAGTCAAGCCAGGGCTCGCTATTGCAGCTGATGGAACACGACCTGATCACAAGAGATGACGTCGAAGAACAAGTTTGTCCGGTTCTGCTGCAGCTGACTGAGCCGGACAGTGGGGACGATTTCAGAACGGAAGCAGTTACGGTAAATACATGTTCAAAGAATCGTTTCTTCTTTACAATGTGTTTTTTTGTTCTCCTCATATATTTTGAATATAAAAAGCCCAACATGGGCCTTTCATCTTATTTGCAATGAAACCTCTGCTGATAATTATTTTTTGGAACAATTTTACGTTGTATGGGGGTGTCTTTTCTAGAGATGTGTCTGTTGTAATTGGGTGTTAAAGAGACGTTTCTGTTGAAGAGAGGTTTTTGTTGTGGGCTGGTATTTGTAAAGATATTTCCGCTCTAGAAATTTGTCCGTTGTAGAGAGGTTTCCGACGCAGAAATGCGTTGATTGTAGCGTGGTGTCTGTTTTAGAAGGCTGTCCATTTTTTCTGTTGCCTTATTTACGTTATTTTGATATCAGAAAAGAATTCGTTTACAAGATGATTTACTTCGTTAATTTGTTACTGGGAGAAAAATTGAGCTTACTTTTTTAGTTTCGTTCTTTTTTACATTTGTTTTTTCTAAGCATCAACTCTACATGATTAATTCCCTATTCGAGGTCATATTTGGGCAGTGATGGGTATTAAGAAGCATCCTCCATTCATACTTGACCCAGTCTCCATTCATACTCGACCCAGTCTCCATTCCCTTTGCATTCTGTCGTAACAGCCATCTATCAAAACGGTTTTGTTGCCTTGAATTCAAATCCGTTAACTTGAAGTTCAGAGAAAAGAATTGACGAAAAACCTGTACTTGTTGAGACTTTGCGATCTTTCGCTTATTCTATAGATAGTTGTCGGTGTCCCAAAAAAGGCCAAGAAAAAGAATTCTTTTAGCGTTCAGCAATTTCTATTCATCACATAATCCTCGTTTCTTCAAGCTTGAATACAACCACTCCATATATTTTTATGTGTTTTTATATGTTCCAACGATGAAATATCAACCAATAACAAGCGTTCTCACAAGTGTAACGATAATGATTCATTCCTACTTAAGCATTCCATAGTGCAAGCACATAACCACGTACGGAACCATGCTACAAAGGATTGTTTACCAAATGGACAAGAGGGCTGGAAAAACCCACAGTACTTTCAATCCTTAAAATATCCTCCGTTCTGTCTTTTTTCTTAACTACGGTGTTATTACATTCATTTTTTTGCTAAATTTTCTGAGATGTGGAATGAATTGTTAGCGTTGATTGGTTGCTACGTAGAATACACCAAGCTCCTTATTTCAAGTGAATCCCAACAGACCGTCGTGTTCTGGAGTTTCTCAGGGCTCCAATGTGCTATTCAGACCGTTTCATGAAGCTCAAAGTGTATGACGCGAACGGCAGCTTGCCTATGCTATTTGATCGGCACGCCAAGAAGACTGCATCTTTTGTTTGTAGCAACTGATAAGAGGAAAGCTGGTCAAATGCTTTAGGAAAAGAAGCTCTAATTGCTGCGACAGCAAGCCGTGCGTTTTTCTTTTTGCGTTGCGTTGTGCATTGTTCAATTGGCGCTCCTCTTTATTGATATTTAATTTATTTTCAGCTGATGACAAAGATAACAACACTTGTTGGCGCTGACATCACCGAAAGACTGTTCCTTGACCGCTTCGGGGAGCTATGCTCTGATCCTCTTTTTCACATTCGGAAAGTAAGTTTTCTACTTCATTATCGAAATATATCTGAATCATTGGGTAATCATTTCAGTTGTTCAAACAAATAAACCGTGAATACCCAGGCTTTCCACTGACCACGGCAATCCGCTGTTTGCTCCACAATTAATTTTCCCCTTTTTCTATCATTCTCCAGTCGTTTTAAAAGTTCTTTGACCATTGTTTCGCTGAACCATTGTTTGGCAGTTAAACTGTTAAGTTCCTAATTTTTGTCATTTATTAAAATATAAATGTTTAGGGAAATCTGGAACCACTGATACGACGTTTTAGGTTTTTGATCTGATAATTCAAAGGGGATTTTTTATTGAAGCCTTTTTGAAGAGTTATTTGTTTTACATCACCTTATATAATTTAAATTGTGATTTGTATGTAAATCCATTACAGGAATGCGCATCAAACTTTGGTGATATATCCAATGTTGTTGGGCAAGAGGTGACGGAACGTGCATTGGTAGGCCTCCTATGTTCTCAATATTCCAATTTTTTCTTAAAACATGCATCTACTCGCATAGGCGAATTCCTTTTTCTTTTGTAAATGCTTCAATCTCCGAGATTATGTTGCTTTTTTCAAATAATTAGAAGATTATTGTTCCTATATCTCTGTATTAATGATTTTTTTCTTATTACTGATGGTTTTTATTTGGAAGCTGTTGGTTGTTTCAAAGCGCTGTACCTGGAACAGGCTTTCCCAAAGACATTCCTTCCTGCTTTTGAGTTTATTAGTCGTATATATCTATATCCTCAAACCTCTTTGTAAAAGCATTGAACAATATTTCAAGATTCATATTTCGATATGGATTTCCAAGTGTTTAAGAATAGTCAACGAAAATATGAGTAATGTAGGTATAAATAAAGAGTAGAAACAAAATATACGTACTCAAGAATAGTCAAAAAGTGCGATAAAAGATTCCTTTGAAGCTTCGAAAACAACAACGCTATCGTCATATCAAAATTTCTTGGAAAGTCGGTTAATTACTTTGATGGATGTGAATTTAGCTAAAAGCCAAAAGAATCCATTTTTATACATTACAGAGGTCGCTTGCCTTATTGGCTTGTTACCATACGCATGTGTAACAATTTCTCCCAGCGGATCTTTCTTGTTTTTTTTACTTTGATGAATAGCAGTAGATAAACCCCTAAGTTATCAGCAGCAGTTGATTACATTGAAAAAGGATCTGTTGAAGCAACGGAAAATCGCCAACTGGCCTAATATGGAAAGTATTCTGTATAGACCATTATATGTTCAGTAGTTTGTAGAGTACGTTTCCTAAAGTGCATTTTTATTCGGTGCCAAATAAATATTTGTGTTTGTTTATGTTTAGCTAAAGCTCTTCAGTCGGCTTTGCCAAGACGGAGTTTGGGGAGTGAGAAAGGTAATGCATTCTCTCTATTAAATTCTACTGAGAAGTAAAATATTACCGTTCATATTGCTCATATTCAGATACAAATTAAAAGATTGCTTTTGACTGCTATAGCTGTAACAAAAACTACAATATCTGTATATTGTTTTCGCATTTAATCCTTTACTGATACGCAGATGGTATGAATATATGCATCCGCTCTTTTTTATCACAATTTTTGTCTTTTTCTGCTATCATGACCCAACTTTTCTATATATTTTTGTATCTGTCTGTTATTCTTTTCATTTTTCGAATCTTTCCCTTTTTGCCGTTGTTCCTTCTTCAATTTATTAACGACTGTTGATTCCCTTTCACCCTTTCCTTTATAATTTTCCAACCCAATACCTCCTGCAAGTGCTAGTTTCCTTCTTCTGTCAATCATTTCCAATATTGACTTTCCATTCAGTTTTTCATATTGCCCTTATGGAAATCAAACTCTTCATACTTTAGTCTTGCGCTGAAACTTTCATGGTGGTGTCAGAGTCCTGCTCCACAGAAACAAGATATGAAAAGCTGGCCCCATTGTTTGTAAATCTTCTCTGCGATATGTCTAGATGGGTAAGTTAGTCACTGCTTGGTGAATTGTTAGTTTGTTAACTTCATTTGGCTCCACATCATACTAATCCAGTGCATTCTCTATTAAGCTCTGGCACTCGGCTTCGATGATTATTCTCTAAAGCTTTAATGGTATCACAGCTAAAGTCTCAAAGCTAATGACCACCCTCCCCCTTATGGTTGTTACAGGCTAGGGTTAGCTTTAACTTCACGTATACCGTAAGAAGCGATGACAATAGTGTGCAACTCGTGTTGTGACTCAAAACTAACTTATCATAGGATAATTACAACAAGACATACTAAACACAAGCATCATAAATTAACATAGTAATGTATAGTAGCGTCCAGTCCTATTACATGGTCATTTCCTTCTGATAAAGGTGATCATACTTCAATCAACTGCTAAACTTCAAGCACTGGCTATTGTTTAAATAACATTTTTAGTGCCGCATTCAAAGGATCTCAGTTTTGCCTGATTGCTTCAACAGACGAAAAACAAATGAAGTTGCTTAGAAAAGTCTCAATGAGCTCACTAAGGAGTTTTCAAAGGCATTTGCTGATAAACGCCTGATTAAACAAAAATACGATGAATTATCGATGGCCAGATGAATCGGAAGTTTCCAAATTCGAGCACCAAGCATTTGCCTTCGTCTAAGGCGATAATTGAACGTTTCCTTTACGTATGGCTGCATTGTTCAAACAGATTTCTTCAAATATCACTGTTTGTATTATTCCAATAGATATCGCTGGTTCTTGCAAGCCCGAATAACCAGATTTCTACTGTACTGCAAAATCAAAATAGGCCAGCAATCTCCTTGTTGCTCGCGTTTCTAATAACCCAAGTCGGATATCTTGTGGTATCGTTGATATTAAGTCTGTATTAATCTGTTGGTATTTTTATGTTTCATAGGTGCAAATGGCAGCATACCAAGCCTTAGGCCAGTTCATTTCAACATTTGCTGACCCCGACATCGCTGGGTTTCGAATCACTGAGCATGGACTTGAACCATGTCCCAAAAAAATCAAGAGATCGAAAGAAACAATCGATCATCAATTCGAATCTGCAGAGACTAGGAACCAGTCAAGCCCTGTAGAAGAGATAACTCAAGAAAGGTAGGCCTCTTAATTTTATAGTTGATTGGTGAACGTTTGCTGCAAATACACCACAACTCTGCTTACTATTCCCCAACAACTGATGTTTAAACCTTAAAACTCAGTTACCAGCGACATTTTCAGTATTTCTTGGAGCCTTATGGCTTTTCGTCCCAAGTTCTTATCGGCGAATGTTTGAGCCAATCTGTGGTTAAGAAATGTTTTCCAAATTTGTCAGTCGTTGTCTTAATTTTTGCTGTGACGTTATCTGGTTTTCTGGGTGTCTGTTTGTCAGAATCAAACCCGGTAATGCTAGTTTTGCGTAGGGGGGCCTTATAATTTTAAAGCCTAAAAACAATGGCTATGTGAAGATGGCACAAGATCTTTTTTTAGAATTTTCAAAGTTGGATCATATAACCAAAAAGAAATCCAGTAAATACCTTTTGCTGTTGAAAGTCAAATCCTCTTCAAACTAAGACTTTATCAGTGAATGAGATTTGCAAATGCATTACCATTGTTTTTGATGGGTAATAAAGTTTAGAACCAACACCAAATTGCAGTGATTTGGTAGGGAAAGAGCCTGTGATTATCTGATTAGCTTGTAACGAACTTTGGATATATTAGGCTGATTTTTTGAACGAAGAATGATTTCATTGTATGCGGAGGTATTCTATTTTCTCGTTTATGTAGGATACGCTTCGAATGTTGTCTCGGAATGTGTAGTAAAAATAAAAAAATACTTTTGTAAATTTCTGTGAGATCATCTCTTAACCGTATAGTTGCCTGAAATTGTTTATTTTTCATCGTCAGAAGTTTGTAGTGCAGTAAAATGAATGGAAAAGTTGATTATTCTTTGATGTTCTTTTGGTTTTTTCAAATGCTAATCACCGGGCAATTGAAAGGCCTTTGTCGGTTCTAAAAGAAGCACTTTCTTGAAAACATAAGCACCCGCGACAGTGTGGCAGATGGACAGAAATTTTTCACTTGCATCTTCGCAGCAACTTCCAGGAAATCCGGTCTATCAAAGTACATTGAAGTGTTTTGTATGTGTGTTTTGAAGTGTTCCGAAAAGTTAACAGCCACGACGTATTTGCAGAAACCAAAACGCCCAAGCAAAATATGTTTCGGCAATTGGTCACAAATCCAGATTGTGCAAAAACGTTTAATGTCGACAATTGCAAAATCATTGGGCATACAAGGTCGTCTTTTCATTTAGGAGTTTTGGGATCTGTTTCGATAAAAACAAAGAAACTTGTGTAGAGAGAGAGTTCGTTTTATCTATTGGACTCTTCAACTAGATCGCTGATTGGTAAAAAACAAAAGAACCCACCAATCGCTAGTTGATAAGCATAATCATAAAGGACTGTAAAATCAGATTCTGGAAACCGGACCTAGAAATCGTAAAGAGCCGGTCTTTATGCTCAAACACTGCAAACACCTGTATGTTCTGGTTGATCGGTACTTGTTCTGGGAAAAGTTCACGAACAGGAGAATTGTCGAGAAACAGATTTGATGGAATTTTAAAACGATGCACCCAATTTACCAGTATTAGATTTACCAGTCATTAGTCAGTGTCCTTGTGTTTTTTTGTAAAGATACTTATTTATATCATTGCCGTCATCTTTCGAGACGTAATTTTTGATTTCCGCCTGTCTACAGCAATTCAGCAGTGAAGAATTTAAACTCTAACTGATAACACACGAATCATATACTTAGGCATTAAGACTCTAAGGTAATCCATGCAGCTTTACCTTGTCGCAAGAGAAGCAAATTTGAAAACCACAATACGGTTTTGGTTTCCTTTCTTCATAAGTTTGCAGCTGTTCGTTGGCAAAGGCATCTTGCGATTAATTGCGGGAAATTATAATGAATATACCTATCTTGTAGAATTGATGTGAATGCACCTTTTAGATAACCAACTCGTGTGTTAGATTTCATTATTTGTTTTGTTTAAAAGTGTTTAGCTTTTGACCTGTTATGTCTCTATAGATCTACGACAGAAGAATCTTCAGAGCCAACTGAAAAGATAGATGATGAATCGCCTATAGATTCGCAGGCGTCCGAGGATCTTTCGGGGAATCCATCTTTAAATTCGAAATCTGCTGAGGATCGCCTTGCCTCTGACAGTAATCAAGAAAGCGAACTGTACAATTCATTTCTTTATTGGAAAAGCCCAGTAGCCGAGATTGTGTTCGATTCTGAATTCTTGTCATTGGATGAAACAAATTCTTCTAAAGCACACGAGATTAAACCATCTTTACCCGAACTAAGGGTTACTGACGCAGACAAGCCAACTGGTGTTGTTAATTTGTCAAAGCAACTTAGCGAGACGATGTCCGATTTTGATATTGAGGAGGAGGTAAGCCTGAACAGCTCAGAGACGCTTCATGAGAGCGCGATGCAAGATCACCAAAGACTTTGTTCACAGGTTAGTACTGTTTAGCCATTCTATTGCGCATAGACCATTTGTGTTTGTAAACTTTGTGTTTTCCCATGTGCAACTGCAATTGATTATCTCTTGCAATGCAAGAAAATTTTGTTCGATTATATGCAATTTACGGTAGTTTAAGGGCCTCACCTTTACAGATCAAACTGTTTATATGAAGTAATTGACAGCTATAAAAAACTCGTCAGAGCCATTTATCTAGCCATACTACACGATTATGGCCTATCACTAAAGTCTAAACTGTGTTGCTTGTATTCGGTTTCCAAGTTTTGATATCGAGAAGCTCGGCAGGTTTCTTTAATCTAAGCTTTAATTCTACTTTATGGTTGGCCAGCAGCATTAAACTTTCCCTTCACTATCCATTTACAATGCTATGGTGTACGACATAACCGTTTTTAAGGCGATAGAACACTGTGGGAAACAACTAAATCATCGTCACTTTGATGTTTATAGAAGCTTCCCACCGAGAGCTGTTCAGTGGGGCAGTCACTGTTGGATGCAGATGTCTTCATACAGCTCTACCAATGTGGCTGTTTTTTCTTCACATGCATTTTGATGTAGATAAATTCAACGTAAACCTCTTGCAAAGCGCAATTTAGATTTAGATACAGACATGCTTGGAAGAATTTTCTATCGTAACCAAAGCGCGAACATTTGCAACAGTAGAAGAAGATACGAATCAATTTTTGGGGTTCTTTTTCACCCTCAATAGTCCTTTTTCACCCTCCAGACTTAGAGTATAGGTTACGGATACCATGAAAATGCGAACGATTTTAAGCAGCCCTGCAAACCTTCTTGATGACTGTCCTGTGTAGTAAAGATTAGACCCGTTAAATTTGTCATTAGGATTGGTCTTTGAATACGATCAACTTGTCTGCTTTCTATTCCTTTTCATTGTCCAACCAAGCCGCATCTCTTTTTGCAACTGTTTTCATTAATGATTCAAATCTTGGTATATGTGTCCATCTATGTCGTTGATATTTTTACCCACACTTAACTTTGCCGCTTCAAAGTTTTATCATGAAGAAAGACGGTTGCCCTGTTGCATAGATTTTTATCGAGACAGATTATGCAACCTAAAACACGTTATACGCAAATGCCGCATAAAACGTCATCTGTTTTTCTCATAGAAACATAACATACAATGATCTACGCGAATTTTTACACAGCGATTCGATCTTGCATCCGCATTCCCGCAAAATTATCCCAAAGAGATGACCTTTTCATTTGCGGGACCCTCTAAAAGCAGCTGTTTTAAAATTTCGCCGAGTTATGCACTAGATTTCTGTTATCACCGAAACTCTAAAAGAAACAGCAGCCTTTTTTGATAAAGTAGTGGATTATGTCGAATCGATTGTCCGCACCGTTGCTATCTTCTCTTTCTTGACAGTTTAAACCCTTTGCTAAGCTTGTACAGTCGAGCTGCTTTCACGCTCCTTACAACGACTTAAATGATTGATCGATGTTTCTAAGATAATTTTCTCAACTTTACCGGCTTAAAGGCTTCACACATATGTTTATTTGCTGGGATTTATCCTAAACGGAATGCTATGAAGGCACTTTCGGATATCATGCACATGCTTAACAGGCCAACAACTGTGACGCGAATTTCCTCCACAACTACGACGCACAGTTCCTTCGCAACTACGATGCGAATTTCCTTCGCAGCTGCGACGCGAATCTCCTTCGTAACTGTGATATATCGGCCCAAGAAGTTTACGCTAACTACTTGCCTAAATATATTTATATTTCCGGCCAATTGAGCTTGAGGAAGACCTGGTTTGAGGAAAAGCTATTTCTAAGTAGGATTAGACAAGTTCTTTGTCAGATAAAAAGCATTTAATAAAACCAATTAATAAGAAGTGAATGGATGCGTATAAAGTGATATGATTATTGTATTGTCTGTTGGGACACTTATCACTGGTACTTGCTAAACATTCAAAATATAGACGTATATTGTTTACATCATTCTCACTTGCAAGGTTGAAAGATCGAAGGATTTTAATCGATTAAAATTTTAAATTCGAGAATGAAGTAATTTTTTGGAGGATAAGATTGTTTGTACAAGTACGCCAATTTTGATTTGATGGATAGCTCTCAAAGTTAAAAAACTTGATATTGTTCCTTGCTTCAATATTTGTTCATCTTCACCAGTCATGTTTTGTTTTTATCCCGAATTTTCCTCGATCCTTACGGGTTCCCCAGTTTTTTGAGAATTTTGAGCAGGGACTTGGTGTATGAGTGTTGGAAAATTGCAGAATCGTCAAATAGATTGCAATTCTTAACGTTGTCGCAGCTACGTGCAGTGAGGCCTTGGCAGACTGTGACGTCATTGACTAACAAGAAGGAACGTATCTGATATAGAATTCAGTTTGCGGAATTTATGATTGAGTATCTTAGTTTAATAGCAATTTGCTATTGACCTGTATTGCTGTGGCGTTAACAGAATGCTGGAACGGTAAACAGTAGACGCGTATTAATTTCTAATGAAACTGGCCTTGTAATTGAAAGGGCCTTTATAATACTTAGTCTGTGGAAATGTTTGCATAGGCAGGTGGCTTATAGTTAAAATAAGTCGAGCTACGAAATGAAATCTCTGTGCATTCAACATCAACAATCAAGGTCTTGGTTTAATATGATTGAAAAGCACAGACGACCTCGCAGTCCACGGCGACTTGCTTCGAATCAATGTGTGATGCGATAGACACGGTTTTGCAAACGCAATCTGACCAGCGTTTCTCTCATCATCATTTGGATTAAAATATTCCTTTGTTGTCAAGGACGGAGTAATCGCTGATGGTATTTATCTCTTTTCGCGAGTGCTATCCATAAACAGGCGCTTCAAGGGCGAATAACAAAAATCTTGTTAAGCTGTATTCAAGAGAGAGTGTTTTGTGGGAGTGTCGACCGTTGGAATTTCAACGGAGAATGTTAGATCAACAACTGTAGCTGAGTGTGCTGGCTTGGATTCTTCGCTTTATTCTCCTATTTGCGACTGTATTTGTTTTTAAATTAAATAATGTAAAAGTTAATTTTACGCACAAAACATTGTGAAGATTGCAAACACAAGGACAATGACTGTTGGATTTATTTTGCCATTGTGAAGATCGTTGCAGGCCCACTTCGCATTTGTGTTGACTGTCTGACAATTTTACTAGTTTCATCGCTGGAGTAAATACTGTTTTGCATCTGGTGATATGTGTTTCAATCTTTGGGGATATACTTGTAATCTAGGACTGGAAAAGTCTGTATCATAAAAACTGCGAACAATTTTATCGTCAATGTTGAGTGCTTATGAAACAATGTCAGCTGCGTTCATTGCATAGAAAATTACGATTATCCGCGATTGCTCCGCTTTTGTTGAAGTGCGTTTCAGCTGAAGATACAGTAATATAATTTAAGATAAATTTTGCCGCTTTTGGTCATCGTGTCAACATTCCTTATCAAATGCAGTGAAACGAGCCCACGATAATCAATGGTACAGTTGCACCACTGAAGTTGTGATTTGTTAGTTGCAAAGGAAGGGGAGGAGGTGCTGATTTTGTGGATGGGAGCAGAAATCGTTTTTACGCAGTCGAGATAAAGATGGGATAAAGCCAAACTTGATTATTTATTCTTTCTGCTAGCTCGCCATTATGTCAAAGAACGGGATGCGAATGTTGTTCAGTGTTTTCCAGGTAACCATGGCAGTCATGCGAGTATTTTTATGCGTCTTCAAAAGATTGTTTTAAAAACCGTTGAAGAATACTGTTAGTTTACTGTTTCAGTGTTTTTCGAGGTATTAATTATCCGCCGCGGTTTGTGTGGTTGACCATGCCTACCACTTTTTAAATACCGGTACAGCACAAGGGCTACTTTTTTATCAAATTCTCTTATCACTATGTTATGCCATACTTACCTTATTGGCAGGATAACCCTGCTCTTATCATTCTGATCCTCAAAGGCATTGCGTCTAGGGGATCAGGGGCTTCGGTACCCAGGGGGTGCCGTCCTAAAAAGTTAGGAAGGGGCGCTGTGCTGTAGGCAGATTCAGTAGGCCACATAAATGGCCAAGAATGGAATCATTCAAACTATTCAACGACACAAACAGACTCATAAGAAATTACTCATTGATGAAAAATCTAAAATGAATTAAAGGGTTGCCAACAGAATTCGTCCAACCAAATATAACCACATTTGTCTGGGGGCTGAGCCCCCCATCCACGGCACCACTGACGGTACCCCCAATAGTTGTCTAATGACTTTCTGGTCAGTCGCTACTGTTCCGTGAGATTTCACTTTTTCGAAAATCATTGTGTCAACTCTAAAAAAAACATGGGAACTTTGTCCATGGTGTGTAATTTCTTTTCTGATGACCATAGGTAAGGGTGTGCATTCCATGCTTTCCACACTCATGGTATTCCTTCACTGCACCCCACTGGAAAAGTATCATGACATATTCGTCTTGACATATTCCTCTTGACATATTCCTCTTGACATATTCCTCTTGACATATTCCTGTTTTATTTGTTTCCTTGTGTATTTATTTAATTCTTATGCAAATCGATGTTTATTTGAGAGACTTTGCCATAGTAGCATTTCCACTAAATGCAGGGGCGTCATGGCAAGAGGGTGTTAGTCAAGTCTGTCCCTACTACATCATTGAAGCTACAACGCCCCAGATTTCATATTGCTTGCAATCAGAAATGCAATGAATTTTTTAATGAACATAAGAATAACTGTTGTGGCTTAATAATCAGTCAGTATTTGCTTTAATCAGTCAGTGTTTTACTCTTCTGCAGACTGTGATTCCGCCACCCCTTCTCGAGCATTACATCTCAATGACGGAACCCACTAAAGCTCAGACCATCGATACGGAACTTGCTCGTCATTGTGCTTTTACGTTCCCTGGAGCTGTGCTCGCTCTGGGAAAGGAAAACTGGCAGTGCCTGAAGGATACCTACGAACTTCTTGCCTCCGATATGCAAGTAAGTTAAATGGAGTTTGTATTCTAAGAACTGTAGCTGGTAGGGTTGGTTTTTCGATGTCTTTCCTTGAGTTTTGAAAATATTTGTCGCTGAAGGAAATTTTTCTTACATTTAGGGGTTAAAAAGGTTCCATTCAAAATACCAAGTAATGACAATTTTATCTTTACTAGTGAAGCAATTTAGCTTTTTGCATTAAATAGATATAATTTTTTACTATACCTTTTTTATTGTTCAAACAAGGTCTGCTTACAACCATTTGGCACGTTTCCATGAGGCAAACTTTCCCTGGCTGTTTTTAATCCAGCTTTTAAAGTCATTCATCTAATCCTATTCGTGTTAGGTTCTCCATAAACATTGCAGGTTTGAAACTAATAATATATAATTTATTTACAGTGGAAAGTTCGTCGAACATTGGCCTTTTCGATCCATGACTTGGCCCTTGTGCTTGGAGAAGAAATAACAGTCACAGACTTAATACCGATTTTCAATGGATTCTTAAAAGACCTTGACGAAGTAGGTTCAGTGTTTATTGCTTATGTTTTGTATTTACCTGTGTTTTCTTATTTACAAGGGATACTGTTAACAACATGATTATTCAGTACTTCATTCCATGTTTTATCAGGGGCGGACACTTGGTCAAGTATTGGGAATCACATTTTCCCATTGTTTTATAGAACAAAAGACTATTGTCTTACAAAGTATTGGAGGTTCAACCCCCCCCCCCCCCCCCCCATGTATCCGCCACTGAGCATTATGCTAATAATAAAAGTATGAAGTAAATTGGTGGCTCCTAATTTCAAATGATTCTTCTCGGTTTTGACAATGTTGTTTAAACAATATCGAAGTGAAAAATGTTGTTCATAAACATCCCGTGAGGTGGACAGCCGAGGCATGTGAGGTGGTTCAAGTTTGTTTCTTTCACATCTGCCCAAAAAGCAACAGCTCCTTGCCAATTGTTTTGTTTCTAAAAATAACTACATGGTCTGCGTAGGCTTTTTCAAATTGACTCACTTTCATTTGCCTTCAACTCAGTTGTCGTGCAACGTCTATAGTTATGATGAAATGACTCCACATTCACGTGACGTCATCAGGTGGTTATTTTCCCAATATTATCAATGTAGTCTTTATGGTGGAGAACCCAGTTCTCCTTTTTGTCGAGGTCATGGGAGTCTACTTCATAGTAGCTTTGTTGCTTCTTTGTTCTTTCTGCTTAGTCAGAGACGGTTTATTGAACAATTGCAATGCTCCATTGGAAATCAATTTTTAACGGTTTTCTTTAACCATGAATTTGAGCTTCTTAACGCGACCTGCAAATCGTTATTCTATCATCTTCTTTTGAAAAAAGCTGCTATGTCTGTATTCTGTAATGAGTCCTTTGTTTCAGTTCAGAGTTCTCTAAGATAAATCGTTTTAGCCTGCATGCGCATAGACAGATAAATGTCATTTGGCGCCTATTTTAGTTTAGTATATATCTTATTTTCGACAAAGCTCTGATCCTAAGGTGTATATTTTTGGAATCTGCGCTTACACCCTCACGTATTCTAAACTTGAAGACCCCTCGTGATTGAGCAAGCCATGCAATTTTCGCAGCATTCATAAAAGGTTTAACTCGGGCTATGGAAACATTCTTAAGTTTTTCCATTTTTCCATTCTGAAATTCTGCATCAAATAATCTTCTTTTCAGGTAAGGATTGGTGTTTTAAAGCATCTATACGACTTCATAAAGCTCCTTCCAGGTGACCTGCAGAAGGATTATCTTCCCAACTTCGCTGATTTTCTCAATCCAGATAACAATCGAAATTGGAGATTCCGGCAAGAACTGGCGGAGTTAGTAATTTTTTAACTTTTTACTACTCTTACGATGCTCGTATTGGTAACAATAATAAAGATGCAAATTTATCTGTTTCTAATTTAAATCTGCATATCTGTTGATGCTGATGCAAAGTCATGTTCAACAGGCTGTCTGGTTGCTGTAAGGTATTTATTAAAGATTGATGATGGCAAATGATTTTCTTGTCATCGTCCTAAGCAATAACTTCAGAGATTTTTATCGAACTAGTGTTAATTAAACTTATGAATTGTCGAAATATATGACAGGCTAAAAGTCAATTGTCTCCTACTTTTTTAAACTTTTTCTAAATTAGTAAGTGAACCATTTTGTTATCCAAATGTCAGGCAAATTTGCTATCATAATTTTTTTGGTTATATTTTTTCCCCTGTTACTTCTTTGGGTATGAGTAGTCCAAACAGTTTTCTAGTCACTGCTACTTTGAATTATCGCTAATATTTCCTTTCACAAATTCTTCTGCTTTTAAGTTTATTTCCTTTAGTACCATTTAATAAAAAGTGGGATTTTTGCCTGGTAATTTCTTTTCATTTTCGTTGCGATTTCGCACTGTTTACAGCACAAGTGAAACGATTCCATAGAAATAGCCCAGCATCAATTTAATCACCTACAACCTGCAAACCCAGGTTGGTAACATTTCTTAATAGCAGGAATGTCCTCGAGTTTGGGTCGATTTTGGGGGTTTTTTTCCATTTACAAGAGGTGGAAAACGGATCCTTATTCTATTTTTCTGTCACACCAGTTAAAAATATTGCCACTTCTAAAAACTTTCATTAGTCAGGCCATTGAATGTTTCAAATAGGAAACTTTCATTAGCCTCGGTTTCGTAAATTTTCGTAAAAGTGGGTTTTAATAAAATTTTGGTTTTTGCCTCCTCCCAAAGACTGTTATTGGTTGTAATAAGGTTCCCCAGGAAAGTTGTACTGAAGACAGTCTATTCTTTCAGGCAACTCATCATGCTTAGCCAGCTATACGAACCTCGTGAAGTAATCGAATCGATATTCCCAATCGCGATTGCTCTGTGTGGAGACAAAGTCGCCGATGTTCGATCCTCAGCATCCCGCCTTGTAAGTTTCTTCGGTTTTTTCCAATTTTATCGATATTTCAAGATCAGATATGATCATCGGCCAAAAATTCCAAGAGTATTTCTTCTGTATATGTGAAATTAAGAGCAGCCCTTTCCAGTGATTTTTTACAGGTGTCAAGGGAATGTTATTAAAAGGATTAACTGGTAGAAATGCGAGAAACAAGTCACAGGCTTCACATTAGCATGCTATGCAACCTTCCTCTCTTGCAGCACTTTTTTGCTACAAATATCCTTGAACAATGCTTGCTGTTTACCTGGCCATTTGACTCGTACATGATGAACCCGGGACGGCTTTTATGAAGATGTTTTTGATAGAGTTAAGATTTAGTTGTAAAAGTACTCACTCAGTCATGCATAGCTCCAACAAAGTTATTCTTGGTTCCCATTTTTTGCACTCATTTCAGACAAAGCCTTATTTTCATTCCTACTCTATAAACATTTTCGTCCCAGACTGCATAACACGTTCCCGCGCAATAATTCTTCCCTCAAATCCCGTCCGTATATTTTTTTCATATTTAGTATGATTCGTGCAGTTGCAGAACGGATTTTCGTGTAAATCCCGCGCGCTGCGCCACCACGCTGCTTACCAACGCTGTTTAAAAATAAATTCCAGCAGCTGCTAACCTGCTATGTTGCAACATGATTTGTTCCCGCGCAAGCATAAGCGGCAGATGAAATTCCCCTCGCACAAACAATACTTAGCAGTCTGGTTTTCAACCACCCAGCGACAATCATATTTTAAAAATAGGCTTTTTTATAGATTATGAAACTTTTAAAGATCAACATGCCGCCATTTTTATTAATTTAATTCTTGGTTATTTTTGCAAACGTCTTTAATTTTTAGCTAGCAACGATCTTGAAGCAAATTCGAAGTTCAGAGGAAGCCGACCAAGCTCACGTGAAGGCTTTTGTTAATGACGTCATCAAGATGGGGAACCGAAAACAGTCGTGGGTGAAACGAAAAGTGTAGGTCATAAATTCATACGTTTGCAACGATTCGGCATCATCGATGAAATAATTTTGATACCTCATGAATAATTAAAGCTAGTGATTTAAAGAGACTCATTTATAATTCTCAATCTCCCTTCAACTTCAAAAGATTTGCACTTCTGTCTTATAATTTTATTAATTACTTTAATTCCTCTGTTTGTTAGGTGTGCCCAGATTTGTCAAGTTCTTCTGAACGAGAGCGCGGAGGACCCGGGGCTATTTGCCACAGACTTTCTTCCAAGTACAATAGAGCTGGCTAAAGACGTTGTGCCTAATGTTCGCATAGTCGCTGCCAAAACACTGAGCAAGTTCACCGAAACAGGTCTGCAAGGTGTCTATATTCATTGTTATTTGCGAGAAACTGTTAAAATGAGCTAATCATGGACTTGCGTTCAGTTTCAGCCTCTTGTAAAGCGCTCTTCCTTCTTCCAGTTTATGAGCCAAAAATTTAAAATTTCCCTCAGAATTTAAGAAAACTAAGATAAATCTGTTTATGCTAAATTTGAATTTGTTTCCAGTAACCTTTCCTGTGGTCATCTGCGGTGAAATCCGATGGGTGCAGTCTACTTGTTTTTCGACCCTCATTCATGTCCATGATCTCTTTTGCAATTGCCCATGACATAAAAGATGGTGCTGTCTGGTAACCATAGTGAAATCAGAGCTGCTAACAAAATTACTTTGTTTCTTGTACAAAAATTAAGGGCCCACAGCTGGAGACTGATTGGAATGCAAATGACAATTGTGTTTCGCGAATGTGTTAGACAGTATCCTAGCTTATTGGTCAAGCTGATATTTTTCATGAAAATTGCATGATCTCAGGTTTGCTAAGTTAGTGTGTACAACGTTTTCGTGCACGTTTTCAATCTTTGGTTTTTTTCTAGAATTCTTCCGTGTAAAGACTGAAGATGATGAACTGTACGAAGTGGTAATGAAAGCACTTGAGACACTTCGTGGAGATGATGACCAGGATGTTCGCTATTTTGCGGGTGCAAAGTCGTTTGAAGAAGTCAGTTTATTCAGCGATGACGCAATGAAGAATGATGGTCAGTCCTCGGAAGAGTATGGCGACGATAGCCGGCAAGAAGGAGCTGAGAGTGAAGAAAAATGCGCCCTTGTCGGAAATACGTCAGAGGATCCTTTGTTAACGGCATTCAGCTATAAAGACGATTGCCCGAACGACGAAGATGAACCTGATATCGACTCGTGCAATATTAGCGACGAAAAACTCGAGAATGATTCAGAATATGTTCCAGAGGAGTCACAAACCACGCCTCACGTACAAGATGAAATCTCGAGCAACGAGGGCTCTTCAGAAGTAATTGTAGAAGAGGTTCTAGAGAACCTTATCGAGACGATAAAAATCAATTAATGAATGGCGGATTTATCGAAATGGCTAGGCCAATCAGGTGTGATGTTCACCCGCCCCTGGATGTGTTGATTCCTGCGAATTAAAGTTCAAGTGAAAACTTTATCCAACCGAATACAAGATATTATCTCAATTATTGCTGTCGTGAAATTCGGGTCACTGAACGTCAGAACTTAAGTTTTTCGTCTACTCTTATGGATCAATCAGAGTTCGAAGTAGAACTTCCGTGAGGCATTACTTGCCAATGTACATACAAATGGTTTATGGCTGAAAATTGGCCACAAACTGAACTTCTGACATGCTCAGTTCGACGCAGAATGGAATGTCTGATTCAGTGATATTTTAGTATGACGTCACTTTTGTACCCAGGTTTCCTGTCTCTTTATGAAGTATATGCCTAAAATCATATCAACATAGAAATAACTTTAATTGAACCTTAGGTGGTGTACAATCTCTTTTGCCCTTGTAAATCAACGTCATTTGATACCTTTCAGAGTTTACGCGAAATTCATGCCTTTAGTAATGAAGTTCTATTCAGAAAAGACTTGTTTTTTTATGAAACGTCGCCAATAGCTTTCAGTGTGACCAACTAACGATGGTCTTTCATTAGCGAACTTAAAGTTGCAGCTACACCTCTTTAATAAGACTTACAGTTTGTTTATGAAATACAGTTTTCTGCACTATTTGACTGCTTTAACCATTTTTTTGTTAAACTGGCGCAATCAAGATTTTGAGACATTTGTCAAACCTGTGTGAGAAATACATGTCACCTGCTCTGTGTTGCGAAGTATTTGCCTTCTTCCACTCCCGGTATTTTGTGATGCATTGGGCCTAGAGAGGTCAGATTGAATCGGAGCTGCAACTCCCGCGTCTTTAAAACCTTATAAAGCTTTCAAATCTTGTGCCACTGTTTGTTAAAGATTTATACTCAAAAAGGGGCATATTACCTACTGATGTATTTTATTTTTTACCTTCACCAAGTACGTTCCCTCTCGACAGCATCTGATTGCAAAAACGATTTTTGAAAAACATTTAAGAAATTCCGATTTACCTGTATATTTTATAGACCAAGAAAATGCATTTTCGTAAAATAGGAACTGAATCGCGTGTTAATTGACTATTTTGAAACGAAAAGATGTTATGAATGCTCAGTTGAAAGTATTTATGTTGTCTCTCTTTCGTCTCGTTTGCTTCTTTTGTTGTGTTTAGTATCTCAGTTTTTTATGCGTTCTTCATAGATACCTCTGATCTTGGAGAGTGATCCAACACTTAAATCAGTGTTATTTCCTTTTTTGTCATACATGTGTGCCATCATTCTGTGAAAGCCAGGGGCGTAGCGTGCGGGGGGTGTGGGGGGCGACACCCCCAACTTTCAGTGAACTCGTAGGTAGAATTAAATTTATAACAAAATATTAATGTAACAAGAGAATTTCTGTCGGTAAAATGGTTTTTCATCTCTTACACCCCCCCCCCCCCCCCAGCGAGAATGGTCACGCGACGCTACTGGTGAAAGCCAATCCTTGTTGCTCGTCACTTGGGTTGAATCCTTTTGCTGTCATTTTTTTAACTTGAAGTATTGTTGTGTTCCAACTATTTTGGGAAAGGGTTGTAGATCCTGGTTATTAAAATTTTGTGATATATTTCTTGGTTGTTTGCACATATACACATGCCTTTGTGAGCTTCTTGAAAATGACAATTCTCTTTTTTAAGAAGAGATAAGGACACTAAACATGTTTTAAACACTACCTGCTGGCTAGAAATTCATATATCCGACACATATCAAAGGACATAATTTTGTGATGATTGAATCATAAGGGAAGAACTGTTGGAAAGTGAAGTATAAGGCTTGTTCTACACTCTTTTTATACGAACAATTTTTTAAGAACACGAGCCTCAAAACTGGTCAAAAGTTAAGAACAAATTAAGAACAAGCTGAGGCTGAGCTTCTGCAAAATGCAACTTTAAACAACGTTTTTTCTCAAAATCGAGGATTTTTAGCGATGTGTGAGTGCTTTTTCGGTGAATGTTCAAATTTGTCAGCAAATTAAGGCTGTCTCACTCACTCTGTTGGCAAATGAGGCCTTAACACCTCCTTAGAGCGAAAAAGCTAGCAACAGCACTGCTTACAAGTTACACCCTCTTAATTTAAGAACAAATTAAGAACAATCCAGCCTCAGATTTTGGAAAAAATTAAGAACAGTCAGCCTGAACTTAAATTTACTGGTTCTTATAAAAAAAGAGTGTAGATGTAGCAAAATGACACAAAAAGGTCTTAATCCTGATTTTTCTAGCGGCATATCTTTGCAGTTCAAGTACCTGATGTAAGTGATGAATGCGGTTCTACCAGAATGGCAATGTAAGAAAATAATTTGGGGTCTTTGATGATAGCTTTGTGTGACCAGTGATATTTTGGATGTTAGGGCGATAAGAATCCTAAAAGGATCAAGATAAAAGAGCTCTAAGTTCAAAACATTAATGTTAGGAAATATGTATTCATTTCAACGTCAAAGAAATGTTTCTTTCCCATCGAAATACTGATGACTGGGCTGGGTAGATGCAAATATCCGTTTTTGATATAGTTGTTCATAGTAAAGCTTCTTTTAACAAGAACCAAAACGAAGCTTTTATGAAATAAAATTTTACACCCGAAAATTTTCGGACCCTCTTTTTACTTTTGTGAAAAATAACAGGGGCGGCGCCAAGAAATTCAAAGTGAGGGGGCTCGAATTGATAACATTAATTAGAAAACCAACTTTTTAAAGATGCACTGAAATGCTTCACGATATTTTCCTATGATTTTATGGCGCAGTCGTTATGCTAGCTGTACATTAGAAGGCCGGCGAGAGGTTGTCGGGGGCCTTGGTATATCCAAAGAGGAGGCTTCCTTGTGAGCGAGGCGTGCAATAAATTTTTTGCAATAACGCCCTCTAGACTAGCTTAAGATACATTTCAGAATGTTCCCTGCGGTCCTTTTTTGCAAACATTTTGCCATCTTTAAGGCATGGCTTTTTACGTTTGATTCCAGTCTTAAAATGGAATTCATTACTTTACTTTATTGTTTAGTGTCCTTTGAAATTAAGCAATACTGTAAAAGGATTTATCGCACTATTCTTTTCTTCTTTTTCTATTTTTCTATTCTTTTTATTCTCTTAAAAACACTTTTTGCAACAAAGTGGGGGAGGGGCTGGAGCCCCCAGCCCCCCAGCCCCCCACCTGGCGCCGCCAATGAATAAGTTAGAATTTTTTAGACTACGGTTCTGGCTACGGTCGTGTCAAGTTTTTCAAGGTTTGGCAAATGGTAGCCAGCCTCTATTTCAGAAAGAGACAGCGTTGTGGTAAACTCACTTTTTCACTTGTAGAATGTTATGCGAAACGTGTGAATGTGGCTTTTATAGTGATTTGTTGTTTACTCAGGTGTGTTGCAAAAAGCCTAGCCTTGCAGTTTTGAAGAAAATGTACGTTTAAGAAACCCACTATCAACTATTCATGGCGTGTTTATTCTACTGAATTGACACAGAGGGAGCAACTTGTGGCTTTATTTCAAGTGTGAATATTAACTTTGTGTGTCGGTGAGGATTATGGCAAGTGTACAGAGGATAAAGTTGTTCTTTTTTATATTTGGTATAACGGTAGGCCTTTTTCTGACAATAATATTCAAAGTTCCGGATAGCTGTTCCAGGAGAACATCAGTATTTTTTGGTTCAAGTGACCATGGCTCTTATGAAAGGATAGCAGATTCTGGGAAAACTTATCTTGAAGAAAAAGATAAATCTTTTAATAATTCTGTTGCAAAAAAATTATACAAAGAAGTTAGATTGTTATGCTGGATTCTTACGAGTCCCAAGACTATGCGGTCAAAGGGGAAAGCTGTCAAAGAAACATGGGGTAAAAGATGCAACAAATTGATATTCATGAGTTCTGAAGATGATCCTTCTTATCCATCTGTCAACCTTGGTGTACAAGAAAGCAGGGATAATTTATGGCTTAAAACTAAAGCAGCCTTCAAATACATTTATAAACACCATCTTAATGATGCTGATTGGTTCATGAAAGCAGATGATGATTCGTTTGTAGTGGTAGAGAATGTTCGTCATTTCCTTTCAAAGCATGACCCCAATGATGCCCATTTTTTTGGAAGATGGTTTACACCATTTGGTGGTTATAATAGTGGCGGAGCTGGATATATCTTAAGCAAAAAGGCTGTAAGGCAGTTTATGAAAGCAATGAACAATCCATGGAAATGCCCTCTGAAACACTTTGCAGAAGATGTAGCCTTTGGTAACTGCCTTGCAGCTTATGACATTCATCCTGAAGACACTAGAGACCACCTTGGTCGTCAGACTTTTCATCCTTATGCTTTGGATTATCACCTTATTCCTGGATATATTGGCAAAGAGGACTGGCTGCATTCATATGATAAATATCCAGTCCAAGTAGGGCCTCAGTGTTGTTCTGATCATTCAATGACTTATCATTATGTAGATATTCAGAATATGTATGTTTATGACTACTTTATCCATCATCTTTTCCCTTATGGAATTAACCATATAGATAAGAAATAATTTGTTAGATGATGTTAATAAAATGCGGACCTTTTTGTTATAATCTAAATAAAATGCCAAACTATCTCTAGATTTACTCTGGAACTTTTTTGTAGTGATTGATTGATTGATTATTGATTGCGATTTTTAGGCAACATCATAGTTTTACTTGTTCTTTGAATGCCAGGGTGCATTCCATGTACTTAGGTCTTAGGCCGGAAAATCTTAGGCATGCAAGTTTTTTTCGGCATTCAGCGTGCAAACAAATAAAAAATTTTTTGGAGTACTTAAAATTTTTGTTAGTTGACATGCTAAACATGAAGCCATGTACATAGTTAACGTAAAATAAAGACTCATACACCACAGTTTTCTAAAAAAAATCAGTTTTCTTTGTCTGGCACAACAATGTTTATTGTTTTACTAACTGCTTTTATATTTTTGGCGTACCTAAACAAATTCCCCCGTGGACCTTCCGAGTACAGTTGACATGAAATGCACCCTGGTTTGCATGGCTGCATTTTGAATAAACTCATTTGTGGAAGACCTGAGCAAAAGTTGTTTGATTTAATTAGGAAAATATCTAGTTTTAATAATTGTGCTGATCAATGAATCCAACTTTATTGCAATTGGGATGATTGGTGTAATCTGTCTCTATGTCAAGAGATGATTTGAAGAATTCTGAAAAGTTCCAAACTTTACCCTTTGTTGATCTGCTTGTTGTAAAATAGGATATTTGCGATTTTGTATGCTGGAACTATTTGAAACCTTGATATTTACAATTTTGTATGCTAGAGCTATTTGAAACCTTGTGACTAAAATTGTAGAGTAATATCTGTTGGATTGAATTTCTGCATCAAAATCCTTTTAAAATTCTGATTTATGTGTAGAATATCCAAGTCTTCAAAGTTATTTTGATGTTTTTTTACTCTAAGGTCCTTAATAGAAGGGGGATGCTTATTAATTTTTTGATTTTTTTCTGACCCCACCCCCCGGATGATTTTTCAGATTTTTCACATTTCCTCAGAGTACCTATAGAGTTAAATTTTATTTGCATTATGAATTTTTTAAAAGTAGCACTGTTTTGGGTTCTATTTGTGTGTATTTGTATTTGCTACAATGCAAAGGTAGTTTTAGCTTTGCTTATTGAGCAGTTTCCTGGTCCTTCCCCTCCATGTGACCACACCTCATGATTCATACCCCAGGAATCAAAAAGAGCTGGGGACTCTCCAAACTACACACACTTGGATTTGCAGTAGTGATCCAAACGACTGAGCTGTCCATGCACATTTTCATTCAATTGCCAGAGGGGATTTTCAGTGCTATAAAATACATAGGACGTAAGTCAAAAATTTTAGAGTCTCAATTTTATCTAATTGAATACAATATAGTTTCATGAAATGTATTTTCAGTATTGTCATATTGCAATCAATGTTTTTGGTTTTTTTATTGCATATACTTATATTGGACAGCTGAATTTGAGTATACTTTGTATCATATCATTAAAATCTATATCACGTTTGAGGGTCTTAACAAATGGCTACCAAATGGCTCATTTTCAATAATAACTAAACTGCTTGCGATTTGTTATAGATAATAAACAAGATTTATCTTTCCCCAAACAAGAACAATCAATTATGAAGAAATTTGTCAAAAAAGGACCAGGAGAGCACAAAGAAATGGATGCTATCAAGGTAATAATTTCGGTTTTATGCTACCATTTGAGGGGTTTTGGCAAAAAGTACTATCATTTACAGCTTATTGTAAGCTTTATATGGCTGGGTTTGTATGTAGAAAGAATGATCCATTTTTATCTTGACTTCATTCAATAATTTGTTATGTGTAACTTTGCTGTATCTTTGTGATCGGAATAAGCTAGAGGAAGTTAATTTTGATATTTGATACTAGATTTATATGAATATCATGAATGATTGTTTCAACCAGGCCTATATTGTGAAAACCAGAGAAACTCATAAGCAATCTAGTCAATATTACTTGGAAATCCACGAGTTTTAAGTCATTTTCAACACAAGTTTGATATTCTATAAAAGATAATTACTTAAAAAACATAAGGTATTCATTAAATTATGGGAGCATTCACTTGTTGAAGCTTTCTAAAAGAGAATAAAGTGTTTTTTGTACTTTTACTTTAAATTTTCTTACAGATACACAAGGTTGCCAAATTTTGAAAAATAGCACCTGTGAGATTTCACGAACACAGCTAGGTAAACAATGGAACTGGGGTCCAGGGTTGGGGGCAGAATTCCGAAATTCAGTAGATCTGGAATGCTCAAATGGCTTAAAACTAGACCACTCGGAATGCCTAAAAATTTGTTTATTTCACATTTAAAACACACCTAAAAAGCACAGAGAACAGGCTTTTAAACGTAAGAATAAACAATCGAAGCAATGAACAATAATAATGTATGATGCTGATAATACTGATACAGTAACGCGTTTGACAATCATTCGCGCAACAGGTCTGGGCAAGTGATTGTCATAAACAATGTAGTGGAATGGAATGAGTTCAGCAACCACTGAGGCGTTTGATCTGAATTGAAAGAAGAATGAAGCCCAGGAAGAAATCCGTGATAAAAGTAACTCCCGTCGTGAGACTGAGAAGAGGTGAATATCCGTGAGTCTCACGGCCAAACCGTGAGACTTGTCAACCTTGGATTGGATGCATAAAAATTTAAGAAAATGATTGTACCAAATTTTATGTGACATATTCGCGTTTGCCTCTGAGTATTGAAAATTTTTTAATCCTCTTCCCACTCCCATAGAGAAATTTATTTTTCAGATTCTTTCACTGGACTCACTATTTCAAGGGGGGGGGGGTACTTAATAAGCGAAATGCAATCCAGCAAGAGATTTTTAATTCAATTTAACCCTTTGAATCAAGCTCTTTGGATATTATTATTTATTATTTAAATATTATTATATAAATATATTTTGGGTATTATTTAAAGCCGCCCATTCTCCTTAAAATTCCCTTTCCCCCTCCGAAACCCTAGTCTTTGTCTTTAGGGACAGGGCACTCCATGCGAGGGAGAAGGTTGGAGAGGTCTGGGAACTACGCATGCCACTTAGGCGGATTGTGCATCGCCATTTGCCTGAGAAAAGAAGTGAAAAAGAAAGTGTTAGCTCAAGTTTTATGGTGGGTGATTCAAATTTCTTAGAGTATTATTCGTAATTATACAATATATTGAAAGATGTAGATTTTCCGCCTATACGTAGCTGAAAATATTGTTGAATTACCTATGCTATCGAAAACAAAAGATCTATCTGGACCTGTTTTTTATCGTCACATGCGATCTCAGGCATCTTGTATTTTCACAAGGATTTCAAACTGTAATTCTGCGCGAGCTCAGTTGTAAACTGGTATCATCTGCTGTATTTTTAAAGTAATAACCTAGACAATTTCCTAAAATTGCAACAAAAGACTATTTACTTGTAATATTACAACTGCACATGGTAGACAATGCACACGGGCCTAAATGCCAATATAGAAATACACAAGGGTTACAAAAGGATTGCAAGTATCGATAAATAAAGCCAGCAGCCCGGGGCCAAAGGCATGTGCGGTGCCAATAATCTTCGCGAATTGAACAAAATTAATTAAGATACATTGCAAAGTTTTCAAATTCTTCAGCAAAATCAGCAAATTCTCCATGGTTTTCCGAAATCTTCAAAATAACTTACAGTGGAAACCCGATAAAACGAACTCTGAAGGGAACCAGAAAATAGTTTGCAGTACACGCCTAAAAAAATTTCGCTGGCCTTGTTTTGCCTATCTCCAACATCTGTGCACATTGTACTCCAAAAACCCAAACTGCATTCAAATGTTATACTGATGGTTAGTCATCAAAAACGAAAATCTTTGAGTTCCTCTTATAATTTGGGACCCAGACATTGGCAACACTGGTGTCATTTCACTTCTGGTTGGTGACTGAATTACATCTTTGATTATTTCACATTCTTATTTTGTCTTCTTCTGGTTCTCTATCTTGGTCTCCCAATAAAATGTTGTCATTGCTCATTGTCTCATATCAAGATGAAATAAGGAGGTATTTGTTAGTGTCAATGTACTCATTCGCAGTAGTTTCCGACACGATCAAACTTTCACATCATGCTCTGAGTCTATTTTTTCCTTTTTTTATATTCCAAAAAGTTACATAACAAGTTACTGTAATACCTTAATTACACACAACTTAACATACACTCCAAACACGATACCCCAGGGAGCATCAACACTGTCTACCCAAAGACCATAACATAGAGAGGAAAAAATGGATGTTTGTAATTACAAATATTTAATGATATAAGAGGGTACCAGACCAGACTGGTATGAGACTATAAGCCAGTGCTTGCAATGTTTCATCTTGATCAGCATGTTTTGCCAATGACAGTAATGATTTCCCCCAATATAAAGTAATAAATGAACATCAGAAATAAATTAATAGTCTTTTGTTTTAAAATAATGGGAAATGTGATGTCATCTTATTAAAACAATAGGCTTGCCCCCTCCCCCCCCCCAATATTTGATCAAGTGTCTGCCCCTGTTTGACACCTAAACAATTTCACCTCCCTTGTCATCATTTCAAATATACTCAATTTGACTGCAAATTTTCTTCTTCCTTAAGGAAGATGGAAATAAAATAGACTTTGAATTTTGGTATGGGTCATTTTTTTAACATTCTAAATAGCGTAATCTAAAAAATTTTCTGGAGACAAGCCCCCTGTTTTGCTCGTAACCTAATTCCCCCATTCCCTCATGCATTGCAGTTGGGTTTTAAGAATGAATTGTTACATTGTTAGCAGTAAATTGATTCTCCACTACACCAAGTTTTTCTAGACCCGCATCACATACCCAAAATGTCAGCAAGTTTGCAAACCATGCATTACAAACCCCTTTTTGGCATGCAACTTTTTGAAATTGAAAAGTATAGATTCCATGGCAGCTGCAATCTGGATAAATTTTTACAACTGCACTCATGCACACCCAAAAGATGAGTGTGGTTTTTAGTTTGGCTCAAATAAAAAAAATTTAAAATATGGCAAAATGCCTTCCTAAATGTTTTCTAAATGGCAAAATGGCTTGGGAACGTTGGGAATGAAGTTGTGAACCACATTCTATTGTTTGGATTTTGTTGCATGACCTATGTCATTAGCTTGCAAACATTCCAATAAACATATATATATTATGTGAGAAAAATTACTTTTTTAATACATACAAGTCATACAAAGAGGTAGTAATTGTTGGGGAGACAAGTCTAAATCTTTTTTTTAAGGGCTATTGCTATAGTCATTTGTCTAAATCAAATTAGAAAGTGCATCATATGGGCATTGTATTAGAGTGGAGATGAAATTTACATTTCATGGCTCTTCATAGCATTTAAGCAAAACTATTATATATATATCATAGTTTAATATATATAGCAGAGTTTCCATCTCACTCCTCTCACTTCTCTAATTTCCATAAGGGCCATTGCTCCTATCAAAGAATATGTAATACAACATAAAATAAAGACAGTGACTTTAACTGCCTGTGTGCATATGATGCAAAATTTGAAAAGCCAACAGACCTTCAGACAAATGCTGATTCATCTCCCCCAACAAGTGAGTATGTGTGTAAGACATCCATAGACATGGACCTTTTCCAGTATATCAATTTCACTCGATTTGGAGGCATGGTTGTAACTCTGAGGGTGCACCAAAAAACGAGATATTTATATTTATGTTATATATTTTGCAAATGGGCAGCATCCTAATGGCAGAATTTTTGCTTGTCAGTTTTAGGCCTATTTTTTATAAATAAATGGTTAAAAAATTGCCCTTTTGATAGCTGAATCAGAAAAAAACAACTGCTATATTGGATTTTCCAGGGTTGGATTCAAAAGCTCTTCACTCATTTCATTGAGTTGCTTGACAAGTGGAAATTTCACTGGTTTTGATGCTGCAACTCAGAATTTGATTTCAGTTAAGAACAGTAATCGTGGTTAGGCATCACCCTAGTTGAAAAAAATTCTTCTATGATACCTCATATTCCAGACCTGCCCCTCATGATATTCAGTGAGAGATCTGACATTGCTGCCAACAACAAATTCATCTATTAATTGATTAATTGCTCAAAGCGTCTTTAGGTAGACAATGCCTCTTGAGATTTTACACACGCCTTCAACAACCAGGCCTGCATATCTGCCTGCGGAGTTGGATTTTAGCTGTTTCTAGATACAAAGCTTAACTCGCATCTGTATATTTAAAAAGCATAGCATTAGGTCTGTACATGTTGTGTGCAGGACTGTGTGCATAACATAACTTGTCTGGTTTGTATGAAATCCATCAAAGCAAATCTTCAGAATTGTCGGGCCTATATTAGCAGTTATATGTCTTGGCATTAGGGAGTTCTTTGGGCTAACTCCTGAATCAAGTAAGTTAACACTTGCCATATTTCTAGGCATATTAAGTCAAGTTTTTAGGTCTGTAAAATACATGTAAAATTTTCACCTTGACTTATACGGTAGTAATATATCTTTTTGGAAACTTGCTTTGTTTTAATAATTGTAGCTTGCAGGAAATTTATTCAGAAAGAAATTCCAGATGAACAATAAGATTTCTGTTTGAAAAACATTTAGTTGTAGGGTGTGGTTTTAGAATTGAAATTACAATTGATTGATTTCCTGTTTTAGTTCTAAAGCATTTCAGAAGCTGATTCCCTTCAGGTATGTTTTCTCAATTTTACCATTTGACATTGGAAAAAATCTCATTGAAGAAAGTTTACAAATTGTCCTGTCTCTGTTATTATAGACCAAAACCATGCTAATTGATTCAGGGGTCGTAAATAAAATTATGGAAATAGTAATATAAATTTTATATTGTCAAAATTTACCAATCTAATCTGTATTATTCAAGCTGTCTGTAAAGTTAGTTTCATGTAGAAAACAACATTGAGCATCAATATTTGATAACCTTTTCCTTAACTTTCCAAAACAGAGGCTAGACATGATCCAAGAAATGCTTTAAAATCCAGGGAAGGGGTTAATTTTATTTATTTGAATGGCAATTAACAATTTTATTTATTTAAATGGCAATTAACACTTGTATTTTAAGCTGTCATGTGAAGTGTCTTCTAAGCATGTAGTATGATGACAGATAGTGTCAAACAAGCTGTTAGTTTTTTATTCCTTCTTTGTTACTTTTTGGGACAATTTCATCATGTTCTAAAAAAGTCTTTAGTTCTGGGATAGTTATTTTATTATAATACAAAGAGAAGTTCACAAATGCAACAATGCTTGTTGGAGTAAGTATTACTTCAGTCATTGAATGTCAGGGTCAAAATGTTAGAGATTAAGTATTTTGAAATGGAGTTTATTGATCAGAGATAGAGAAGCCAAGAAAGTGCTGGAATAGAGCTATTTGTGACTGTGTTTGATGGTTCTATGTACAAAATGCAACTAAAGAAAGGAGATATCTCAATGATATGAAAACAAGCTTGTTTCTTAAATATGGACAAGGCTGAGCTCTTGCGAGTAATGGTTTAAAGATTAAAGAATAGATAGGTTTAAAATGTACTATGTAACTTATTAAACCAAGTTACATCAAATGTAAAGCAGCAAAGGATCGATTTGGAATATACTCCTGACATGTATGTGAAATCAAATGTAAACACAGGGATCTGTATTTGATCATGCTGTATCCATGTTTTGATTTGTCAAACCAGATAAGATGAGTCACAGGAAATGCATCCTTCGAGAAATAGGATGAAAATTCAAGATATTAGGGTGAAACTATTTGTTAAGTTGATTTTTGACAAAAAAGATTGATAACCAAGAATTTTTATTGATAAAGATTAAAAAATTATAGATGTGGATGTGTAATTGCCAACTGCTGGATAAATTGGTAATATTTTGGAATCCTAGAAACCTTTTTGGGTTTATTTCAATATTGGCCTATATCACTGAAGTTGCCCAAGCAAGCAATAAGAGATGAAACCCATAGCTATTTTGAAAGTAATTGATTTTCTTCTGCATTATCGCGGCTATGGAGTCAGTTTTGCTATAATCAATTATTGATTTAGATGGAGCTGAAGAAATTTAATTTATGATTCTAGTGAGTGCATATTTACTAAGAAGGAAGAAAAGAAGAAATAGTTGACGATGGTAGTTGTGTTGAAACTATCTGGGTTCCCATTTGATGCCACTTCGAGAGACCTGAGGAATCTTTTCAGAGGTCTTAGGATCAGAGAAGATGACCTTCACGTAGGCCGCGATAAAGGTATCCCAGTAGGCTTTGCTGTCTTCAGTGACGATGATGAGGCAAGAAGAGCAACGACACGCAGTGGTCAAATGATTGGTCCACGAAGGGTCACTATTTCCCTCAGCAGCTCTGCAGAAATGGACGCAGTCCTTAGCAGGAGATCTCAGGGATCTGGGGTAAGGGGAAGTCCCCCAAGTCGCGGAAGAGGAGGATTTGTGCGCCCTGCACCATCTTTTAGAGGAAGAGGGAGGGGCCGGGGACGTGGAGCTCCTCCTGGTCGCTTTGAGGTTGATCGTAGTAGCAGAGATTTCGACAGCCGTACCCCTAGAAGCATTGGTAGGGAAGAAAGAGGTGGCTTTGTTTCTGACTTCCGAACACCACGTGGTGGGAAAGGACGAGGCAGTGGTCTTGATGAACTTGGTAAACATCCCTTTTCAAGCAGGGGAGAAACAGACGACTTCAGTGAGAGGAAGTTTATTAAAGCTGGTGCTTTGCCATACACAGTGACAGACCTTGATATTCAGAACTTTTTTAGGGGTATTTTAACAAGAGAGGTGTATGTTTGTCGTCATGAAAGTGGAAGGTTTGTTGGGAGGCCAAATGGAGACGCTATAGTCGAGTTCTTCTCTGAACAAGATGCTAGAGAAGCCTTAGAACGTGATGGAAGAAGAATCGGCCCACGGATAATCTCTGTTACACGTGCAAGAAGAGATGAAATCAAGGAAGGCATAAGACTGGCTAGGCAGGGAGACAGAGGTGAAGAACGAGAGCGTGCAGCCGTCGCTTCATCAGGACACGCATTATCAATACCAAAGAACAAAGAACAGCTTCATAATTTGCTCGAGCTTTTGAAAACCGCTATTTCTCAAGTAGACGAGCCATCATCAGAACCTCCACCAAAAGCTTCAGGGAGAAGAGATTCAACGGAAGACCCAGTAATAAGGCGTGTAGCTCGCAATGCAAACATCAACATGCGTGACATCAACGAGGGAAAGGTGGTTGGAATACGTAACCTTCCCTTTTCAATTACGCCAGAAGAAATCATTGGCTTTTTCAGGGGCTATGGCGCCATTCCTGACTCTGTTCGTATACACTATTCAGAAGATGGAAGATCATCTGGTGATGCCATAATTACTTTCCGCTCTGGAAGGGACGCCAGTAGAGCCATCACAAATCTAAACAAAAGGCCTATTGGAAAGAGAAAGGTTGAACTCTTTGTTATGTAAACATGACGTTTGAAGAAGAAGGGAACTCGACATCTCTTTTAAGGTGTTTTCATTGACATAGCTTCTTAGGTTTAAACGAGTTGCAAGCTGACTGCGTTTCTTTTATATATCTACTTGTTAAGGCAGCTTGTAATCTTAAATTTGCCAAAAAACAAAGTTGCTGTTAATTGAAATTCAGAGCATTTGGATAACTATAAAAGAAATATGTCCTTGAGACGTATGACAGATATGATCAGTGATATATGAGAATGGCAATCCCACAAGCCCGACCAACAAACATCATTAACCTTTGTACGTTCTAATATAAAAGGATTTAGACCATTTTATGAATAGGTATATAATCTTGCTATATTGCTCTGAAAGGTACCAAGAAAAAAGAGCGCTTTGAATTAATATAAGCATGAATTTTAAAGATTGACATTTACTTCATTTACCAAATTTTATATTTGTACTTTATGATTTGCTGTCTAAGACCTTGAGGTATTTTCCTGTGTGAAATCCTGTTTGATCATTGACAAGAGAAAGAAGAATATGGATAGAGTTATTCAAGAATATTATCACAAAATGTACAAGCGAAACATGTTGAGTATGGAAATTGATCAGAACAACAACTTGAAGGTTGTGCTTACTCGATAGCGATAAGACTGTTGCCTCTCGCCACAGTGGGTAGACTTGTACAAGTTCAAACCCACTGCTGGAACATTGCAGCATTAATAGGAAAATAAATTGAAATCAGGGTATTGGCCATGCAGGCCGATGTACGTCGAAACGAAAAAGTAATGCCAATTTTGACATTGGAGAGATATAGTGAGCTACGAGAAATTCGAAGGCACCTTAGCTGAAAGAGATGTAATCAAGTTGGTTAAATGCCGACTATCTTGCTAAGGATAATTTTTTGAGCACCGTATACTTGAGCAATGTATGACCGCTGACTGGCGTAGTTGCAAACGCTCAATGCAAAGGCATGGTGTTATGTTCCTTTCTAGAAATTTACGATTTGGATTACAAAACGTGGATTCTTTAATCGATGGATAAATGAATTCCACAGATTTGGATTCACAAATCGATTAATCTGAATTTCGTATGTTGTTGGATTTCGACGTTACAATTTGGTTCTTTGGACAAACAGATTGATCTGGCCAAAGAAAAGTAGACTTTAGAAGTCTTGCTTCTTTTAGATACGTTTATGTAATATATCAGCCCCCATTTTTTCTGCAATAGCGGTTTATTTATGTGAATGTCTTAGCTCCTTATCTCTCCAGAGTAAACACCCCTTGGTTTTGCCCCTCGTTTGTTTCGTCATGATGAATTTTTTGGAAGGTCCGAGGAACATATAGTAGAATATACAGCAAGCGTTAAAAGATCTTTTGTTGAATTCAGTGTAAGAATTTTAAATCTTTGACGTGATGTGATGGCCTAAACTCAACTTGCAATTAAACCAGTGAGGATGCACTTTAAAAGTTACGACAATGAACTGCTAGTATCCAGCTAATACTATCTAGTCTGAGAACCCCAACAAACTGACAATATGTTGGAATGAAAGTTAGGAAACAGTGTGTTTTAACATGATAGTATATAGAACAAAGACTGACAGCGATTTAAGACAGAAAAGTAGCAATTTACTTATGTGGGTTGAAGCTCAGACGATCGACAATAATCCCTAAATCAAGTGTCAGCTTAAGGGATCAAGCACTATAGGTCTGAAAACTATTGAGTACCTATGATCCAAAATCAGACATCTGTTTCCCGAGATATTTTCGAAGATGATCAAGCAACAGCATACTGCTTGCCCAGTATCAAACGCCATAGATCCGGTGTCATGCTCCTTGTGCATTCGGATTCAAATGTTTGTTATCCGGAAAAAAATTATTTCCGGAGTCGAGCAATGGCTCCAAGAATGATGATAAAGAGAAAGAGGTGGGAAGTCTAAAGGAAGGTGTGTCAATAGAGCCGCGGAATGTTGCTGGTCATTATTAAAGGTCAGTGATGGACATGGCAAATTACAGTAGCCTTGAATATTGAGGTAAGCAGATGTTTATGTAGAAGTCTTAAATTCATCCATATTCGTAGCTACACAACTGCTACAGTGGCAATGTTAGGGTGGGAAATGAACGGTTTGAAACAGTAGCAAAGAGTGCAGGAACTGACATTGATAGCTAAGAATTGTGACGCAACAAGGTGACTATGCAATCCAGGTCTCCAAAGCTAACAGAAAAAGCAGATGCAATCGCAAAGAAGTATTTACTTGAGAGAAGTATTTACATAAACGTGTAAAATCAATTGAGAGCAATCAGAGGTTAGGGCATGACTTGCATATTGATGTCACGTGCCACCATACACGTGATCAGGAGCCTCATTGTGATGACTGAATTGGATAGGCATTGTCACACACTAGCAGCAGCTTGCGTGGTAAAAGTTGCTTTGAGGATTGAAACTCAACGATCCCGATGGTTGTTGATGCTTCTGTACTGATATGTTATGTTTTTAGAATAGTCAATTTGATTGTATAAACTCTAGTCATTCAATTCAACTAGATTTCAACCACCATAAATGACCATTTTGCAACCACGAAATCTATTTTAAAAGATCTATTTTCTCTCCGTAGTGAAAACATAATGATAGTCAGCAAAAAACTTGCAGCCGAAAGTTACGATGCGTTACGATGCAGCCGAAAGTTTGTCAAGTTACAGTAAGTTTCATTATTTTTGCTGGGCATTACAGCACAAATAATTTCTTATGAATAATACAACTTTTTATCAGCTTTCAAACAAAATAACATCCAATTTGATAATTGTTTCTTCAATGTTTTAAGAAAGTTGTCATCATTGGCATTTTTCATTTCAAGGCTTTGATGATGCCATCAATTCATTGTCTCTCTCTTTCTCTCTCTCTTTCTCCTCTCTCTCTCTCTTTCTCTCTCTCTTTCTCCTCTCTCTTGTACATGCTGCTTGATTGATTTAGTTTTAGTGAGACATGATCATGCATGCTTTAGAAGAATTTTTCAAAGCAGCATGGCATATCTGTTTTGAATCCACTAATTCACGGTCCACTTGCAGCGCTTTTATTCAGTAATTTACTCCCCGACATTAGCCGGAGCAAAGTCAGATGAGAGATAATAATTTAAGTATCTGACACAAACACAAAAAGAATATAACTGTCGTCAACGTTTGAATTTTGGCTTTTTGACAGTACTTTTTCATAGATCCTCTTCATCACATTGCCTAAAACTGGATTGAAAAGCCTAATCGGATCTTTCTTTCGTGTTTGTAGTTGCAAATAAACTCTGATGAAGTTGCATGGTGTACTCTAAAGTGATCACGTGATGGCCATTCAAACTGACCTCGAATGAAGACAATCTGCCCCTGCAAGTAAATGGTATTCGAGGGTAGCACGAGATTATGGGGTAGCAGAATTTAGCATCAAAGCTGATAACTGCGAAGTGTCCACATGGGACAGACAGAATGTTGTTGCAACTAAAAAAATCTGTACAGAGATGCATCTTCATTCAACACTAAGGTAAATTTATGCATTAATATTTAAGTTGCAAACAACCATACGTAGCTCACCCGCATTTTACTCAGTCAATTAAAATGCACCCAATCACATTGATGTGAACATGCAACAATAACAGGCTCCACTTTTAAAATCCGATGATTTCTTTATTTTTTCCTCTCACTATTGAAGTTTCTTAATCTTATTAAGCACTGATTTCTTATAGCAAATTTCTTATCAAAAGTAAGATTGGCTTATTAACTTATTCTACTGACGCTTGATTTTTTCTGTTCATCTGTTCTTTAATCTAGACCAGAATGCATTGTGTATCAAAGTATCAATGAAGGATCCATTCGAATGCAGGGGTACGTCGCTGCAATGGTACGTCGACCAAACAAACGAGATGTAAGTGCCACGGCTGGACATTATAGAGGCAGTATCCTCGGTATCAGTGGATGCTAAAATGGACTGAAGTCTGAACGAGATATCTATTGATAGTCAAATTTAAAATCATACTGAGCAGAAAACAAGAACTAGTTTTTGCAAAACATTTCTTTTCTTCGTGTTTTATCTCAAGGTGTAGAAATACATCGCACATATTGTTTAGAAAGTGCCTTTTGCCGGGTAGTGGCATGGACGTAACATTGGGTATTAATGAATAGCAATGCGTAGCTGTTGAAGAAGTTTCTCCGAAAGTAAGAGCTTTTTGCAATCAAATATTTTCATTAAACACGATAATAGTATAAGACATTAGAGCTCTAGGTGCAGTCTTTGAAAATATTCAAACAAACCCTACGAGGCAACTATGCCTAAATGGAATGTGATTCAGAATAAGAGAGGTTTAAATGCAGCCTCGAACAATATTTTAATAATATCGCTGTATAAAACCTAGAAATTATTCAAGTGTTCAGGGCAAACTAAGTATTCAGGATGGTGGGAAATTTTTGACAGAGCGACAGAAAGATGCAAGCAGTCAAATATGCGTCGCCATTCGTGAATTGCGGATTTTTATTGTGTTTGAAAATAGTCAGGTCCACTTGGGTATTTAGTTCGGCTAGGGAATTGGTTCTTGTCATACAAACCCTGGAATCCACGCTGGCATGGACGTTTAGGCCTGAAAAGTTCTAGCAGTAGCTGGCTTTCAGTATACAACGTTGCTGTACTCTGGTAGCCTGGTTGGGATATCTTAGTTGTCGAACATTATTTTGCTGCAGAGCTTATTATACACTTAAATTTAGGCCTGAAGCCGTAGGTGAGTACCTTGATTGACTCTGCTTGTTTCATTGAATATTTTCCAGTCTGCTCTTGCATATCTTCTTCTCGTCACTTAGGCCTAGTTTCCTTTGACGGCCAACTAACTTGAACAAAAACAATACAGTTCGCAACACCCTTATCTATAATTTATCCACGACAAATCTAGCTTTTCGTCATTTCGAACATAGAATAGTGTAAAATAGCAACAATGAGGAAAGACTACAAAATAGTCTATGGCTTTGATTTGATTAAAAAAAGAACAATCATATACTAATTAAGATATTGAATTTACATATTTGGTACTTTTACCGCTAAATATTGAATTTACATATTTGGTTTTTTATTTAATTATTGTTATACACTAAGTTAATAGATTTACAATTTCCCTCAATGCTTCAAAAGGCTAAGAAAAAATCGAGCGTCTGATAAAAAATTTGTACCTTTGTTAAATTTATTTCGTGGTCCGCGGAAGTCACGGAGACTAAATTAATTTTGCAGCGAGGTGAGACTTAAATCATCTGCAATTTTCTCAGTGCATTCCTATTTTTACAATGTTAGGGCTATCCGTTTAATTCACTGGCTATCTAGAAAAAATATATCTGCATTATTTGTAAATAAATAATATATTTGTATTTTTCCAGTATTTCTAGTTGCTTTTCTGCTCACACATAATCTGTCATATAGTACTCGATGCTGTGTTGGCAGAGCTGTCCAGTTAATTTTATACTTCTGTCTAATTTTTCTTTTTTAAATTAGGTATGTTTAGGTCAACTAGGTATTTTGTTTTATTTTTTATTGTCATTGGAGCATCTTTGTGTGTTCTTTTAAAACTTAGTGTGTTCCCAAGATCTTTGAAACTTTAGGCCAGTTTTAGGGTCGGACTGTTTAGTTTAAATTTGTTTAGCAAGCTGCGTTTTAAATTTTATCAAATGACATCCTTTGTTATTTATTTTTACTAATGGTAAAATTAAAAATGCTGCTGATTCGTTAACTTTGGTAATGCAATGCTAAATTAATCAATTTTTTCGTAAATGTTGGACATGAGAAATATATTATCTGCAGCTGCTCGCAGGGAAAAGTCTGGAAGGGGTGGTGGTGTGTTGGCCTCTCTATCGTTGCCAGAGTCTTCAACCTGTAGATCTTGCATCAACTTCCTGATTTCTTCTGGGCAATCAAATCGCCGCACATAGTATGGAGATTCCTGCTCATCTGTAAAATATTCATAAAGAGAACAAGATAATGCATTAGGTCGCTTTAATTTAAAGCTGTATTAATGCCAAAATCAAAGGCAGATAAAACCCCTTTTCGTAGCAAAACTGAAATTTTCAATTTTCATATACCATATTAAATGAGCCATAGTAACATGCTAGTCCATGTTTATTCATAATTAGTTATAATCCATAAGGTTCTGAATAGATGTTAGTAAGTACAGCTGATTATGTGTCTAATATTGAAAATGTTTTTAAAGCAAAAGAGTCTTCGAGAATAGCTGAAATTTTAGCTGAAGCGAAGGGTTCGAGCTTGTGCTCTTATCGAATGTAGGCTTATTCATAAAGAGAATGATAGACGAATACAAGTTTTTACATAATACACGTCTGGGATGTGATAAACGGACAAAGAAGCCTAGGAAATAGTTTGGTTGCATGCACCAGTTGTGTGGCGCGTGCAATGAGACCGCAGAACTTAAATTTCAGTTTTCCTTTAGGAATCTAAAAATACTATCCCTATTTCTAAATCTGTAGATCGAAATCAGCACTTTTACCGTTTACAAAAAAACACACACTATAATTAGAGGTGTGCTTATTCGAAAGTGTGCTCATTTGAGAAAATATGGCGGTTGAGTCAGAGTTTCCCTTCGTTGGTGCTTGCAAACTGAAATATTCTTAAAACAGCGGTAACTTTATTAAACTTACCATTATTTAAATCTTACCGATATCTATGTGTTGGGTGTTGGGTGGAGTTCTTGATCTCTTCTTGAGAAATATCAAAACAACTGTTATGATGATAATAATACAAAGTCCAGCAGCGCTGCTTGAGTATATCACTGTTTTCTTGTGCAACTGAAGCCAAGAGCGGTTCTCTGAACAAAAATGGATGTTTTTAGGCAAGATGATACAGAAATGAAAATAGAGGATCGCCTGGTACTCTAATACAGCTCTTTTGTCTCAAGCATTGATCACAGTGACGTGAAATACTACTCTGAGGTCGGGGATTTTTTAAGACCTTCGGCTTCTAATTTCAATTCCCCTGCTTCAACGATAAAAGTTTTGATTTATGTGTCGAAATTCGAAATACTTTTGTGACCAATTTCAAAATTACTTTATCTTAATTGAATATTACAGATATAGAGAAATAGTATTTAATAATATTGAAAATCCAGACAAAAGGCTACCTGGTATCAAGGGGGCCGTTCTGAATATAAGTGCATGGTGGATAGTATAAGACGGCAACCCAGCATCCCTTGCCAGTCAGGATATTCTTAAACCATAGTCATAAGACTATGCTTAAATTCTACTTCTATGTAAAAACAGAATGCCCAGGGACTGCGAGGCTATGGCCCTAAAATATTTGCGGGGTCCTTGTTCTTTGCAATTTTTATATTTTTTTTTTGGGGCGGGGCCCTGTTTACCATAAACGCGGTTGTTCCCCCTGGACTCCCCTAAAACCGCCACTGAGAATGCCTCTGACTCAAAAACTTTGTTGTGATACCTGCTAAGCCCAAGAATACGAAAAAGAAATTTGTTCACCTTTAACATTGCTTACGCAAGTAAGTAGGGCACGGAGACTCACCTGCATGTGAATGTTTTCCTTGATCCCTTATTTGCTTCTTTTTTGTCTGCCGATCAGTAATCGTTGTAATTGTTATTTTGTGGCTTCCTAAAAAAATTAGAGATTATAAACAGGTTTGGTGGAACAATTTACCAATAAAGTTACAACTAAGGTATCTTTATAAAGTGAATTATTCAATAGAGATGATAAAAATACCAAATAGGACAGTATTTTCATTTAACACAAAAGATACCAAGAGCAATTATCATCCAAACTTGCACTTGTTCCGTAGAGGGCAAGGAGTAAAATGCCCCCCCCCTCCCTCTGCATGGCTCTTCATTACAAAACGATGCTACTTTTTTGAAATCCTTCTCTCGACTTTTAACCCGTTGAATAAATTATTGAATGATAAACTCTGAAATAATAGGTCTGTAGCTTCTGCTTAAGTAGAAGAATTTCGTGAGAAAATGTTCAATTTTACCTGCTGGTGAAGAGGTGCGTGTTTTTTTCGTCTGTGGGTCGGTTTTTGGGATGTGCTTAGTCTTTATCTTTGTGTTGGTTTTTTGGGTGGTTTTAAGCTTGGTTCTGGGTTTGGTTTTGGGGTCAGGTTTAGTAGAGGTGGATAAAGCTTCTGATGCAGTCGATGGCTTCCTTTGACGAGTGCTGCTCGACTTTTGTTTTGTTGTTGGTGGCAAAGAGGTCGTAGGACCTAAAAAACAAAAAAACCATTTGAAGGAAAAAACCTTTCAAAGCTTTGCTTTCATTGTTACATGTAACAAAACGCTAACAGTTTCCACGAATAAGAACTTATGAACATGTAATTTAAAAGATTTTTATGTAACTCTTCACGAAATAATAAATCCATGTGTACTGGATAGCCTCGTGATCATTATAACTGTGCACAAAAATTTAGATTTACAATTGGTATTGCAAGCAAATGAAATTTTCTATTTACATTCTAAGATGGAGAGATACTGGGAATCTAAATACTGCAGGTGAATTTCCAAAGGAATTATCGTGTGGAATCCATCAATCTGGTCCACCGTTCGCCGAGTGGATTTGTTTGACTTAGTACTAAACTTTTCAAAGCAGCTTTTTTCATGGATATATACGGCAATAAAAAAATTTTAAACGTTTTTTTCGCTAAAGGTTAACTGTATTTGACCCAGATTTATTATAAAAGTTAATGTGTCTCGACATGAAAGAAGTTATGATATGAAGGCTTGGCAAAAATTAACGTAGATTTGACTAAAACGCCACAAAAATCATTTCTCAATTTCTTGAAGTTTTTAAAGGAAAAGGTATAAAAACACGTCTTACTCTTTGTTCGTTCAGTTGATGGCTTTGTGCTTGTTTGTAATGAGCTCTTGTTTGGCGATGTTGTCAGTGACTTTGATGTCTTTGAGGAAATTTCTGTGGTGCGTGTGCGAGTTCGTGGTGTGAACGTCGGTGTTGTCGTTGTCACTAGATCGAGATCAATCAAATAAATTAGCAATGAATTTCAAAAGCATATTACACATTTTTATCTTAACTATTAGCTGGTTTTCAAGAGACATACTTTTGAGGCATTGTTTGGAAAGTACTACATGGGATTGCCCTCTTTCAAGTTAACGATATAAATATGAACGGCTTTCGGATTTGAGTAGTTATATCAAAATATTTAATATAGAATAGTTATATCATATAGTTATATCAAATATATCTCTTAATCAGCAATTTAATTGCAAGGAAACTGGCATTCCTTGAAGACTAGGATAATTTAAGATCGTCTAACCTTAAGGAGAACTGAGCTTTAGATTATCAATTACTGTGTGCAAAGTTAACTTCCTTTTTGTCAAATGGATCTGGAGTAATGTTGCCAAAAAGATACAGTACAGTATGTCATAAAATAAAATGTTGTAACAAATAAAATTAAATCATTATGATATATGGCAACTCTTGAAAACTACTCTCGGTGAAAAGCATGCTCAAAAAGAGCTACACCACTTTTAGAAGAAAGAGGGTATTTAATTATTGAAATATTAATGTGATACATGATTAGAAGATTCATCGAGTATCCAGAACAGAGTTAAAATTTCCCAAGAAAATAACATGTTCATTTTTCATTCAAGTCTACCCCAAGTACAGAAAACTGAAGGGTACTGGCGATACTTAAGTGAATACGCAACTAACTAGATTCTTTCTTTTCTCGGCCCGATATGCAAATATTCCCCCTTGAAAGTGCGTCGCTTATAACACTGCAGTTTTACAATTCACTCATTTTTTATAAGAAATTGCCTATAAGAAACGAGTACTGGACAGTCAGAAAAAATGAAGAAACTCCAGTACTCGAAGCAAAAAAATTAAGAAACTATTAAATCGTGGTAAAACTGAGAACAACTAAATTTTCTAAAATCCAAAAACATGATTGCCCTGATGGCCTAGAAATTAAGACACAAGGGATAAAAATACTTCCCACGTTTAAATACAGAGTCAGAACGGAAGCGAATCTCTTGACGTGAAAAAAAGTTCACGAACATTTCATAACATCATTTATGACATCATAATTAAGAAACTCTTAAGAAAAAGTGAGTATTGAAATTTCCAGAATATTTGGAAACTGGAGTACTCAACATCGACCTTTGTTTCTTATAAAAAAAATGAGTGTACATCAGAATTGCACTATCCAGGTTGCAAAATATTGATGTTTTTTGTGTCAAACCTAAATGAATATATCTAGAGAAAAGCAAAATCTAATACCTTTGTCAGGGGCTCTTGGATCAACACAAGATTCAGTAGATGCTGTACTCCTTTTTGGTAGTAACTCGCAGTTTAATTTGAAGAAATTTGCATTTTCTCTATCAAAAATGGGTACAAACATTAGCTCGTCAGCACATGAGTTCGCAATGTCAATGCAAGCTTCGCGGCATAATCTCGTTTTCATAGTGTAATACTCCTTGCCTCTTGAGTATACTTTGCATTCTGGAAAATGTTTGTGACAAAAATACCGTACACTTTTATTAAAACAGATCTCTACCCTAGTAGCATTGGCCTTGATCCTTTCCAGCAACTGTTTCTGATTGTCAGTGAACTTCTTTTTGGCAAGATATTCCAATTGCTCCAGCGACATATAATTCGCAAATCCGAGTATCACTTTAAACTGGGCCATCATATCGATCACCTCTTTCTCTGTTTTGTTTTGTTGTTCTACCGTCATGTAAATTCTTCGGTTCTCTAAATAAGCAGAACATTTACTATTTGCAGGATAGGTAGGGCATATTTCGGTGTTCTGTGATGCAGTATCGAGTTGCTTGGTGCAGTCACTGCAAAAGAAAGGTCGACGGAATTATTCAACCTGTAGTGTAAAAGGTGCCTCCTTGGGCTCGAATTTTCTACTATATTTTTAAAAGCAATATCAACCAATTCGTGTTTTTGTAAACATTAAGTGGAGTCGAAACGCGATTTGGTACGGATATTATGTCATCAAACACACGTACATTTCTGGATTAAGGGGACAGAAACATATCGAATACTAACAACAAATAAAAAGAAACAGTAACAATAAAGAAAGGAGGACAATTAAACTTGCTCGATAATCTGATAAAAATTAATCTTTACCGTTCTAATTTTGGAGGAGTCTCACCTCCGCCCTGTGAAAAGAGGGAGGATTAATATTGATGTCCTTTAAACAAGTTATTTTAATTATGCCTATACCCCTTTTGCATATATTGTATATTTATTTCCCCAGGTTTTAACCCAAGCTACCCACTGGAAGCCACTGCTTGGACATAGGGTGTTATTTTTACAGTCAATCGATGAAAATCCGTTCAGACATTTTCATATTCTATTTCAAAGGGTTTTATCTATCCCGACGCCGGGGGAGGGCTTGGGTATAACTTTTTTCATTTACATTAACACCATGCATTTCGAAAAAAGAATAAAATATTTTCTAGATCGACTTCTATTTAGACCTTTCTTTCACTACATTGCACAGAATTACTTTGCTTATACCTCGCGTGTTGAGTGTCATCTGATGAAGTTGTTGAAGAACACAATGGTTTTCTGCCCTCTGACTGAATCACATTGACTGAAATAAAGACAAGCAATTTTCATTGTCAAGTCAAGATATAAGGAATGGGTGCCCAAACTGCAGCTCGCAGTCCAGTTTTCGCCCACAAATGAAGAGTTAAACGCAATGGCGGCGCCAACCACTACGCTCTGGGGAGGGGGGGGCGGGGGTTGGGTAGAGTGGACAAAGCAAAAAAAAGCAAAAAAACTTTTACCAACAAGGAGCGTCATTTCTACCTGAAGGCAACCCCCGTGATTGACCTCTGGCTATGTAAAGGCAGTTTGGATTCGACATATTATAACAGGATCATCTGGATACCCTGAAAAGGAACCTACAAGACAAAGAACAGCTGGTGCCACACCCTTATGCGCAAACATAACCCACTCGGGTTTACATTGTAATATCTCTAAACACAGTGCAGTATCTACTTCCCAGAATCATTTGTTGGGGTCTGTAGAGCAGATCTATTACCATGAAATTTCCATTATTTGCACATATAGCTAAGGGCTTATGCTTTTATCATGTTAACAAAGGTGTTGGTAAATAGAGATTCTTAGCATCTTATTTGAAAAATTTCCTAACATCTTCCTTGTGTCCTACCGCAATCAAAAGGTTTAGTATTTGATATTTTATGAAACAATTTCCACTTCAAACCAGAATGTGCAGAGTTTTTTCGCTAAACCTCCTTTAATAAACTATGAGAGAACAAACAAGATAGTGTCGTGACATTGCAAACTCATCTGAAGATTTGCAAAGATTGACAATTGTAATCCAATGTTTTGAATCATGAAAGGCTTTATAATCGCTTGCTGTTAATGTGCTTCATTTATTGCGATAGTTCCCGAGTTATGTTTCTTCATCTGTTCGAACTTGCGTTGCACGAGGTAGACTTTGCCTATGTATACCCAGAGGTTATAACGTTATAAATGCGAATCTTATAATTATATTTTTGAATCTGAGAACAACCCAGTTTGCACATTTTATCAGAAAAATTTCGTTGAAAAATTTCATTTTTTATAAGAAACAAAGGTCGATGATGAGTACTCCAGTTTCTTGATGTTCTGGAAATTTCAATACTCATGCCATGTATGATGTTATGAAATGTTCGTGACCTTTTTTTTCACGTCAAGAGATTCCCTTCCGTTCTGATGCTGTATTTAGATGTGGGAAGTAAATTTTTATCCCTTGTGTCTTAAATTCTAGGCCAACAGGGCAATCATGTTCTTGGATTTTACAAAATTTAGTTGTTTTCAGTTTTTATCACGATTTAATAGTTTCCTAATTTTTTTGCTTCGAATACTGGAGTTTCTCAATTTATCTGACTGTCCAGTACTCGTTTCTTATAGCCAGTTTCTTATAAAAAATGAGTGTATACTGCCAAATCCATGAGATGGCTGAGATGGTTACACTTCTCTGGAAGACGTTGAGTCGGCAAACAAAATGTCCCTGTAGTTTACAGCAGTAAAAAAACAAATAAAATTGACAGAAAATAAAGTTAATCTTTAAAATTAGGAAAAGAGGCTTTCTTTATCAAGCAAAAACGACTACCACCACTGGTAATTTAAATTAACTCCTGATAAGGTTTAATTTATCAATTTATTCATGCTTAATTATATTATACTTCAACAACAAGATTGTTGGATTTCCTAATCCTTCTTGGGGGCTTTAACCTATAAGCTATATTTTAAATTGATATTTCATATTTCCTTTATCTTTAAGAGTAGGAGCAGGCTCACATCCTCTTCAGCTGACAGGTAAATCTAACCTGCTAGAACAAATAGCAATTAATTTATGCAAATGTATATATGTATTCCAATTGTTATAGAAACTGGACGCTTTCATTTCATGCCGGATTTACCAAGGTCTCCGTGGAAGCTGAAGGCCGATACAGTATGATTTCAAATTATCGTACCCAGGGCCCCTGAAGGCGGGGCGGGGGATATGTCACACATTTTGCACAACAAAAGATTAAGCATACTCCTCACAAAATTTAACATATTCTTTCCTTTGCTATTGCGTTCTATTTTCTTGGTAGTTCCTCCCTGCCCTTCAGCCCTTCTGGTACCCCTGTCCTCGATTTGATCCACGCCCCCCCCACTTTCTCAGACAAAAAGTTTTGACCGTTTTTTTGTTTTTTTTTAAACAGAGTATAAAATAAAAAGAGAACAAACTGTTTCTATACTCGCTCTCACTATCTAGTCCTTGCAGGACGTTGATTGTCCTGGATCTCCACAACTCTCAATCTTCAGATGTTTGTAACTGCTTGATTTTATTAAATCTATTAACTAATATATCTTGGCATATTTCTATGATTTGTCTATTATTTACATCAATTCAGTTGATAACTTTCTGTATCAATGCATTGTCTGCATTTTGGATGTGTAAACATGGTCTACTGAAAATACACGAGACAAAGAAGACCCATATTTCTGTGCAGGAGGTAAAATTCTCAAAATCAATTCAACAACTTCTTGTTATTCATATCGATGTGCGCTCCGATGTTTTCCTGAGAATCGTATAGGTACGCTGATTGATGAAGTTCCTATATTTAATTTTGGTTTTGTTGTTGCGAATGCTGTCGTTTTTATGTCTGATTTAACGTGCAGAAAACACGGAGCCAGCAAGAGACGATATTGCGTGACCGTTGCGTCTTGATGAATTTACTGACTGACTAATTACAATTTAGGGCGTATACACATATAACAAGGGGACGCTACAAATGTGTTGTTTATTACGTTACGTGGATACGAAGACAATGGAAAGTGTTAATGACAGAAACACAATGGAGGACATGATTACGTTTAGACAATGGTCACTACAATCGTCGCATTGTCTATTCGGAGCGGTATAGTAATTGGTTAAATTTTTGTCTGGGAGATGCACTCATAGCCATTCTAAAAGGCTAAATTTCAAAACATTTTTTCCATTCCGGACCCCATCATGGTGGGTCCTCATATGTCACAAAACTTTATACTTATTCTTAGCCCCCCAGTTTCAATTTTGTGGCGCCGTCTCTAGTCTTTCTGTATCGTCGTCGCAGACTGTTCTTACACCATATGTATGTAAAACAGCATTTAACCTGAGTGACTATAAAACATCAATTGATAAGGTCTTTCAGCATATAGATAGTAATAATATCTTTTAGCATATCAACTGCCACTGTAGAGGTTGGATTAATCCTTCCTTGGCACCATCCAAATCAAGCTGTGAGCAAGATGATTCTATGATATTTTTAGCTACAGCATTTTATAACTGACCAAGTTGACCAAGAAAAAAGGAATTCGTAACAGCAAAGAAGAAACATTGCAAGATCTCAAACCATAAGTAAATAAAAACTTGTGGCAAGCCAAATACGAAACTTCTCACTTGTCATTTCAAAAGGTCGATATTGTTTTGTACTCTTTTTATAAGAACAATTTTATAAGAACATGAGCCTCAAAATTGGTCAAAAGTTAAGAACTAATTAAGAACAAGCTGATGCTGAGCTTCTGTAAAATTCTATTTTTCCCCCTTTTTTAAAAACAAGGATTTTTGACATGTGTGGGTGTTTTTTCGGTGAATGTGAATGTGTGGGTGAGCTTGTCAGCAAATGTAAGTTGTCTAGTTCACTTTATTGGCAAATGAGGCTCAGCATCACACACTGTTTCCAACCGATTATTTAAGAACAATCCAGCCTCAGGTTTTCAAAAAATTAAAAACAGTCAACCTAAACTTAAATTTTGTGGGGCTTATATAAAAAGAGTGTATTCCTCAAGCAAACTCCTTTTTATAAGAACCCCGGGAGGGAAATAACTTCCACATACACTGGTACTGGATGTGCCATCTTTTTTTTGGGGGGGGGGGAGACCTTTCTTCAAAGTAGGGAATAAATTTAGGGGTATCGATTTTGGTATTGTCAAACATGCTCATATCTTTTTGGGATTGATTTTTGCATGACCTTAAATTTCAGTGAATTTTTTTAAAGAAAGGTAATATGTTTTCATTTACGTATTTGAGTTGTTGGATTTTGCAAATTTGAATATAATTTAATGGCATGCATTGCATTTCATATTTTATTGAAATTTGAAAATTTATAAATTTTAGGGTATGTTAAAAAACTTGAACTTTTAGAGGTAAAATCATAAAAATCTTGGCACAAAGAAAGTTTTTATGATAAAGAAAAGATTTGGCCTTGGACAAAAAATCGCACGCTTGTGTATTATACGGACCACAATGCCACCCCCATAGAAACAAACAATTATTTTGTCAAAAAACATGTTTCTATACTCATTAGAAAGATCATGAAAAATGAAGCTAAAAATACCAAAACACTACAACTGTAAAGTTCAACGGTAAAAACTTATAAGGCCTCAAAGCTTTAAAAACCAGGGGGTGAAACCATGATTTTGCTACAATTATTTCTCTTAGAAGAGGAAGAAGGGCATTTTCCTGAAATTTTGGGGGGAAGGACCCTTGCTTGACATGGCAAGACACTTCACCCCTTAACTGGTTAAACAAAAGCCTGGCTTTTTGGACGGATGGAAGAGGGTCAATATCGATAGTACAAAACCTTTCGGCAGAGACGAAAAAACACGGGGCAGGAGGGACTCCGGACCATTAAAGTTATGCATGTGTCCTTTAAGGTTGTGTAAGTGCCTCTTTTAGGCTGAATGTTGACTGCCATGGCGCCCTTTTTACCCGAACTTGCGAATGGTGACCATAATAAGGGGCAATAAGTTCCCTTCAAAGGCAGTTTCCACTTTGCTTCCTTATTCCTGCCTCCTTGACATCCACGGGGACTTCGTTTCCAGCTAGGAACGTGGTTATAACAATCTAAAAGCAGGGACAGGGCTAACGAAAGCGGGGGGGGGGGGCAAATGGGAGGCGTGGGCCATGGGATAACAGGGAACTTGAAGAAGGGTCCATTCAAAGCCAGCAGCCTCCTTTTCATATCTTCATGTAAGTCCACCAGCCTTGGTCCCAGTTCCAAGAAGCAAGATGATAGATCACATAATATTTTTATAAGGTTGAATTGGAAAAACAGAGAAAGAAGCTAAGACAAAACTTCAAGCTAAAAATAATGGAATTGATCTTTCATGAAAAGGTATCAAAAATTTCTATGTATCTATACTCACGTCTGAAGCGACCCAAATTTGTTCATCATGTCAGTTTTGTGCAAATCAGTAAATTTTTAAATTCTAATTTAAAAGCCTATTTTGCCAATTCTTGCACAAAATTTAATTTCCCAACATGACAACATCCTTAGCATATTCATGTTTGTTAAGATGGAGTGACATTAGAATGATTCCACTGCTGATCAAGTAGTTATTATGAAGTAAACAAAAGTGCAATTTTTAGAGTTGTGCATTACTTTCCTCTTCTTGATAAAGGGGCCTTCAAGACTTATAAAGTTGCTATTAGCGTGTGATGTATCTATATATCGCGTGCAATTTTCATCAACAAGTGCGTAATAATATTTTGGACATGACGCTCACACTTTATAAAAAAGACAAAAGTTTTGCACAAAGGTGCAAATAGGTAATTTGAACCACATTTTTTTCAAAGGAAGGCAACAAATTTGTGTATTTTACAAGATTCTATGAGTGTAACTTCAAAAAAATCATTCCCCTTGCTGCACCAGCTAGTGCACAACCATTAGTCCAGGGTGGAATCAATGTAAATCTTACGCCAGATTTTGGCCAGTGACTTGTGAAGCTGTGTCAACTGTTCTTCATCTTAATGCTTGCCAAAAAGTTGTATGATACAATTCAGAATGGAAACATATTAATCATCGTTTTTGACAACAAAGTTCATCTGTAGTTAAACACTGGCTCAAAACAGGTCAGCAAACCAATCCACCTTTACACCAATGCATCTCCAGCATACAGAACATGGAATTCACCCTGGCCATCCCCATATAAAAGTCAATGACCTCTTTGATGCATATAGATCTTGAAATCCATCCTGGTGCAGAAATGTCAATCAAGATGCACATATTTTATGCAAACAAAATGTTACAGATGTACTTGGCAAACTCAGCAGTCTAGTAGTCCTTTAAAAGCTTTTTTATGCTTGTAGAGGCTAAAAAGAGAGTGTCATTTTTGACTGAGTAACCTTAGTAGTTTAAATCTTAATTCCCAAGACAACATGCTGTTCCTTATTAATATTATACCTAAATGATGTATGCATAGCAACCTTTCAATGTTCTAATGATAATAGTTACTCAAATTAATACTGTTGAGTCAGAAAAACATTGAATTACATGTGAAATTTAATGAGGAATACATGTGAATATTGTGTTTCTTGTAAATCCATGTTTATTTTTATTCCATAGCAAGAGGGTGGTCTTTGTGCTCAACATTGTTTGAACTCCCTGCTGCAAGGTACTAGATTTTCTTATTGAACATTTATGAAACATTAACACATACCACAATTAGATCAATATTCAAAATATTGGTTGGCAAATACACCCTTTCATATGTCCCAGTTGCCTATGACTAGTTTTGAAAAATAAACTATAATTTAAAGTTGTATGTGTGTCTTACATTTTCAAATATGTTATATTTATGTTTTCTATGTTCATCATTATACTTAGGCAGTGGCAGCTCCAGCCACTGGGCTTTTTTGGGGGGGGGGGGAGTTCAGCAATCTAGGCCACAACCTTTTTACTGTCAGGAAAACTCTTTTACAACAGAAATTTCTAATTGACCAATTGGGAACAAGGATGTTTAACATTTGGTTACATAAAGGCAGTTTCAAATTATAGAGCCATGTCACAAAAAATACTTAACTAAAGAGTATTAACCCTTTCCACAACATTATCTTACAAAAATTGAGTCAAAATACAAAATTTTTTCTTTTAAAGGGCCTCTCCAGCCAAAATTTGCAATTGCATTTTATTGGCTAATCCAAAGGAGGTGAACCTGCTGATCACGAATTCGTCATTTGTTTTTCGATATTTTGTACAGTTTGTTAGATATAAGCTCTTGCATTTCGATAATTGAATTGAATTAACCGACAAAATATTTTTAGTTTGGTGACACTGTGACACAATTTTGACGTCACAGTGTATTTCGTTAGTCTCGCCTCAAACCGAATCGAACGTCAGCGATTCGCAAATTGAACACTGCAATTGTTGGTGCTCTTAGTTCTGTTCCACCAGCTTTTAGTTTGAGCATTTCAGATATCAATTCTGAAGCCTTTAGTTGTTCATCGTTTCTGGAAAACAACTTGAAGTGTCAGTTTCGATTAATTATACGCGAAGGAAGAGCTGGAACAGGAAGCCGTAGCTTTGTAGGCCTCCACAGGTGATCAAAACAAAGTCGTCACACAGCATGGACACATTCCGACCCGTAAACTTAGAATAATTGTAAACATTTAATATTTTTCGATCCTAAAAAGCACCTGCTGTAGATTTAGATGCAGTTATCAACGCGTGACCATGACTCCTTCACAACTCGGTGGAAGATATAAGAAATTCATGACGAACGAGAGCCGCACACTGTGACGTCAGAATGTCACAAAACTGATTCGGCTTTTGTCATTTTTTTCTCGGAAAGGTGCAACTTTAAAGCCTTATAACTTCTAAACTAATTGAAACTTTGCAAAAACGACAACTTTGCCATAATACACGCACCAGATGCTAACTTTTTAGTCAACAAAAAAAAAATTTTTTTTTGGCTGGAGAGGCCCTTTAAAAAGTGGAGGGGGAAATGTTCCCCTAGCCCCCATGATGCCCCTATTGTACTTAGGTAGGTGGTTATTTAGAAAATGAAAATTACTTTTTCTTAGTTACCTGCTGATTGCCTGAGGAGAAAATTTGCATTAGAATAATTTTGTAAATTTGTAGAGCCCAAGGAACTTCTATCTAAACCTGCATAGCATTTCATATTACAAAACAATAAAGATATATATAGGCAGTCAATCATATTTTTGTATCATGATAGGCCAATATTACAATGCAGTGGATTTAGCTCATTTTGCAAAAGAATTAGATGAAGCTGAAAGAGAAAGAATGTCAGAAGGAGATACTAATTCTCCAGAATATCTTCAATTCATGCAGGTTGTTAGTTAGTTTTTATTCTTGCATTTGGTGTCTAGGGTTTTTCATGTTTATCTGAGTGTTTTTTGATACATAGTTACTAATATCATAAAATAATTTTTTTAACAAATATTTCTAATTATGATTGATTATTCATATTGAGGTGTCATTGCCCATCCTAGAGTTAATTAACAAAATAGGTGAATTAACAAAATTGGCCAAACAGCAAAAATCTGATATTTTTCATCACTTTTTAAAATATCATCCCAATATATAGCAGTTATTTTATCAGTATTAATAGTTGAATTTAAGAAAGAAAAGAGAATATTGTTGTACTTACTATTATCATCCAAAAGATGAGGGTCCTTAAATATTTTCATACATTTTTTATATTTGTGCTCAACAGCAACCCTCAAGCAATATGGATGATTCTGGATTTTTCTCTATCCAGGTTTGAACATCTTTAACTTTCAAAAGCTTTTACTGGCTAAGTTCTTGCTTATTATTTACAAGACATTGATATTTTCACACAACCCATCCCAAAACAAGATATGCCTCTTTTTGTAAAAAAATCTTGATATGTCCCCTATGGAACTCAAAACATTATTGATGTTTGTTATAGTTCTTTTTTAAGGCTGTTCTGTGGGTATTGTCCTTCATTTGATCGTTGCTATCAGAGGTTTCAGAGGCCCTGGGGCAATGCTGAAAGACAAGGCCTGTTGAAGCAGTAAAATTTTTTGCAACCACACCCTTCCGATTAGCTTTTAATGCATTTCAGAATGATTCTTGCAGTCATTTCTTGCAATTGTTTAAAATGTTTCACTAATTTTATACATCCTTTTTTTGCTTTGTCTGATTATTCCCATTCTTAGATTGAAATTCATTACATCATCAGGCCCCTCTACATCAAGACCCTGGGGCAATTTGTCCCCCGTGCTGCCCCTCTCATGATGGCCCTGGTTGCTTTTCATATTGTTAATTAAATTGTTCCTTTACACATGATTCAAATAATTTCTGATAAAGAAGTTAATTTTCCAGAGTCATATGATAGTCAAAGTTTCAGAATGTTAAATTATTACTTCATGTGGTATTTGTATTTCCTCATTCAGGTGATATGCAAAGCATTACAAGTATGGGGGTTAGATTTAGTTTCATTCACAAGCCAAGGTGCTCGAACTGCAAGGGAATACCTAGAGTAGGTAAAGTTGTTGTTTTCCTTGATGCATAGGTATAGCTTTTTTATGGCCAAAAAGATGAAAAGAATCTTTCAGATACCTTTATAATCATCCAATAACTACAAAGTCTAAATTCTATGCAAAGCTTTCCTTTGTTTTACATTTCTTTAACCAGCCCAGTGGGTGTTTCCCTTAATCACCTTCGATAGGTTTGATGGCTGTTCATTTTCTGGGAATATATCCCAAACTTTTTTTTGCTTAGCCATACACACTTTTATAATAATGATAAGAATATAGCTTAAAGGAATATTAAGACTCAAATTCACTGAAATTTAAGAATAATTTAAAAATAATGCAGAGCTCAAGCCTCATCAAGAATTAAATTTTTTGTTTATTTGAGTTATTCAGAAAGCAAAATAATGAGACTCAGTTACATATTGTGTCGCTTTAAAAAAATTTATGAATAATCTTAAGCTCAAAATAAAAAGAAATTAAGAATATTGCTTCAAAAATTTAAGTATTCCTATGAAAAAGTGTGTAAACAGGGCTTCTGATGAAGGGAGGCTGTGGGGGTCATGGACTCCTCACTTTTCTTGAAAACAATAGAATTTTTTTCAAAATCTTTTGTTATGAGTGTTAGATATTCACTTGCCCCCCCCCCCACATTTTCCAACCTGTGTTGGAGCCCATGGTAAAGTTTCCAACCTACCTTTTTCAAGACTGGTCTTATGATGAGTTTGTTGTTTGTTTATTGTAACAATCTAGCTTGGCTCTTTTTATATTGTAAATAAAGTATTTTTTTAAAGTTTGGTGACTGGTACAAAGGAATTCAAAAACATCTTTTTATTTTCTTGCTACTTTATATTCTGTTCATGCGTAGTTGCATTTTTGAATTATTGATATAATCATCATTATGTTTCATTAGTTTCTTACTTATTGCATTCTATCACAAAGCCTTGATTACCAGACAACTTTGAATAATGAAACATTCTCTCTAGATTTGATGCAATCTAGAAAAGCATTGGATTACTATACGCAAACTAGGGAATCAGGTAGTTATACTAAATTTTCCATAATCATCAACACCATTTTCAAAGATAATTTATTGACATATAAAGAAAGAACTTACTCTTGTTTGATTACCAAGTTGATTATTTTAATTGCATCTTGAATGTTGTGGATTTAAAGCAGTCGTCAAGCTTGCCTACTTTTCAATGTTTCAATATCAAGTTACATATCTCCTTTGGAAATGAAAAATCTTTTCAAAATGTTAATTTTTGATATTTTTTATTATCATCATGTTGTAATATTTTAGCTATAAATTTTTATGCTATACATTCGGAAGTACAGTTAGTGCGCTGGTTAACTTTGTTGTATCGGCTAAACATGTCAAAGGAATTTGAAAAATGGGCTTGACAGGTTGTATTTCAGTATGCATAGAGAGTCAAAGAAAATAAATCAACTATTACATCCTTCCTAAATGCCATAGGTTTCGGTCACCTCTTTATTGCTTATAACGCAGCATGGAATGCATTTTAATTCATCCGGTTCTTTCTCTAGTGGTTCAATTTAGACTCCAATCAAAGTGGGCCAGCTCTCGTGACGGGGACGTATCTAAGCCTTTTCTTAGCTCAGCTAGAAAAAGAGGGTGAGCTAGAATACGTCTTCTCGCATATTACTTTTTATCGTTGAAAATATTACCTGGCACTATGGATTGGTTTGTCATTGCGCTTCGAACTGAGGCAAAACTGTACCAGAGGATGCAAACTTCAAGAAAAGGTGTAGCTTAGACGTTCATAAGATATTTTCACACATAAATCATAAAATACTGGAGTAATTTAACCAAGTGATCATTAGTGCAGCAGTGTAAGCAAGCGTATGGTCGGCTACAGCACGTAGACAGATTCTCGTCTCGTAAACTCATATATTTTTAAATTCAAGTGATAGTACGTATCAAGACCTTCCATTTCCTGAACTGCATATGTTATTAAATTGTATTTCAAACAACTCCCGTGTGTCAACGTTGCAGCAAGAAAGACAAGTTCTCCTGATATTTTATGACTAGAACCAGTGGTGGCTCCAGCCTGGGATAAGTGGGGGGGACAAAAGGTGTGTCAGGGACAACGCCCATTTGGATCACGCCCTTTCTCCTTGTTTGAAACTTTTTCTTCCGGAGGAAACACCTGTTGTCTCCCAAGAAATGTCATTTACATGTGACGATTCTAGATAACGTACACACCCCCCTGCCTGAAGTTTTCTCATCAGGTTTGCAAGAATCTCAAGGACCAACTTTCTGAAAAAGTGGGGGGACTAGTCCCCCATTCCCCCCCCCCCAAAGCCCCTCCCCCGTGGCTCCGCCACTGACTAGAACTAGACTGTGGTGGGCCCAAGGTGGTTGTGAGATTATGCAGCTGCTCCCTAATGGCAATGAAAACTCAGCGTTTCTTGATCGTTTGAAAAAGCTATTTTCCAATCAGTACTTGTTTGCTGTAGACTGGAATCAATATGTACTGTATTTTTAGCTAGGCTAAAAAGCTTAAAGCTCTGGTTTTGCGATTTTGCGATGCAGTGAAGTTATTTTCTGAATATTTAAAAGAAACAAGCATTTTATGAGGCCTGTAAACACTGGGGAACTAATGGGGCTCATACCCCCTCCCTCGTATAATCTGATATGATAGAATATTTATTTTATGTCTGTGGTTAGTGGCCACCCCATTTGTCTACCCCCTTACTATCACAAAAATCTAGAGCCACATCACTGATAAGATGTCGTAACCCCTTTTGATTTCAGGCTACTCTATCTTCATTGTCAGTGGTGAATTACCAACATGCGAAGCAGACCAATTTCTTCGATTTAACCCTATTCCCGCGAATAATTCTCAGAACACATGCTCAAAGAGCGGCTCAGAAGGAAACGAAGCTAACAAAAGCCGGCAGGCATCAGGTAATTTTATGTCCTTTTTTATCTCAAATACCACAAATAAGTATATTTTGCTTTTTCTTGTTAAGCTCCTTTAGTGTTTTTATCCGCAGAATTCCGTTTTTCTTAAGCTGCATGCACAAATAGGATGTAAAAAGGTTTTGAACCTCAGTGGGCTTGTAGAAAGTTTGGAACCTGTTTTCCAAATAATGGTTCAATTCACCGTAGAGGGATCAGCAAGAATTAGTATCGAAAAGCCACAGTCATCGAGCGATTTCGTTAGGAAGAGAAAAAGTCTGCCTGAGCCACTGATAAGACCTCTTGCTCTCAAATCGCGTCCCTGTTAACGAATAGGACAAATAAGACCTTGAGCAAATCTGTCTGGATCAAATTTATGATCCTGCGCTGGTCTTCAAACAAATTATAGTCCAAAATTGAAAGCCAGATGTTATATTAATTGAAAGCCAAAATTGGAGTGGTGTTAGGAACAACACTGAAGCTAGGGTTCCTATCAAAGCACTCGGGGCCTCCATCACCTCCCTTGAAAGCACGGGGTATTTTTAGCCAAGGCCAATAGATTCTGGGTGCAGCAGCGTATTACTCGCAGCGTATTACCCTTTGAAATCCCGTCACTGGGTCGGAAGAAAGGATGTCTGTCTGAAGAAGCTCAGTTCTTGTCTGCTTCAACTCAAGACAAATTAACAGGTGTGGCGTTAAGACCAGGCAATGTTCTCATATTTGCACATGATTGCCAACAACATAATGCTTTAATTATCGCATAGGCACAAGATTAGACTGTCGTTATTTTGTGGTTGCGTTGTGGCAACTTTCAATGCTGGATAGCTAATATAATTTTGTAATGAGTTTCTTTCTGGTTGTTAGACAATGCATAGCAATTCAAAACAAATACAGCCTATAAACAGAATATTAAATACCACTGACAGCTGGTGGAAATATTCGTTCAGAGCATCAAACCCCAAATTTCGTAGAAACTAGTTACAACAAAGCTAATTATTTTCTCCGAAGCAGAGCTTCACTATGCGATGAAATCAAATGGACGTGGATGAGCCTAACAATGAGTTTCAATATCTGAACCTAATGAGTATTTTATAACTGAGGATACAAAACATATATTCTAGTACTCTACCCCTTTCCATTGAAATTCCTTCCAAAAGCCTTATATATTCTTGAAACCACCATAAAAAGAACTTGATCAGTATATTTCGTTCACCAACTGCAAGGGGCGGATTTTAGAGGCAAGGGTTTGGAAGTGGGTGTCACATAATGATTGGATTTGTCACCACACATTTAAAATTGCCAGAAGGTGATGAAAACTCCCATTTTAAAAATCAATTTGTCACTATAAAATAAAGAAAATGAGACGATAAATAAAGTAAAATCTTGGCGACATTTATTTACTACACACAACTGAATTATCTTTTCAATGAAGCTAAAACTATTTTTTCAAACCTTTTTTGTAGAAGAAAATCTCAGAATTTACATCGCTCAATTGTACTTGTAATCTTTGCAAGAAATACGTATTCAACATCAGTTATATTTGATTTACATTATATTTAGCGTTGGTAATTTAAATTAGTTGGTTTTAATTAGTTTGAGTATGCATAGCTAGAAATTGTACCAACTTTAAAAAAGAAAGAAAAAAGCTTATAATCGTATTTCATGCTCTTAAAATTTTTAGCAGATAGCTTCGCTTGATAGACTTTTTTTCTGTGTTCCTGGTTTAATATAGAGCCTGCAAAAGTGGCTGATGCTGAAGAAGTACGGAGGAAGCGAATGCAATATTTTGAGAGGTATTTTCTTTTTCTCTTCGGAGCTTTTCGATAAAAATGCTTGCTTTTAATGTTACAGTTAATTCTTACTGTTTGCACGTAATAGGAGTGTCATGTGATCAACCTTTATGTAACGTTCTAATACATGCTGTCATTATTCCAAATTGTTGTTGTATATTTCTAGGCTAGTTCTTTGTCGGTGGTGTTGGTATGGGGGATGATGGGTGCATTCTTGGGCGAATCTTTTGTTCTAGGCTTACTAGGGCTGTTTCACTTGAAATAAATTGTATATTGGATTTATTTTTTTGGTAACGGGTGCTGGCAGCTATTGTCTTTAAACATAAACTCGGTTCTAGGCTAATCAAATAGGGCGCTTACTTTTAGGAAGCAAGCAGCACAGACCTCAAAAAGTGAACCAGATCAAGTACCTCAAGCTCCAGCAAACGCAACCAGTTAGCCACGAGTGAGTTATTTTAAGAGATGTTTCTGATTTTAATCATTCGTCTATGCTGTCTTAGTTGAGTGGCAATTCAAGAACATGCGAGATGTCCAGCAAAACGAAAGGTTTTTTAGGGATTTTCAGATAAAAGAAAGAATTTTTACCAAAGATGTACAATATTTCTATGTAGTGATTAAACACATCGGTCTCAGTTTTTCCATTAGACCGTAATTTTCAAGAAAAGCCTGGATTCTCAAATAGATATTTTAGCAACGTTACTAGTTTGTTTAACTGCTATTTACCATATATAACTGCTATATAACTGCTGTTCCCTTCCCTTCCTCCCCTCCCCCTCTCCCAATTACAATGTTGATTAATGTCAATCTTCAATGATTGTCAGTAACAGTCTTACTAGGTTTGGATGCATAAACACTCCTAATGAAAAGATTAACATTGTTCTGGGAGTTTAGTGAAAGTTTTCGAAACTTAAGGAAGTAGTTAAATCCTGGGGTTTTCACTTTTGAACGTGAATATTGTGGTGTTCTGAATATTTTCGGCAAGGATCGTAGCTCCGGTTTGCAAAAATTTCTCATCAACTACAGATGTCTTGAAAAGAAACTTGTTTTTTCGTAAGTATCATTTATCTTTTATATCATTCTTCTTTCCTGTATGTTTTTAGTTTCATTGTTAATTTTCCTTTAATTTCTGCGCTTCACTGCTTATTTTAACATTCATTTTACGTTGTTTGCAGTTATACTTTCTCACTATCAACATGGTTTCTGTGACTGGCAGAGATGCCCAAAAACAATTCATTTCAGATAAAAGGCTCCACCCAACCTTAAAAACCCTTGATTTTTAGTAACGAACAGAATGCTTTACTGGACTATTTCTTCAAAAAAGTGAGTCCATTCTTTAATCGATGAATATGTTCATTATAAAAAATGTATAGAGTAATGTATTGTTTTTAGAGTGATATAACTAACTAGTGGTTTTACAAGTAATTCATGAGTCATAGACTCACACGTTAAGCATAGAATAGCACATAATAGCCCTGAATTATCAGTTTATTTTGTATACACCAATTCGACTTACGACCTCGTTTTGAAAATTTCTCCAAACTTAATTATACGACTTTTTTAAGCTCAGATTTGGTTTTATCGCCATCATTTTAGGCGGGATACCATTTTTCATATTGTTTCAGCTTGTATTTTAGATTTTACGGAGAAATGAAGTTTGAAAACTTGTAAGGGATTTGACCGCAAAAATCGTTCCGGGGAAACTTTACCCCCCTAGTCGCCAATCACGGTCAAATCCCTTATAAAGTTTTTATCTTTATGTCGTCATAAAATCAGTATCGTGAGCAATATGATAATGAAAACTTACAATTAGACTAAAATCATTGCTCTCAATCTGAATCTGAGGTCAAAAATTTTATACAAAAACATTTTGAAGAATTTTTCAAATTTTTCAAATTGGTGTATTGCAACTTTCATTATCTTCAATGTAATTTAAAACATTTTGTTAATCTTTTACGATAAATCTTTGCTCTCGTTTGAAATAGCTATTATGATATAAGCAGTCACAGGTTAACTATTTTTGTATAATCTATTAATTTTACATTTACATTTATTTAAAGCATCGTGCGGCATTTTGTTTCCCTTGTTTATTGAAAGTTTCAGTTCCAATGTTGCTATTGATGTTTCTATAGATGTTTGTCGTCTTATATTGTTTGTTTTACATTTTAACATTTCTTGAATAGTAACTAAATTCATTTGACTATTGTACTAACACTTGAAAATATTACATTATTTCTGTCTAATGTCCACACCTGTAGATATTATTTCGCTCTGTGTATCCTAAAATGTGTTTGTATCTGCATTTACACTTTTGTTTGAAAAAAGGGCGATTCCTGTTACATTATGCCGTCTGCCCTGCCTAAATGGCATCTGAACAACAGTGCCTAAATGGCATTGATCTTTTTATGACAGACTTGTAAACAGTAACTTTAATATTCCAATGTTATTGAATTTTGTTGTTGCTGCTGTTGTAGTTTTCCAGTTGTTGTAGACACGAACGGATTTCAAACGTAATCTAAATCGTACAAAGAACTCCTCTCATTTTCGGGCAAGGTACCTGCCAATTTAGTCACAAAGATGCTTCATATCCACTAACTTTCATCAGCAATTTGAAGGAATTTTCGTATTATATCGAGTGAGTTGGGAGATATGTTGTAAAACTCGAATAAAGCAAGGACATTAGTGTCAAAAAGGCTGTAAAGATGGTTCTCGTACTGGTTATTAGAAATTTTCACTAAGAATTTGAAAATCTAAGTCTTTGCCAAAACAAACATAAACTTCCAAGGCTAGCATGTGCTTCCAAGGCTATGTTAGATTCTTTTATAATGTAAATTATGTAATATTGGCGTGCCCCCCCCCCCTTCTAACAGGACAGGAAGCTTTTCATTTTCAACAGTTGCCTAGTATACCAGCCTTCCGTTCCTGAGTCAGAATTATTAAGTCCTGACTAGCTATAGCTTCACTCATGGAAACAGTCAGGTCAGTAAGGATTCATTTATAAATAGCTTGACCTTTCTCTTTACAAGATATTGGCTGACAAAGTAATTTGCCGTTTCATTTTGTCTTTGTTATTCTTATCAAAAATTTCCATTGATCCTCTAAAGTCAAACTAATAAAAAGCGAATTATAGGTTTCTTTTCATTACAATAAACTGTGACTAACTCGAGCTGTTTCTATTGATCACGGTTCAATCAACAACTTCAAACATAACCTTCGGCTTCTCTGTCAAATGCATTCATTGCCGGTGTGCATCTTTTGTGAACCGAAAGCGAATGAAATGTATAAATTAGATCAAAGTGTATTATGATATCCAATTTTTTTCTCCCTTAACTATACGATGATAGATATTGTAGGTCTTGTCTACTTATTATGTTCTTCTTACTTAAATTGCTGACCTTTGTTGACAAAGTCGTTATTTTATGAAATCAATCGATTTCAGAGATGCTAGCATGTAATACTTTTATCCGTCCTTATCTCTAGAATGTTCCCCATGTTTGTATACCTATAAAATATAACCTAAAATCTCTTTCAAGAAAAGCGAAACAGCCAGTTCAGTGCTAAGCAAAGGTAATGGTAATCAGATGGTTGGGGAAGCCTTTTCTCTGGAGTGAATATGCTTGTAGATGATGCATAATTCATGGAAAGGTTGGGCAACAATTGTTGAGTGAGAAACGTTTCCCACTGACTGTTTTTTCCCCTAAAGATGAAACATAGGCAAGGTGTGACTTATGGATAAAGTTGGGAGACGGAGCAACTGTAAACGGTTATTTGCTTGGTGCTGCTCCGTCTTTTTTTTTGTTCATTAGTCTAAAAAACACTTCGCCATTTGCACAGACAGCACCTCACAATTGGTACAAAAAGCACTTTTCAATTGGTACAAAATGCACTTCGCCATTTGGACAAAAGGCACCTCGCCATTGGTACAAAATACTTTGCCATTGGTACAAAAAAAGTTCCCCATTGGTACAGAAACTGCCATTTGTACAAAAAGCACTTCGCCATTTGGACAAAAGGCACCTCGTCATTGGTACAAAAGTACTTTGCCATTGGTACAAAAAAAGTTCCCCATTGGTACAAAAACTGCTATTTGTACAAAAAGCACTTCGCCATTTGGACAAAAGGCACCTCGTCATTGGTACAAAAGTACTTTGCTATTGGTACACAAAAAGTCCCCCATTGGTACAAAAAACTCCCATTTGTACAGAAAGCACTTCGCCATTTGTACAATGGCTAATCCATGCCGCCAGCAACATCAGCATATGTTTGTGGGATCGGATAAGACCGACTGGTGGCCATTCTTGAAAATTCACGTTTTGATTGCTCCCTACTTGTCTTTAAATTGATGATTTACGTTAGAATCCCAAATAGAACGAATTCATTTTAAATGTATTTTTTTTCTGCTATTAAGGTAATATGTACCTTAAGAACTCTTTTATGATAGAATATAAGAATAAAGTGTTATTAAATTGGAAGACTTAGTTGTTAACTCTTTTTGAATGTGTTAACATGTTAACAATATATTCTTTCAATGTTAACAATACATTCTTTCAATGTTAAGCTCGGGTATTTTCTAAGAATACAAAATGGAGTTTTCTAGATTTTCAAAAAATTGTGTGCCGGCTTTATTGGGGAGAAGAAGCTTTTTTGATTTTTTATTATTTTAAATTTGCGTGTTTCTGCATTGTAACAAGGCTTGGCCTGACAAACGTTTTTGGACAGCCTCCCCATATTTTTAAGACTGGTGATGCTTCATCTTCTTCTACGTTTTGTGTACCCTGGTGCCAGAGTCTCAGTTATTCAGTCTCAAAATAGTTCTAAACTAGTCATAGAAATATTTTTTGAGCCAATACCGGATTCATGAGGCTGCGGTACGTTTTATGCCGCGTTTGAGGGCGTGCACCAACCACCCATCCTGTTTTACTTAAACCAGCAACAGTCCAGTCTCCAACTGAACCCAAGGATGCTATCTTGGGGCTCTTTTTGACTTAATATTGTCCTTGCTTTTATCTGTTATGCTTCACATATGTATCGCGTTAAGCTCGCTCTAAATCGGGCAACAATTTCCTCAATTATCTAAAATATATGGTAGTCTCTACCCACAAAGCATCCGGATAATAAACGGGCAACCAGAGCTGGTGTTTCTTAAAAGATAACAACACGAAAGTCGTTTCAATCGCTTGTTAATATAAAAATTTGCGATGGCCTGTTTACTTTAATGCCGACCATGGTCATGCTTACAACGACGTTCCTAAATTGGCTTATGTTTCTAATTTCCATTTCTTTCAATAGTGGATTCTTGCAGAGATGATCCCTAGTGTTCAAGGTGGACCGTCCTAGATTTTGGTTAAGAAGGCCACAGGGCTTCTAAAGTTGTCACAATGCTGCATTTTTGTAGTTTTGTGGTTTCCAGCTTTGAATGTTACATGCAGCCTGTCACATACAACCATAATAGCACATGCGCCCTTATAAGGGGATGTCCTTAAACGGTGCAAAAAGTAAAAATGTAAATTTCATTTAGAAGGACCAAATAAATAGAATGTCGCGCTAAAATTATTGCTTAAATGAAATTTTCCTTCCCAAAAAGGCACGAAATATTAAAGCCTAACTGCAACACCGCAAATTTACCATGCAACTTTCATTTTGAAACCATATTTCAAGTTTCCTTACAAAAATTAAGGCTACTTGCAGGACCGTCGAGATATTCTAAGTCCTTGGGGCAAAGTTCAACGGTGATGCCTACTAGCAATCTAGGAGATGACATGGAATCAAGAAACTCTTCATTGGCTCGACCACGCCCTTGTAGGCAGGCTGAAATATGTTAAGAAGGTATGGCAATTATTACTTAAATTTCGCTGCCACTTTTATTTTAAAGTTGCTCTGAAATGAACAAGAACCCTGGTCAACATGACTATGTCTTGCAAAGATGCACTAATGACACGAACAGAAACGAGGTTTTTAGGGATATTTGATATATGCATAATTAGAGGCTTTCAAGGGAAAAAATAGCTTCGTACAGGAAAAGACATAGGTGATGGTGATCGTCATACATCACAAGTGTTTTGAATTATTTTTCTATAAGCACTTGAAGATAAAATGTAGTTTCGGGCCAAATGAAGGGTTCAAGGAGAGCGGAGCTTATGTTATAAGTTGTCTAAAAAGCATAATGCCATCCCTGTCAGGAAAACGTTGTTCTGCTTTGCGAGGTTTTCGAGAGGTGAGGCTTGTTATCACTGACACCAACCTCAGCAATGATGCTCGAAGACGGACTCGCTGTTACAGAAAGACCTACTACATATCCCTATTTGTGCCAGTCTCGCAGTCTTACAGGAAAATGAAAGGCAAATTGGGCAAGTTTTACTATTAAGCACACGGTAGAGTTAAAAATCTTTCACAAGAGAACAGCAAAATCTCAATTTACTTCTACGTTCTTGTGTTGTTCTTTACTTTCTGTGCTGTACGAGCTATTGGGGAGGCTTTGTTACAAATGAAGAGCTTATGAAGGGGGGGGGCTTATTCTATGCTGAGAGGTTATAGATCGAGAGGGAATTCAATAAGGATTTCCTGGTATTTCTTTACAGGGAAAATCACCCGTTTCTTTTTGAAATTTTGAGTTTAAAGTCATTTATTTCGATTAACGTGGGTTCTCATTAGCCACTATTAGAATTCAATGTCTGTTGATTTTTAATTTGTCTCCAGATAGACCTAGCCAAAGGTCATGGATAAGCGGCTGTCGCGTCCATTTACAAGTTGGGTCTCCCTGTTGACCATGACGTCATTATGCTAAGCAGCCAGCTTGAAAACAGTTGAACATTTTTTGGTTGGATCTCGGAGAGAAACACGGCGAAGTATGGTGGCAGAAAATTTCTTTACATAAAAAGTGAATATGTTTTGGACTGCTTTGCCTGCATAGACCGTATAAAGTAGATTCAGTCAACATATATATCATACCGAAAGGAAAGGCAATCAAGTTTATCGGTGAGACTGGCTTTGTTCAGGCTAGGCCGGTCAATTCAATTTTGAGATGGAAAATGCAGGTCATACTTGGGCATTGCTATTTTTGACTCTGTGGAAATTTGACTTTGTGAAATCGTGGAATAATAGCAGCCAAAGTAATAATTCAAGACCACACAACATATCCGGTGTCACAAACGTGTCATTAAGCAACGAATTTAATTTTTCTTGCGAAGATTGGAAGTTCACTTTTACCATACCCCAGGTTGCTGTTGCCGGTGTGTTTATTCTGAGCGGACTGTTTATATTGACAATAGGTAATTGTTTTTATTTTTATTTACTTACCTTTTTTGTTATTTTCAGTAGATGTAAACATTTATCAGCTATTTTCAATTTTTTGCTGACATGTGTGCTAGGCCTACTTATGGGTCCCAAAAAATTGTTCAAGGTGAGTTGACCGTCGATAAGAATTTAGGCTTGAGAGCTGCTGATACTGTCCAGTGCAGAATAGAATCAGAGTTATATCTTTTTGGCTGTTATCGCGATTACGAAAATTGAGTCAGAGCCCTGTAATTGAATTTAAGTTTGACTGGAGATTATTTTAAAACCAACATGTTGAAACCATATGGTCCGTTATGTTCTATAGGTAGTCAGAATTTACATTTTCCAAACAATATATTGAATTTTATTGGTGCTTTCATTCCCGGACATATTTTTAAAATAAAGGGAAGCAGTTTCCGGTCTTATGTTTTTCTTTCCCAACATCTTGTTACATTACATAAGGAAACTCGATTATAATTGAACCTTGGATACTGGCCAACTATAATGGTCGCACTCTTCTCAAAAGTTTTTCTTTACTAGGCGATGTTGTCCTAGGGTGAACTCTGTAGGCTTCCCACTCAACTTCCAGTTCAACTCCAGGAAAGTCCTGAAAGAACTGTAGACACATTTCTATTTAAAGTTATTTATTGAAAGTTCATGTAAGATAAAAGATGTCCAGGAAACGATAGACGATGTCTGTGATTTGGTATGTTTGGTATGCAAATGATGATGTTGGATGGTGAGCAATTTTCTGGTTGAAACTCCCTACATTGTTTTCTCTTATGTTATTTATAACTTTGTCCCAAAGAGCAATTTTGTGCTTCAGTAGTATTTTGGAGGAGGAAACCATTCTGTTGATAAACTAACAAGAACAACCACAAAATGTTATGCTCCTCTTAAGAGGAAATCAACTGTAAGAAACAAGTTTCTCTTGTCATTAAAAGAATTAGGAATACCAAGAACGTGGTATAAATAAATGAGAAAAAATTTTCAAAAAATTTGAAGAAAAAAACAGAATCAAATTGTCAGTCTAAGGTAGCTGTATAATAAATTTACTGGCCCTAAGTTGATGTTATTGACTTCAAAGCCAATTTTGCAGAAAATTATCAGATTTTGTATGGTTTTGTACCCTGGTAAAGATTCCAGGAACTTTTACCAGCAATGGTTACTGGTGAGGTGAATTATTAATCAACACACTTTCTTTTAAATCCAACCTCTTTATCTCAATATAAAAAAGAACTCATTTATGATAAACTAATTTGTACTGTGACAGGACAGTAAATATGAGCTCAAAATACTAGGTGAAGATTAATTATGTTTTCTCAATTGATGTAGCTTGACTCATATTTTCAGCTGTCAACATAACAGGAATGTGTGACAGATACACCTGTTCTATATCTTGTCAGAGAAAAACAGATATCTGCTCAATACAATGAAAATAATTTATTAATATTTAATGCAGCTCTTGAGTGCGCTTGCAAATTTAAGCACTTATTTGTCTTAAAATTGAATAGAAGCAGGTTACCAAAACAGTTTTATTGCAAAGGCAAATTTTGCAATTGATTTTTCTTTTTTTATTGTGCTTGACAGAAAATATACCGAGTTTTGTTTGTTTCTTACTGACCTCTTTTGTTGTCAGTATTACCATATATTTCTTCATGCTGTAATTTTTCTTGCATGTTGCCTTAGTCATGATGTAATGTTTCAAACAAGCAGACCTCCCTAAAATTTTTTTGGAGCACAAACTGTTTTGTGAAAGTTTTCTGCAAGACTTTTTTCATATGCATTGGGTAGAATAAAACATTGTTTAAAATAAAATAAAGTAAGATTTAATTGCGCAAAGACCGGTAAATTTTCAAAAAACTACTTTTAACAGAAAATTACTTTAGAATGACAATGGTTTTATCAACAAAAATAGCATTGTGGAGTTTAAACAAAATGTAGTTAATGACAAAAAGGGAAAATTTGCAGCGATTGTGTCCTTAATTTTATTTGAGCAACAAACAAAATGGCACATGCTTTTATCAACATGTAAACCAAGCGTTCTTTAAATTTGTTTATCAAACAAGGCACATGCCAATTACTACAAACAATCCTTAGATGGAATAATTCTCAAAGATGTGATCTATTTTAAGTACTTAAGGTACTTGACTTGAGAATTTTTATTATTTTATTAGCATTTCGTGAGAACTTTAGATTAGAAAGTCAACAAATATTTCTACAATTATGGAACGTGCCTAGAATTTTACAATTTTATAATCAAGATTTCTCCTAGGCATTTTGATGGTCATCTAAATTTTCCCTGTTTGGACAAGATGTCACGTATCCAATCTGCAGCATAAAGCTAATTCCCAATGATTTCTCAACCATAAATGTGTCACAAAGCCTATTGTCAACTCTAAACCGTTGACTGATGGGGCATGATGCATTTAAATGCTAGATGCACAGAAGTGATTTCTGCTAAGCACAGTAACATTTTGTTAGACTTTGATTCTTAAGCCAAAAATTTGAGAATCAGACTGCTACTGATGTTTTTGCAAGTCAATTTTCCTCTCATGTGTCTTTTGGTCCACATTTGGATTTTCTATGTGTCTTTAGTTATTGTCAGATGTTTCTATTTTGAGAAGTAAAGTACACAAGTAAGCTTTGTTTCTGCTTTTCCATGCCATCTTTAAAGTAGTAATTATAAGGAAAAAATTTACTACAACAATACTTCAAAATAATTAGTGGAGAATCAGAAACTGGAAAGGTTTGCACAAAACAATAAAAAACCTTATAAAGGCTTGTGATTTAAAGGCAGTATGTTGCATTTATTCACTATTGTGTAATGAATTTTAAGATTCCTTGAAATTAGAGAAGGGCGACAAAATTAGTACAACTGATCAATAGCAAGTAAGTGACCTCCTTTATCAAGTAATGAAAATCATTAAAATAGAAGTTTAATTCTTTGTTTTGGTAAACCAATGAATGGTTGACACACTGCCTTTAAGCTACAAAAATGTTTTTTGCCCCTCCCTTTCATAATGCTAAATTATCTGATTTTTACAGCAGGTAAAAAAGATTCTTTAATTTTTTTCTAGGGTATAGAAAACGGAGAGTTGCTTTCTTTTTGGTTGGTCTTATTGGCTCTGGAATTCTCACATATTTAATCTGTGTAAGTGAAGCCAACTTTTCTGGTACAATATTACTCCTTGTTTCAGTAGCAGCGGGGCTTTTTTTCAGCCTATTCACCACCACTGTTCTCTACATTGGCTATTTTGTAACAGCTCTGTTTGCTGGACTATCTTTGGGCTTTGCTGTCGCACTTTTATACACAACATTCGATCTGCTTCACTCGATTGCAGTGCCATGTGTCATCATAGCATCTGTTGGTCTTGTTCAAGTGTTTTTCACACTCTGGTGGAGAAGAGTCATGCTAATCATATCAACTGCACTGTTGGGCTCGACAATGGTTGCAGGTGGCCTCGATTATTTTGTAGAGGGCCTTTTCTTGCTTAAGTATTCTGAGCAGAAGATTTTTTATTCAAAAGTAGCACCACTTTGCTGGTACAGTTTTGTCATCATGGGGATTTGGCCAGCACTTTTTCTTGTGAGTATGATTGTACAGTTTTTTTGGACTGGAAAGGAAAAGCACAAGACCAACTATGTTTTTATTTATCGTCCACGAAAAAGAAATCAAGAAGAATTCATTGGACTTACAGACATCAATGCTGCATACCCTGGCTGAGGTGGCAAGTTACATGCCAATTTTTGACTGGGAACTGCTTTGAATTTCCATAAGATTCGATATTGGTGTATGAGCTGATATGACACATTATTTACATCTTGATATTTACACAATTCTTAAGACAGTGCAACCACTAACATAGCAAGGTGCAAGCTGAAAATGTGACAATATCAAATGATTGTTTCCTCTCATATTGCAGCTGACCAGCTGCTTTTATAGTTTTGTGACTCCTACCATAAAGAGAAAAGCAAAACTGCAACAGAGTGCTTCCAATCTGCCCTTCCAGTACTCTCTGGTGGGGACTAGGAGATGGATGCCTTCACCAATTTTTTTCTGAGAAAGGCAATCAATGATACGTTAATAGAGTTCTGAAAGCATATCTTTTTTCAAATTACTTTTAACATTTTCGTTTTTAAAATTCTAAGCGGTGTTGTCACTAAAATTCCCGAAAGAAAGCTCTTATACCACACAAAGGCTAGACTTTCTCCACTTGCATTTGCACCTTGACTATGCTAGTATCTGCATTGTGAATGAAAAGAGATCACTTTTAAATGTTATTAAGACAACTTTTAAATGTTAATGCAAACTTTTTCAGGGACATCTTTCATCAAATAGTGGTAGGAAACTTGGGGCTTTGATTCTGTAATTCAGGTATTCCCTCTTGGTCTGTCATGATGTTTCAATTGCACAGTCAGTTTAACCTATTTTTAGTTTACTAACCGTTTTTGGCTGTTATTTTTAGGCTGTTGAGATTATGAAGCTTTTGCTATGTTTTTGGCAGTAGATATTGGTGACTTACATCAACATTGGATAGTGAATTTCAAATTTCCTATTAGGCCACAATTTCATGTTTCAAAAATGTCACCTATAAACTCCCGTATAATATGTCACAGAAGTTATGTTTGCTATGAACCTAGCTCTTTGTTCTTTGCTCAAGCTCTGACTTGCAAGGTAGCATTTATCTAATGGTATTATCCTATCTTCTCCTTATAAGTTAATGGGATTTTTGGTTTTTTTAAATTTTTTGTATTTTAAGGAATGTTTCATAAGCTCTTGTTTGTTTTCATGTGTTAGCATTTAAGGTGTAGAATTTCGTTTTTTATATCCAACTTTCTTTTAGGATTTAGTGTTTTGTGCTCTAGATTTTTAATATCTAACTCACTTCCATTTTGAGCACATCAAAAGCCATATTCTGTAATACTTTTCTTGGAACATAGGTGTTGGATTCACTGACAACTTACATGTTCATAGAGATCTTAGAATTTTTCCAGATTGTAACAAAACATAAGTTCTTTCTTCTTCATACCTCTAAGTAATCATTGATCAATAAATGATCTTCTTCTTATTTTGCAACTTATAGGTTCAATTTATGGGGTTTTTCCATTTTACGCATCTTTCAGTATTTGATCAGAGGTTAGGTATTCATTACAAAATGGGACAGGGGCGTCGTGGCGACCGGCTACTTTTTGGCGGGGGTACATCGTCTGATTTTTCGTCAAGTTTTAGCATAAGGGTACGAACAACTGAAAAAATGTGTGGTTTGGCCTTTTTTAGAAACTTCTTACCAGAAGTTTCCGACACATTCGATGAAGTTCAGTAGAGGGGGCTAAATGAATGATCGCCACGATGCCTTTAAAGTAGTGTCTAATCAAGGCGAAATAGTCAAAATGTTTGCTTACATAAGTCCATATTGAAAGTCTTATTCAATCGTTTTATAAAATTTTACAATTAGTCTCCTTTTACAAACGTTTTTAATTATTTAGCAAAGCGTGGCCTAGTTCTTGAATTTTTTACGTATTTATTGACACTTGGTGTTGGTTGAGTTTGTCTAACTTCTGTATGCAAAAAGGATTAAAATTGTACATAGTCTAAAGCCGTTTCTTGAACATTGATTGTATCAACAACAACAATGTCTTTTGTGTGATCTTCTAGTCTGCATCGGTGAAATTTTTTTCCACATATAAAAGGATACAATGAATGCCGTGATAAGAAATTTGACTGCTATGAGAAGGGCGCAATGACTCACCCTAAGCATAGTTAATGCCCTAAGCTAGCCTTTGTTTTTGATATATATAAGAAAAGCACATCATATTTTTTGTAATGATTGAAAACTTATATCTTGTAAAATCATGCATAATTTTTGATGACCTTAGCGCTGTTTACTCATATGGAATCACTAATTTTTTCTTACAGAATCCTCATCATAGGGCAACTCTTAAGTATGAGACTAAAAGGATTATTTGTCCCCTACTAAACGATATTACCAGCTGTGTTTGTCAAGATATTGGCCTCTTTTCGCAGCTTTCCTCCACCCCAAACGTCACTGTAGCCTTTGTCATTCCAAAGTACTGCACTTTAATTGGCATCCATTGCATCAAAATCGAAAGCGATGAAAAAAATTCATTAAGAGCTAGAAATCTGCCAAAAATTAAGAGCTAGAATGAGCCTCATTATTTCTGACAAACATAAATGCTTTGTGATTTCATCAACAGTTACTAGTTAAGCCTAAGCAAATATTCTTCCGGAATAACGCCAGATTTGAGCCAAAAGACAGATCACAAAATTCTATTTTCGACACTATGACAGCGACCCTTAACTTGAAGGCAATGAGTTAGGCGTGGAACCTCCTATCGAGGCCGCTAAGAGGCGGCAGGGGCCAAAGATGCAGATTGTATGCATCTGGGAATGCTTATCCGTTTCAAGCAGGTGCATTTGGGACCAGCTCTGTTGCAAGGCTCCTTTCGATTCTCTCAGAAGGGATCGATTCTTTTTTCCACTCCCGAGGGGTGTGAAACTCTTTCCGAAAAGCGTACGAGATTCATTTTAAAACAATAGTATTATTGGAACAATTTTCTTGAAAACAAAAGGATTTTAGCCTAAGACGCACAAACTTTGGTGGAGTGATATGGCCCTCACCCACACCTATACTCGATATTCTGGTCTTCAAAGGCAGTTGGCCACGTCTTCGCACAGTAAGGACTGTTCAGTGCCTCGCAGATATTGTCGAAGCCCATAAAAGCATTCAAAACTTGTGGTGAGTTCAGTTTTAGAGTTTTAGCCCCCCAATATTCTTTTGTATGCTTAATTTTGAGACCCGTTGTACGGTACAACTTGTACCATTGTGCCCACATGTACTATGCTGCAATCCCAAAAGCCAAATTTACTTCCATTCGTAATTTGAATGACCATCCATGTTTAATGGCAATTGATTTGTATAATCAAAATGTAAATTGAAATGCTGATAAACGCTAAGATCATGGTTATCTGTAGTTTACAAGCATACGAAAAGGGTACAAGAAAAGCGCTTATTGTAAATGTTTCCTTGGCGCTTTTCGGTTTCAGAAATCGAAAGTAAACAGCCTTAGTGTGCCGTTTACATGCAAGTGAATGTTATATTGTGTATGCATTAGAATCTCTGAAGCAGAGCTGATGCAAATGGGGGGCATGGGGGGGGCGCGTCGCCCCCTAAAAGACTCTTTGTCGGAAAATCTGAAAGCTGGTCGGAAAATTTGAGGATTCTCCACAAGTCACATCCCAACGACTGGCTGATCATACTCTTCTCATCTTTCCATATTTTATTATTAGCAACTTTGCTTTTACTCCATTATTTTAAAGTTGTATTGGCTGAAAATAGCCAAAATTAGTCCTTGTGTAAAAATTTAGTGGTCCTTTGTCAGGAAACATTTTAGGATTCCTTTTGCGGTAAACTCCGAGATTTTCCCGGTCGGTCATGGAATCCTTTACAGTGGGAAGCATGAAGCAAGTGGCGAAAACAATAATTAAGAGGTATATTCAGAATTTTGCTGAAGATGTCTCTGCCAGCGAACCACCTGTGACAACAGAAAGTGCTGCAGAGTTTTAGGCCCATGTCAACCTGGAAAACTGAAGACTGATCTGAATACAAATGACAAGCAGAGGGTTGCCTTTTTTCGATTCTGGATGGAATCTGCACAGAATGAGACCGAAAGCTTTCACTTCGGCAAGAAGGCAACTACACCATGAAAAATTTTATAAGCATCTAATATATAGCAAATTCGTTCCAAGAAGTGTGCCACCAGACCTATACCTAGCAAATAAATGGGAACTGACAAAAGGTGCGCATGCGTAGTATTCTACCATTGAAGCAGGCAAGTTGTTGGAAATATTATGATGTCCGCCCCCCCCCCCCCCTGTATATCACTGCTGGTGCGGGTCATGCTATGAAGCCTTGGCTTTTTGCATGCACAAGACATGAATCTAATCTAGTAAATGTTTTAACACAACAATTGCATATATTAAGCCAATAGGCTTTAGCAAAAATTACAAAAGGCATCCGGTTTAAAGCGTCTTCGATGGTGTGTTTAGGATGATGTCTTTTCAGCAGTATCCGCACGTCTTTGCACATACACTTTTTAAATCGTGAATCACTTGTTTACACATATAACGGGCTTTTGCTCCATACCTAGGGATGCATTGCGAGTAAGGGCAGTATTTCAGTGCCACGTATACCCTGCAAGCTTCGACTGGTATATGATCACGGCATACTGCAAATGAGAAAAATAATAAAAGTACGAAGATGGGTTGTAGACAGGGAATTTTGCATAACCATCTAGCAACTTGCCTAACGGAACTTTAAGTTTAAATCACAGAATTAAAGGCCACAGATTTGTTGAAGCCTTGGGAACATTCTAGCAGTTTAAGTCTTGGGGTCATCACAACCCCTCCTCCATAAGGGCCCACTGTCAAATGATAAGAGAACCATCACATCAAAGCGAACGATTTGTTCAGGGTGTGCCCCAGACCCCTTATCAACTCTTCCAATGCAAAAAAGTTGAACTTTAAATCTTTTTACTTTATTTGGCTTTATCTAAAACCGTCAGAAATTTACTTAAAATCACGATCAAAACATTAATTCTTACAACCAATTTTTTCAAGACTACTAGTGTTTTCAAAACAAACAATACATCTTTTTAATCTCACCATCTTTTAAGGCAATTGATCAATTTGAGCAAGACACGTTTTACTTCAAACGTTTTATGGTCAGTTTGACATTCCAGGAACATCTTGAAAGTTACTTAAAGCTTTAAAGACATTAATAAATCTGCACCTGTTTCTACTATGCTATCAATTCTTGATTCTCCAAGCTGCTTGATCGCATCTCCAGCCCCACCTGGCTTGAGATCAGCTGCACAACTCACAGTGAAGCAGACAAAAAGACAGAATATAGTTGCAATCTTCATTCTTTCTTGATGTTTAACCCTCGAAAATAAGATTGAATTGATTGTATGGCATTTCCACAAAAGTTCCGGAAAATTTTCCTCTAATGCCTATATTTTTTATATTTACAATTCCGTTGTTTAGAATATTTAGCCAATCTTCAAATGTGTTAAAGGAGTTTATATCGTCATTTGGAAATAATCTTATAGGATTAGGAGAATGCTGCAGTTTTGAGCAGTTTTTCAATTGGGCTTTTGAGCAGTTTTATACAAACAAGTTTCTACCATATTGTTTGTTGACACAAATTTGAGTCTTTCGAGCCCTAAGCATGATCTAAAGCTACATCAATGTTTACTAATTGCTTTTTCCTTTCCTTTAGAAGGAAATTTCATACTCTCAACCCTCTGTTTATTATTTCCCTGCAATAGAAGAAGTTAAAATTTCGATTCGAAATGGGTTTTCTCAACCAGACAAAGTAAGGATAAGATTTCATGCAACTTCGTACCTAAACAGCCGTCCTGATGTTACTGTCTCTTGTAGCCTTTCTCATCTGCTTGTGATCCAGTGAATTCCCCTGTAAACTCTGCCGATATGATGTCACCTTTAGGCCGCTGTGCCAACGAAACCCATTACCGTTTCGGGATTTTGGCTAAAATGATAAAAACAATTCCTAATAGGGTAGGAAGGTATGCAGAAAGTGTATATCTGGTCTGGTGCCAAACCTTGATTGTTTATCTAATGATGCCACGCCTTTGGCATTGAGTTCGAAGAATATCTAAATGACTTCGACTCCAAAAAAATGCATGACAACAAAGGCTTATCGAATGCTGAGCCATATGGGCTGTTGCCATGGCTGTTGCACAATTTTGCAACATTGAATGCAACCACTGACGCACTGAACGCTTGGCAATGGCAACAGGGCGTTTCGTTTCCCTACTTTAATAATCGCATTTCCTGGCGTATAAGGTTGTCTCGACTTCCTTCTGTTTCTGACTGTGGTATGCGGCCATAACTACAAACATTGAAAAGACAAAAGCAACAACATCAACTGTAGGTTGTGATGTGACTATTGTTTTACTTGCATTCCGATATTCAATCAGGTTTTAATTATTGACTTGTTCAAAACAACACACTTAATGTTTTGGTTCATTTTCAGTCTAGCTTGTGTATAATTTTAAACCTCCACTACGATGATTTCAGTACGAAAAAGAAAAGGCATCATAAAAAGCTGTGTAATAATGACTAGACTGCATAGCTTCGTCAATCTTTTTTTGTAAAGAAACTTCCCTAGTTGTCCGAAGATTAATGAGAGAACAGCATAGGCTCATATGCTAAAAGATAAAGTATTATAATTTTGCACATTGTATTTTGTGTTATAAGTTTATCTATCGGCAGAACTACATAACTTTTTTATCGTAAATTGGTAACAGGTTTAGAAGGAATTTAGGGTAACTTTAGAAAGTAATTTTATAGATCTTTCCAGATTTCTTCGAACTGACCTCAGCTTATTGGAGAGTTTGAATAGGTAACACTTCGAACTATGATTTTCATTCGGAAGAAGTCCTAAAATTTGAAGAATTTGGGCCTATAGCTATGTTTTTACCTATTTTAATTGCAATATTAGGTATGATTGATAGTGAAGAAGAATCAGAAATTCTAAATTGAGAAATTCAGCTACATAGGAAGAATTAAATTTTTCCTACCAGGTGTATTATGGTCGAATTTTGTCACATTGGGTAAACCATCGTTTAAAACGAGAAATAGCAAAGGGCCAAGGGCTGATCCCTGAGAGACACTACAGGTAATCTTCATTGTTTCATTGAAAATGACATACATAGTGATTTCTATGAGAAGCATTTACATACATACTGATTCTATGCGCGTTTACTTCTACTCCGTGATGTTCATTTAGCAAGTAGAACAACACAACTAACGGTATCGGACACTTTCTCAAGATCAATAAAATTATCATAGCCAAATCGTTCAGAAGGAGACCTCGCCCCAAAACTAGGTGTTGTGGGGAGTTGGAAGCTGATTAGAACGGTGAAGGAGAGAACGAAGGGGGCGTAGCTTGGAGTCTGAAGCAAAATTCACAAATATCAACATGTCATCATCTTGTATTTCACTGAATAAAATAAAATCATAAGTCATGCAGATTTTTCTTTTTACTTCTGAGGTAGACTCTTCACAAGAGAAGTAATTGATCGAAGTTCTTCAGTGATCTATTATCTTTAGTTGGTCTTAGTTCTTGATTAAGCCTCTCCAAATACCTACCTTATCTATTACTTAAAAAAGTTTCAAAGTGCATTGTTTAATTTTGTTTTCCATGTCATAAATTTTTATCAAGCTCATTACTCAATACTCAATACTCAGTACCGTGTGCTTGCTAAATAAGTTCAACTAACTACATTCCCGTTGCAACATACAAACAGGAGCCAATGACATACAAGAATAAGATATACATTAATCAATGATATATCCATTTGCTAAATGCAAGGGCCAGGTCTAAAACGCGGACATTGCAGACTTCAAGGACTGCAAGGACTTATGATTTTCTAAGAAACACATTGATAATATGTAGACATCAACAGGCATTCTGCGACATTGTTTTACACGAAACATAGATAGTGAATCTTTTCAATTTTTTACGATCATAACTGTTTTTACACAGTTATACCTAATAGTTACCCAAAACGATGCGCAAAATATCAACAGAATATATTTGTACTTGTTTTGTACTTTGATCAATGAGGGTTTTCAAAAATTCAACTAACCAAGTCAAAGCCTATTTAGTTGGCACAAAAATGCTGGTCAGTTTTTCCGGTATCCTTTTAAAATGTTGTGATTCCATTCAAACACTTATATGGATACGGTTGAGGGTCAAGTCTGGAGTTCATCCAGCTTCTGAGCAGGGGCGAAACTACTGGGGGGGTATGGGGGGGTGCTGCACCCCCCCAATCTTCAAAAAAGCAGATTTTGTCGGGCAAATTTATGGCTGCCAGTGTATCTGTCGGGCAAATCTGGAAATTTTCTTTAGGTCGCACTTTTATTGCTACTTTTTGCCTTAGGTTGGTTTTTTAATTCATGGTCTTTTCCCCCAACTTTTTTTCAATCTCCTCCCAGTTGGGAAAACAAAACAGAAACGAGGCAAGGAACAGCAACATATATACATTTCTGTCTTTCGTCCGTCCACTGCTCAGCGCTTTCGTCTGGAGCTCAACGCGCACATGTTTATCTTCGCCTCGAGATGAAGTCTGAAGTATTGATCGACAGCAAAAGTATAGACGGAAAGTAAAGTGTGTTTGATGCGAGAAGGAAATGAACACTGTGTATACCCCTCCCCCTACTTTTTGCAAAACAAGTGAGCTTTTTTCAAAATCTTTTGTTGTGATTTCTAAATTTTCCCTTGAAAATCCTGCCTCGGAGCCCATAGAACACTGACAGTTTTAGAAGCATCATGAATCAAAGCATGGAGGATATACCATCTCGGAATACGTTGTTGAGAAAATCAATCAATATTTTCTTTTCCAAATGTATGAAACTTTCATTCATGAAATCATACATGTTTTAGAGATTTAGGTCAGGACATTCGAAGACATCATTTGGGTTTTTAAACATTTCATAACATCAACAGGAGCATAATAAAACTATTTACAATAAACATGATCCAACGTGAACACCTTTTCATTACAACGTGGCGTGAACAACTGACTAATGCAACTTCGAGGTCTAGGAAAGAGTGAAGGATTAACCGCGTGCTGCTCCTTCACAACAATACATCCATAAGGAGTTATGCCCCAAAATTCTCTTAAGGTTTTACACTTACGGTCCGAAAGTATTGCACCCTTCGCTAGAAAATGGTCATACAGACGCCAAAGTTTTTTTACTAAAAAAATTTGAATAACCATAACAAGTAACAGGAAGTTTTGATCAGTTCAAGCGGGAAATAATATAAAATTTATCAAGAAATTGTAGTTAAGATATGAATTGCAAAAATCTTTCGAGTTTATTCTATTTCTGAACAATATTCATGATTACGAAAACATGAAAATTGAGCTTTGATGATAGGTATACCTGTAAAATACCTCCAATAAAAAACTTTTCTTTGCTTGAGGGATTTTGTTATGGTGAATTTAGATATACGTACTTTGTGCTTGGGTGTCTAAAAATATTGAAATTGCTTCCGGATCAACCGAAAATTGAAAATGAAACTCTGAGAATGCAACTGAAGCTCTTTTTTGTTGAAACATTGTAATCTGCGTAGCTGTTTCTAAATTCCGAAATTCCCAAGCTGTGTTTTGGTGTTCCACTTTGATAAAATTGAGACCCTACTTCAATCTCTTTTTTGAATTGCTCTCTCAATAGCTAGGTGATTTAGAAAGTGAAGACGTTTTTTCTTTTATAGAAAAGACAGGCCTTACAAATGCTTGCTTTTCGGAAACAAATGTTTATAGCCAACACCAGAAAAACTAGAGGCATATTTTTTTACTTAAAACAAACAGCCTGAGTCTAAAGACCCTCTCTCGGGCTTCCCGATGATTTGAGCCCTTGAGGCGATGTGCTCTAAAAATGAAGTTCATGTAGGACACGCCCTTTCATCAACCATGCCACTCCCTTTCGTCGGGCAACTTAGCTTTATACCCCCCTAATGAAAATAGTGAAGTTTCGCCCCTGCTTCTGAGTTTCCAGTTCTTTTTCTTGGTGTTGCCATAGTATCACATGGCTAGGACATTAGTGACCGCATTTATTTCACTGGACGACTGCTTTAGCAGGGCAGCTCCCAATTGGCTTGAAGGCCCTGGGGCCTAACTAAAAAGTGAACTGCACTGCACTATCATGAAATAAGAAGTGTATTATTGTATGATATCTTTCCGAGAAACCTCGACATCCTCGAGAAACTTACACTTTCTGGCCCTTCCCTCTCGGCCGCCTGTGCTTTGATAATAAGAGGACAATTGGGAAACAAAATGATGATGTCATTAGTCCTTTTTGAAACTTTTTTTCATTTTGCCCATCTAGCCATAACAAAGTAAAAAATTCTAAGAAAAGATCTTATGACGACATCACTTTGCCACCTTACATCATTCTTATAGAAGTCTAAAAGAAATTTTAAGGTTCAAAATCATTGAAATTTAAGAATAATTTTCGAATCATGCAAGGTCTAAGCTTCATCAAGAGTACAATTTTTGTTTATTTGAGTTTTTTGGGAAGCAAAACATATGCAAGTTTCACGCTTTATGTTTTTGAAATTACGTACTCTTCCTTGGAGTCATAAACACCATAATGCAACTCAGAAAAAAGTTAGAAATATTTCGGACCAGCAAAGAACTAGGTATTCTTATATAAAAGTGTGTATAACGAACAGGACAGAGCAAAAATCATATTATTATCGAATGGAAAGTATGAATGTGCGAGTTGGAAAAATGAATTACCAGTGAAACCAGCTCAGAAGCTAAAAACATAATCCCAAAATGTTCATGTTTGAAAAATTATTTGAAGAGTCTTTAAAATCTCAAAAACATTTTAAAATTTTAAAAAGTCTCCAAGATCTTTAAAAATTCTGAAAATCTCGTACACTTTTTTCAAGTGATTTGTCCCTCGATTATTGTATGGATATCATTGCCACGTATCCCCTGCAAGATTCGACTGGTATTTGATCA